ATATATATATATATATATATATATATATTTGCTCTTTACCTTATTGAAGGTACTCGAATTATTCACTTCTTTTTTTTATTCATTATCATGAGCCCCATTTCTATGGGCAAGAGATTGTGCGGTGTACATCTCGGCCACCTGCGCAGAAGAGGTTGCTTCATATGCCTTCTTATCCTCCCGCACACGAACAAACCGTGGGAATCGTAAAGCTATCCCCTTAGAAGAGTCAACAAGTCCGTATGCAGCAAAGTGAACAGGAGAAATTGAAAGGTCAGCTGCTTTTACCTCCCAGACGTGTGAACTCTCTAACCAAACATCTGGTTTATCATCTGCACGATAGTATCGTGGCTGTTCCTCCAAGATACACGTTTGCAGAGACTTTGTAAGGGATTCAAGCTGATCGTCTTGAAACCCGGTTCCAATCTTGCAGATGCTTTGGTACTCATCATTTTCGCCATCGTAGCAGGCAAGCAAAAAACCTCCAAAAACACCAGTTCGTTTACCCTTTCCATAATATGCCCCAATCGGTACAAGATCAAGAGTATCTGTAACATTATCCATGTAATCTTTTTTAAGCTTTAACCAGTAGTGGGAACGTTTTCCTGGTGTATAAGTTGCTTCCTCATGTAGTGTTTTAACCATAAGTCCTTCACATCCATCTTTTATCGATTTATCTAAAAAAGACTGGATATCTTCTACATTATTGCTATCAAGGTGCTCAGCAAATTGAAATTTTGCATGAATTGGTGTAAAAAAACTATATAGTAATTTACGACGTTCCTCCAATGTTTTTCCTGTTTGTGGTTCACCATTAAAATATAAAATATCAAAAGCGAATACACAAACAGGTATTGTGACACTCTCAGAAGAAACGTTTTTGCGTCCTCTATGTTGCAAAACTTGAAATGCACGCAATGCCCCACTTTCTTTATCAATAGCAACAATTTCTGCATCTATGATAAAAGATTTGACATCATGACAAGAAAAAACTTGAGGTAACATAGCTATAACATCAGGGTACTTTCCTGTATGAGTCTCTGAATTACGCGAAAAAATTTGAAAATCATTTTCTTTTAAATAATGAATTTGAGCGCGTTCACCATCATATTTGTATTCAGAAGTAAAAGTCTTTCCTTGAAACCGCTCCATTATGATATTTATTCCACTGGTTGGATGGGCAAGCTGAGGTCTTACAGGGAGGCCCGGACGAATAGATAACTCCATAATATGTGCCTTAGATATTGAAGAAGATGGAATAATTACGGGAAGCCCATGTTTAAGTAAGGCACCAACAACTATTTCAAGACTAGGTACTTCACCAAAAATACGAGTAAAGTTAACAGCACTCATATTTAAATCTCGTTGTAACTGCTCTGGAGTACGTTTCATCACTTCATCAACTCCGATATGATCAAGTGCAAATGCGTAACCAACAGCAGCGAGGGCAGAAGGTTCAGCAAGTCCCACACGCATTTTTTGTTGAAGCGCTCGAACAATAAAATTCACTTCAGGGCCAACAGCATCACGAATAAGTCTCTTCATTACATCCGCGCGACGTCGTGCTGCTTCTTTTCCACTCATAAGGGCTATCTCACGTAGAGATTGAAATACACCTACTGCAGAAAGCCGTTTAGGCTGAACAAGAGTTGATTGTTTACGCTTCTTGTTCTGAGCCACTTCAGCTAAATCACCTGTTTGCTTGTAAGCCTCTTTAGCATGTGCCTCGGGAATACCGCAGCATTCTGCGATAACCTTTACCAACAAAGCATCACCTACCCCAAGTTCAATACCTTCATGGGCTGGACCTTGCTTGTTGATGATAAGGTAAATAACGGGAACCAGGTCACTTGGACTTCGCTGAATAACTGCAAGAAATAAACGAGTCAGATGCCTTATACACTCCAGTCGTGAACTCTCTGCACTAATATCAGCAAGAGTATCGGCAACGGCAGCGTACGGCACCGTATCCTTTACTAACCCAGGTTTTGGTTGTGGCCAGACTGATTTAAAGGGGGCGTATGGATCGAGACGGTCCTTCAAAAACAACTTCGCCATGCTCGTCGGTCCAGCTGAGGTTTCTTCTAAGAGTAATTCATCGTCACTACTCACCCCATCGCAATTATCATCCTCACGTACCCGCTTCCGCCCTCCCTCGATCTTTTCAGAAGGATCAACAGGTGGTAACGTGGATTCCACCATGTGAATACCCTTTGCTACGGTCTGATAAACTCAGTAAAAAACAGAGTTTGCAAAAGAAGAAGAAGAACAAGAAAAAAAAAGAGAGACAGTTGTCGTCTTTAAAAAAAAAAAAAAAAAAATTATTATTATTCATTTATTAAAATATTCCATTACCGATAAACCGGCTGCATTTAGTCCTAGGTTCAGAATGTCGCGATGATCATTATTTGCAGAAGCTACCAAGAGGAGCTCCTCCTCACAGCTGTGTATGCGCCCAGTGTATAGAGGAAAGAAAGATAAACAGAACGCAAATATTTTTGTGAGAAATCGGAGCTCCACCGGCACACAAACACAGACAGACATCTCTCCCATACCGTTCTTTTTTTTTTGTTGTTGTTGTTGTTTTTTTTTTTTTTTATCCCTCTTTTTCTTCTCACCTTACCAAGGTCCCACGCAGAAAAATATGTATATATATCTATATATATATATATACTTATATATGACATATATATACATGTACGGAAGGTCAAGGAGCAAAAGAAAAAAAGAGCAAATCAACAAATAATAATAATAATAATAATAATAATAATAATAATAATAATAATAATAATAATAATAATAATAATAATAATAACAGTGACAATAATATGCACCATTTTTCTTCTAGTTCGCACCAATTTTCTCACTTATTTCACACTTTCTCTTCTTTTTTTTCTCTTCGCGTTAAGAGGACGACCATATCTATTCCTTTCCAATTCACACCACCTTCCTCGTTCATTTTCCATCCTTTATTGATCTCGTTCAGCCCATGAACTCAACTCCAATGAATATTAATTCATTTCATAATGGTCTTCGTTGTCCCAGTTATGCGGAAAGCATTCCCTCGTCTCCTCACCTCTAATCATTAGTAATACACAGACAACATTAGTTGTTGTGCGAAGCGCGGAGATTAGCGAAAAACAAACAAAAAAAAAAAACATAAAAAAAAAAGAAAAGAAAAACCAAAAAAAAAAAAAAAAAAACAGAGAAAATTCACCGTTGCTTCACTTCTATGTTGTCTTACCATAATTCGCCATCTGACTTATTTTTTTTTTTTCCTTTACCCACAGCTTTTTTATTTCTTTTATCGGGTTTTTCCTCCTCTCAACCACAGCTTCTGTTTCGTTCTGTTTTTTTTTTTTTTTTTCCTGCTGCTGTTGATCACGTTGTTTTATATATAAATATATTCTTTTTCTCTTTCTTTCTTTGACTCGTTTTTATTCTGGAACATTTTTTCCTTATGTTACTTTTTTTTCCCCATCATCTCACTCACGTGATGGGAAGCACCACATATAATCACTTCTCCAGTTAAGACAAATAATAATGCTCTTTAACCTCTCATCTTTCTTTACTCTGGTAAATCCTTCTCCCTCTATCTACCGCTCTCTCTATCTCTATTTCTCTATCTATATCTCTCTTTTTTCTCTCCTACAATAAAAAAAAAAAAAACGCTCGGTTTATTCTTTCCACATATATATAAATATCTATCTAATATATATATATCCGTATCCCTCACCCCCACACAATTTAAGAATTCGAACAAGCTGCGCAAAACGCAGGAAGGATAGTAGTAATGGGGTACAGAAGCTGAAAGAAAGAAAGTGAACAAGAAAAAGAAAAAGAGAAAGAGAAAGAGAGAGAGAGAGAGAGAGAGAGAAAAAAAAGAAAAAAGAGAAAAGGATATAGAAAGAGGGAAAAAAGAGGGAAAAAAGAAGAAAGAAACACAAGGAAAGCATGCCGCAGCTGCATTTTGCCCATTGAAACCCCTAGTAATAAGTTTCCCTTACACCTGTATTAATGTCGAGGTTATTCTTAACTTCCATCATCCTTTCATGGGCTTTACAAACAATAGATAGATCAATTGAGACATCTACAGAAGCAACGGATTGCAGGACGTAGAATGCAAGATCCCAGAAATAGAATAGTGTTGCGAGATCGTGAGAGAGGTAAGTACACTCTGGAAAGGCTGCCTCCACGTCAGCCAACGTACACTTTTCCTTCATTAAGATATATTGAATCAATACACCACTACCAAACTCTACAGGAGTAGAAAATGGCAGCGACCGCTGGATTTCACATACCCTGTGCAGCGGAACTTGCGTTTTTCCCTGATAAAACATCGCCATCATAATAGACTCGAGGAGGTGACGTATGGAACGAGAAATCATGCGTGAAACCATACTGAAGGCGGCAAGCTCTGCATCAATTGGACCACTCCATGGACCAGAAACATTTAATGGAATAATGGATAAAATACGGCTAGCAAGTACAACCTCAGGAGGAATATTCCGTGGGTGTATTTCTTCTTGAGTCATTCGAATCGGACTTGAGGTAATAGCACCAGTTCGAGTGAGTTCAATAAGAAGAACCGTATATTCGCTGAGTGTTGAAACGCTGCACAATTTAAGCGCACGACCAAATGCAGAGGGTTCACTTAATTGAACTTCCTCACCTCGATCGCGTGCTTCATGAGTCAAGTACCCAAGTAAATCAAGAGATTGAAGAAGAATAGCTGCGCAAGTCTCTTCCATAGTGGTGTAATAAACATCTGGAGAAGAAGTTGCCAAATGTGCATACTCCAATACATCCACAAGATGGAGGCTACTAGGTATGTTTATACCATTTAACATCCAAGAATCCAGGGAAATATCTGGGGGAGGATGAATTTTGCCTATTCGGCCTTGAGGAACATTATAACGGCGGAACCACGTCATGCGGTAATCGTTTTGGCCCAAGGTCATGACGAGTTGATAAACTGTCTGCACTCGAAGAGGAAGAACAATTTCAGCCATATCACGATACTTTACGGAATCCACAAGTGGCCAATCATCAACCACACTCCCCTGACATAATGCAGCAAGAGGACTGGGAGACAAAAGTCCAGCCGAAAGTACATAATACATGACTGGTGGAAGAGGACTTCCCAATGCTGTCCTGGGTTCACAAAGCGTTTTTCGACGTCCCTTGTATAGCCGCGACAAAGAAATGCAATGGGGAGGAGTTAATGTCAATACAGGGCATCCCAAGGCATCAAGATTTCGAATCACAGCACTTCTTAAAGAATGAGTTCGATTTCGAAGTGAAGGATCAGCTCCAGATGCGATTTCTTCACTTAGACGATGCGCATAAGAACATCCAAGAGTAAAATCATATACTCGTTGAATTTTTTTACACATTTCATCAAGGGACAAAAATTTGTGAGACACAGGTTTCATAACTCGACTCCGACTATCAATCACAATCAAGCTTCCCAAGTCGTCATCATCTATCCTCAATGAATCTAAGAGACGTGATTTACGCACCATATCGAATGTTCCCTTCATCACATTAATATTTGTAATGACGCGATCAATACCAGGGAAAGCAAGAAGTTCAAGACAACCGTACACTTCTGATACGTAACGATTCTCAGGGTGTCGAAACGCAGATAATTGAGCCCAGGCAAGATACGGAGCGCGCATGGTATTCTTAAACTCAGAACGAAATAATTTGATGATCTGATTCTCCACATCCTCCTCAACAACAAAACGGTTTGACGACTTTTTCTGGATATCTGAAGCTCGAGCTGGTGGCATATTACACAACCTGCAATTGTCTGTACCAGTGAATGCTGTTATTTCAAGTGGAACTGTATTCCTATCCCTGGTAAATTCCTCATCTGGATCTGGAGAAAAAGGAATACCATTAAAAACCAACACAGGAGTGCAGTTTTTGAGGGTTCGAAAAGTCTCACAAATCTCAGTGATTTTATTGTACACCGTAAACGGCGTTGTATATGTGTAAACGGCCATCTTTTCCCTCTCTCGCACAGCCTGGGTAATGAGGTCAATGATTTTCGTTCCGTCCACACCCAACATGACTTGGTCCAAACCATCTAGCCGCCGCAACTCCGTCATTGGGACACCTTTATCCTCAAGTTTGTTATCATTGATGTAGCGCTGCAGAAGACTCACGTCTTCTTGGCGAGGGTACATTGTTCCTAAGGACTACCTAATCCTCGAAGAAACAAAACTCCTAAAAATAAAATTTTCTTTTTGGTAGAAAGAAAAAAAAAAAAAAAAAAAAAAAAAAAAATTTAAAAAAAAAAAAAAAAAAACAGATAGATAGATAGATAGATAGACTGAAAACAAATTAAAAACAAAAAAAAAAAAAAAGCACGATCGTGTATTCCAATATTTTCGTCTGCCTAATTAGCAGACTCCCCATCTGTCACATATCGAAGCATATCCTTGTAGAATGGTTGGTAAACTTCCCAGTTAAAATCAAGCATATGATGCAGCAAAGAAGCCAAACGACGCAGGGTATCTGTTACGAGACCCAGTGGAGGAGGATCAGTTTGACCATGTGCGAGAATTGCCTCGATAAACGAAATAACCCGCTTTTCAAAAGCCAGGTAAAGTGGTCCTGTTGTGTCAGTCATCTTATCGACTGCTCCGTGAATTTGATTGATTTCACTTTCGGTTAAAGCGGTTGATACTTTTTTTTGAGTTATAGCATCATCAATAAGACTTGTCACAGATGACTTCAAATATACCAAAGTAAGTTGTTCAGAAAGTAAATGAATAAATTTGTCATGTAGTTGTTTTAAAATATCATTGACCACTCTTGAGTCAATTCCTTTTCCTCGAAGAACTGTTGATACACTTCCTGACAAGAGAAGCAATAAACTGCTTTCTTGCACTGTATTTGCAGCAAAAAACACAACTGACTTTTCAAAGTAAAAGCATTCAGTAGGGTAATCATGCCAACGATCTGCTGATTGAATACCACCACTTCGAAGCAAATCCAATAATCCGTAGAGCAAACTTCCACGAAGACATTTTTCCTGTTCGGTTAACGCTGTTACTGAGACGGCAGCAGGTGAATTTGCCCATTGTTTTACACGAATATCATTGAAATAACGCCGAATAAATGACAATGAACTCTCCCATTGATCAACATTTGCATGACATTCACTTATGAACTCTCGAATATACGAAACAGCATTCTCTCGTAATTGTTGAGTAATAAACATGAGTGAATATTGGGCAACATCTTCGTGTAGTTGGCGTATAGAAGAAAGCATGACGCGAAATGTATTAGACACCGCTGTACCAAGGTCTGGGGTACAAGTTTCAAGGTTTTTCCCTAATTCCTCTGCGAGTTTGCGGGTTTCTTCTGCTCTAGCAGAGGATCCATACTCTACAACTTTTCCCATAACGTAACGCATAAGTGCGGCAATATTTCCTGGACTTCCCATAACAGACCGACGTACAACGCGCCAATCAAGAACATCACGAAGTTCTTGTTCAGTTTGAGAGCGTAGACGCCTTGGAAGAGCATTTAAAAGTCCTTCAATAACAAGGTTTAAAAAACGAGGAATACTTTGTAAATCAGGAGGTTGTCGATTGCATTGTTCTGCAAGTAATGCGAACTGCGCTTCGTTTAATGATGATACGATTTGCTCTTGCCATGGATCTTTCTTCGGTTCAGGCACTTTTATTACTGTTTCATATGCCTTCTTCGCCCGGAACTCGAGCCGAACGTATTTCTCGCGACGAATCTGCAAAGGATCTGTTACTGGTGGTCTGGAACGTCCGTGTTCGTCCACGTACCAGTTGGGAGGGAGCGCCGGTCCCATCACGACGGGCGGGATCGGCTCCGTCTCTGAGCCGCTCGTGTTTCCCTCTGAAAGCAGCAGCATTGGGGCCGGTGGGGTGGCGAGTTGTAGACTTGCGGGTGTTTTCTGAGGGGCGGAAGCCTCCCTCTCCTTATCTTTCCCTACCTCCCTTTCATTCTCCTTCGCTTTTTCTTCTTCCTCTTCCTCCCGCTGGGCTTCTCGCATAGTGGCTTCCAGCTCATTAAGATCTTCCTGGGAAGTCAGGCGCGACAAACGATCATGAAGTAAGCCTACAAATGAACGAAGGTCCTTATTTGAAGGTGTCTTTCGGAGTTCACGTGAAGCAGCAACGTAGGCTTCCTTTGTGCCCTTCACAAGGACAGATCTACATGCACGACGGTCCGCACCCTTAAGAGAACGAAGGTCTTCCGCTGCTTTTTTGCTGTATTCTTGCCATGTAGTACCTATAGAAGAGAGAAGGGCGGCAGCGTATTGCTCATCTACTTCTTCCTGTGAACCATAAACTTTTAATTGCTCAAGAAGTTCCACCAAATGTTGGGCACATTCAGAAATAAGTCCATCCACTTCATTACTTGGTAATACAGCATAGTAATAAGCAAGTAGAAGTGCATGTGGGTTCATTGTAATACGACGTTGACTACGAAGACGTGATCTTCCATTCATGCTAGCCGTCAAATTCGGTGGCCGTACAACTATTTGTCCCGTCTTTGAACCCACAAGTCGCAATATCTCTTGTGCCACCCGTACCAAATGTCGTCGATGAGGCTTGCCTGTTTCTGGGCACATTTTCAAATCGGTATTGCCACATGATTTGCAATACCACTCGTCTGTAATAAGAATATGTTCCACCGCCTCCGCTGGTAAAGGTTGGGCCGGGTTATATTGTAATCCAGAAGCCTCAAGTTGTCTTAACAACTTTGATACCTGTTTCACGCACTCCGCCGCCGAAAGGGGGGATTTTTCTGGAATTGAAGGAAGCGACTCAGTCATTATAAAATAGGTAACGAGAAAAAAAAAAAAAACAATAGTAGCTTTGGTAATGAAAAGAGACGGTAGAAAAAAAAGAGAAAGGAAGGAAAAAAAAAAAGTTGAGAGAAGTCAGAAAAAAAAAAAAGTAATATTAACAAAAAAGACAGCAAAAAAAAAGAAGAAATAAGAAAAAAAAGAGAAATGACAGTAAAGAGTCAGAAAAATGTACTGATGACATTGAACTTCGTTTTCTCCATATAATGCCTACAATGATGCAAATGTTCCAGGGCTCAAACAAAAAAAAAAAAAAAAAAAAAAAAAAATCCTTTAAAAATAAATAAATATAAAAAAAAAAAGAACGAAGGAGAGGCCGTTTGAACAGATTGCGCATATACGACTCTCCAAATATCCGGTCTCAAAGCATTACTAGCAGCAATAAAAGTCAAGCAATTATATTATTGAAGGAGGGCTACATAAATACGAAAGGAAAATACCTTTTTTCCCCTCTTCTACTCAAGAACTACTACTTCACTAATGTGCGTGAAACCCCACGTCTTCACCTCTCCATTCCACACTTTCTTTTTTCCACCCATTCATCATTCCATACTTCTTTTTTTTTTTTCTTTCTCTTCAACTCCTGTCGATCCTGTGAGCACGTGTATTATTTCTGAGGGTGAGTTAAACAATTTAACAACCAAAACATCCACCACTACTTCTCTTATCCAGATTTCTACAAGTGAAAGATGGGCACGATCCGAAGTACAAACGTGCCTATATAAACGCAGAAACATATATACAAACACACACAGAGATACAAAAAAGAAAAAAAAAACATAATAAAAAAAAACGAAAAAAAAAAAGATTCTATACGCACAGTGAAGAGTCATCATCTCCTTAATTACTAAATGTACCCAGTGACCAGAAGCGTGCCACACCATCTGCAGAAGCGGTTATGACGATATCACCGTCCATGACAAGTCCACGTGTGAGATCTTTCCAGGCTTTTTGTTTTGCTGCCAATGGAGATGTAAACTTTCTTACATCCCACACAACGAGATCCGATCCACTGCATACGGCAATATGTCTATCATCAACTGCAACAGCAGTGATAACTTCTGACATGGTTTTTTCGTTAATCATAGAAAGACCACTTCGAACATCCCAAAGTCGAACCATCTTGTCGAAACCACCTGTCACTGCTGTATCGCCATAACTAGCTACAGCTGGAACTTTCCGTTGATGACGATCCGTTGTTTCAACCACCGTACAAGTTGCAGGATCAATTAGCGAACAAACGCCACTGCCTCCACCAATAAGAACATGCCTTCGCTGGGTGGAACGCATAGCTTGTATAGACATCCCTGATGCAATAAATGAACTGCATTGTCGATCAGAATGCAGCACACAGATAGTGGCACTCAAACCTCCAGAAAGAACGGCGCTAGAAGGATCTTCGGGGTTTGCATATGTTACTGCGAACACGTCACTTTGAAAAGAGGCTACTGATGTTGCCGCAAGATCTTGAGTTGCAAGAGAATAATTAAAAATAGAACTAGTGCCATCCTCACAGGCGGTTGCAAAATCGTACGCCGAGGCAAAAGCCACATCCCAAACACATGCCTTATGTGGACGAAATTGAATAAGAGGTAGGCCATCAACATCCAATATTAAAACATAACCCCCAGTTGTACCTACAGCGTAACGTCCATCTTTAACTTTGCAAAGAGAAATAAATTTTTCATTAGCACCAAATGTATACTTAGCAACACGAGTAATTCCTTCTCCAGCAATAGTTTCTCGATCAACTGGGGCAGTAGCACTTTGGCTTAATTCCATAAATGTATGTTTTTCTAAGGGAACAATGCTCACTTCATGAGATATTTTAACACGTCTCTTTCGATCACTCACATCCGTTTTTACGTCAACTACTGCAGGTGCTGCTCCACGAACAAGAGAAAGACCTCTTCGACTTTCGAGTAAATCACTTTCAAGTTGTACTTCACCTGTTTCAGGTCGAAGTGTACCGCGAAGTGTTATTCCACCATTGAGTAAAACTTCTGGAAAGTGTGGATGGGGTTCACACATGAGAAAAACACGTGCCTTATTGTGAATGGCTCCCTCCTCTTGCGCTTCCACGATACACTCTGCTAGCTTTCGTAAAAGCGATATAGACTTTGTTGCCTGTTCAATATAGATCCATAAACCTTTTTTAAGTGATTTCCGAAAGACATCACCTGCTTGAGCAAGACTTTGTCTTGTTTTAAGGCGTGCAACTGCATTAATATACATCACTGTACACGATGCACGCTCGGCGGTTACCGCGATTGGGTATGCCGGGTTAACTCCCTCACTCATGATGATAATGCACTTTCCTGGCCCGGCCCTCTCTGCGGCATCTGCGAGAACACTTGTGCTTTCTGGCAAGATGGCGGTGTCGTCGCTGGCGAGGCTGGCGAGCGCTGGCCCGCGCTGCTGGAATCCGCCGTCCTCGTCCTCGCAGGAGCTGAGATCGAACTCGTCGTGGCGGCCGGAGGGCTGCGGGGCGAAGACAAGCATCACATCGCTGCCGGTGGGGGCGTGGCGCCGCTGCTCCTCGTCGGCCCGGCGGACGGGGGTGCCGTTGACGGAGCTGAGGACCATCCCCCGCGCGACCCCCGCCAGCCCCGCGTAATCGCGGCTGTTCACCGTCACCACTTCGTTGTTCGGGCCGAACTGCACCCCTTCGAGGAACTCCCGCGCCGTCGCCGTGACGTAAATTGACATTAGTGATACTACTTTCTTGCTCACACGAAGAAAACGTAAAAAAAAAAAAAGATGAAAGAATAAGAAAAAAAAAAAAAGAAATCTTTCGTCACAACACGTCAGTAAACCTCTCTTTCAGCTTATTTCCGATTATCGCATTTATTTTTACCGGTATATCCAAAAATGTGCATCCCCCGAGAGAATACATACAACCAGGAAAAAAAAAAAAACAATCAAAGAACAACAACATCCTTACTCAGAGTGATGAGGAAAGCTATACTCATTATTAAAGTATAACTCAAGGTGCCAAGAAAAAGATCTAAGAGTTAAAAAAAAAAAAAAAACCACACATAACACAGATAATAAGTACAATGAGAAAAAAAAAAAGAAACAGAAATAAAAGAGTACCTCTATTATTGTTACTGTACAAATGTATCTAGAATCATTAAGAAACAACATGAAAAAAAAAACAGTCTTGGGGATAAAAACATCTCTCGTTTCTTATACTAGAGTGCACACTTATGAAATCCTCAAAGTAAATCAGAGAGCAGGCAAGAAGAGTTTTTTTTAAAAAAAAAAAAAAAACTTCAGATGGGTTCCTAGACAAAAGAAGAAGAAAAAAAAAAAAAATCCTGGTTTATAATGATCAATAAGTGCAGTTTACTCTAGTACAACGTGAATGTGGTCCTTACGATGAATTTTACATAAGACTCACAGTGAACTTTACAATAATAGAAACGCAAAAAAAAAAAAAAACCAGTCCCCTGATTTCGTGTCATGCTTGAGTTCTGCATAAATGGCACACAGAGGCAGGTGTAACCCAAATACCGCAGTAGGAGCATTTAACCTTTGGTGTTTTCTGTGGAGGAGCAGCCAGGGGTGATGTTTCCTCGTCTTTCCATGACTGAGATGCCGCTTCTGTTACTGCTGCTTCTGCTCCTGTAAAGGACACATAAGACAATACGCGAGAGGAGATCATCGAAGCCACATGATGTGGACGCGGTGCTGGAATCGTGTCACCGCACAAAGTACAGGTTCCCCCTTTTTTTCCCCAAACACCACAAGTCGAACACTTCCTCTTCGTGTGCGATTGGGCATCGTACGAAGAAACACTACGAAAGCAGTGATTATGGGCAGTGGGGTAATTAGAACTGGTTCGATAGGACATGGTTATCAAAAGAAACGTCACCGTATTTTTACTATTATTGTTAAGAAACAACCTGTCTACTATGAACAAATAGAAAAAGAAAGAAAACATAATCCATTACAAGTAAAAAAAAAAGCATAATGCAAGAGATGAAACAAAAAAAAAGAAAAGAAACATCACCACCATGACTCAATACTCAATTATCAAAGTGGGAATCAAAAAGCGCGTATGCATTTAGTCTGTGAGCCTCATTCTTCTTTTTGTTTTCATTTTGTTCTTTTTTTTTGTTTTCATTTTGTTCTTTTCCTTTTTTTTTTTATGTTTTTTTTTTTTTTTTTTGCTTCTCAAAGAGTTGGAACAAACAAAAAAAAAAAATTTATGAGATTCAATCATCCTCTCTCTTTAGTTAAGCTGCCTAGTCATAAAGCTTAAATTCAGATTCTGTTCTCACTGCACTGCGGCCCACAACTCGTGATTGGCTCGAAGAAGACCTTCAAGATGTGCCCCATTCGGTCCACGTAAAGCCTGTTGAACCCGTTCACGAAAGTAGACATGCGGCTGCTTCACGGATGCACAGACATCAATTGGGGGACGTACAGCACCCTGCAGTGGACAAAAGATATTTGTAAAACCAGAATCGTCAACATATTGTTTCAAATCCCCCATTGTATGTGCCTTTGGAGTGAAACTCGTCACATCATCATTTTCCACAGCGCCATGAATCATTTTAAGGCAAGTTACAACACAGCTAGTCCATACTTCGCTATTTTGTTGAAGTTCCTCACATTCTCCCAGTAAGCATGACAACGCCACCACACACACTTTACGCTCCAATGGTCCCAAAATCTTCTGAACATTAGGAAGCCATACTCGCTGAAGAAGCATCCAGAATAGTCCATTTTGAATAAGGTTTATCCTTGTTACAACATCATTAGCACCATGAACAACTACCACAATGGATAAGAAAATAATGAGAATACGCACATACTTTGGTGTTCTAGATGTTTGTAATCTCTGAAACAATGCTTGATATACAGAACCCATAAAAGGTTCAATAATATCTTTTGGATAGGCTATAACCATTGAAGTAAGAATATTAAATCCTTCATGATCGTAATTTTTATATTGAAGAAGTGCTCGAAATATCATCAGAGTTTTTTCAGTGAGTCCCTTACTGTGAACATATCGAGGATAGTGTTCTATAAAAGACACTAAAAGTCGAACGACAGCAGGAATATTTCCCTTTTGCTGATACATATCAGGAACAAGTAATGGTTCCAATAAAGCCTGATAATGCGCCGGAGGATCTGGAGATCCACCGCTACGTGTATCAAGAAGTTGTGCCATTATTTGTAATGTGTACGGTACATACTCCAATACATCATTCTGTAAAATAAAAATCATGGGTTCCCATAATGCACCCTCAATAGCAGCGGCATCTTCAGGACGCAATTGAATGCATTTTGATATAACCTCAAACATACAGTGACTAAAAAGAGGATTTGAAGGATTTTTGGCATTCGATTGAACAACAGGAGCTATACAAGTAATAATATCACCAACAAAAGGTTTTACAGAATGACTGCAGTTTTGGCTTACCCGTAAAAGACACTGCATTGTATAAGCACAGGGTCGTTTATCTTGTTGAAGTCGCATACAAAGGTGTTGTAAGAGTGGAGCAACTTTATCACCCATATTTGCATCCGAAATAATAAGTTCTTGCTGACCAGGACGACGAACAGTTAGAATACGCTCTACAGCATGGGCTGCATATGCATGTACTACTTCATCTGGGCATCGAATCCATGAAGTTAAAAGTGCTACAACATCTGGAATTATCTGTGGATCAATATGTGCTCGAAATGTCGCTACAAAACGTATACAATCAGCTTTAATAATAAAAGGACTCTGTGATGAAACATCTGAAGAAAGTTCAGTAAGAATATTATGTCTCAAAAAGGATTCAAATGGTACTAAACCACTTAACTGTTGACTTGCCCCTCTCTGGGTGTTAGCGTACTGACCTTCTAACGCAAGAGCAGATACCAAATAAATTGATAAATCTTTTGCTTTCCAATCTCCAGATGCAACAGCTGTCATAAGATGTTGTAATTGAGCCGTAAAAAGTGGACCAGATTTATCAGGAAAAGAAACCATTAAAGAACGAACAAGTTCTCCTGCTTCACGTCTTCGAGTGTGTAAATCACTACCTTCAATGTCTCTTTGAATATACTCATCTGATTCCCTCTCATATAATTCAATATCTTCTGTTTGCAGTGCTAGATTTGGTAAAATTACTTGTACCACAAGGTTTTCAAGTACCTCTGTATTGTCAAATACAGTACGCATGGAACCTCGGCAAGCAGCTGAAAGAAGGTTTATTCCTTGAATGACGACATCATCCATTGCACTGCTTCTACTAGATGGTGAAGCAATAGTGTTCCAGACAACATTCATAAAACCACCTGCATGCTTCTCAAAGTCTTCATCAAAGCGCAAAAGGAAATGTGTCACACAAGCCATTACAGCAGACTTCAATTCAATTAAAACCATATCATCCGTAACAGGACTACTGAATTGAAGGCATCGCATAAGAACATCCACAAATTTATTTAGATTCCAAATAAACTCATCACCAAGGTCTAAAGTAGTCATATCACGAAGACACTCTACAGCTGAAGTGAGTCCTTGACATGCTGCCTTAAATGATGAGTTACACTTTTCCATTTCGCCCAAAAGATATTCCATCGATAAGAGTAGAGGAGACGTTAGGGTAGTATAAATGATGCGAAGGTCTTCTGCCAGCTTTTCTGAAAGATCTGTCTGAGATCGATAGCGTCCTAGAATACTGTGAGCCGTTGAAAGTGCAGCGCTCTGTATCGCCACATCCTTCTCATTCATCAATGACTGAACAATACGGTCTAGAGCATTTGGCCACTTTTCCGGAAAATCTATTTCAGCTATCATAGTTATAGCCTCTGCGAGGTTTCGTTGAACGTTTGGGGGAGCGCGAAGCATAAGGAGAGTAATAGTATCACGTACGACTGCCTTGTCATTTTCTGTGATACAATGTTCTGCTGTTGCAGCGTCCCAACATGTTTTAACTGTATTTTTAAAAACAATGGAGCAGAAAGATGATGCAGGACCAGAGGCAACAGCTACATTAAGAAGTAACAAGACGAATCCAGTCTGCTTATCAACACTATTTTGGAATTCCTTAATCTCATGTTCTGCCTTCTCTCTATCGCTGTTGTTCATGGAAACTGCGTCAGACGCCAATTTAACTAGGCGCTGCGCCAATACTGGATCATTTGGGTCTATCGCATGCATAGTCCTGCTTCTTCCTTTCTCCTTTCTTTTCTTATAAAAAAAAAAAAAAATTTACTCTATCCTTCCCAGAATTATTTCTCTTTTATTACGAATTCTTTTTTTTTTTTTATTACTGCTATTTTTTACCTTTCAATAACAAATCAATTTATACAAGTGAAGATCAATAATGAAAAAATAATAATATACATATACATATATATAGATATAGATATAGATATACCAAGACAAGTCAGAACATCCCACATGGTAACAGCAAAAATACCTCTTTCTTTTTTCTTTTTTACTTTACATTGATACCTTTTTTTTTTCTCCTTTTTAGTATCCAAACGGGTAATACAAGACGAACGAGATGTCTATCATCTGAAACGCCTACACCATCCTCTCTTTCCGAAAAATAAAGCAACTGTCACTAATGGAAGATAAAAAAATTTCACAGCACCCCACACCCCCACACACCCCATAGGCCTCTTTTTTGATATTTTCTCTTCATTCCCTCCTTCCCTCTAAACCCTTCTTTCAACGTTTTTTTTTTTTTTTTCTTTTCCTCCTTTCTCTGCATTTATTGCTGCACTTGTAACTCTTTCTTATATATTCCTCATTTGATTGGGTAACTTTTATTGTTCTTTTCGTTTTATGTTTTCGTTTTATGTTTGCGGTGGGAAATACGTAGAAGGAAAGAAACATCCACTCTATCATTTCAATATACCGCTATTCATAGATCTTTTTTTTTTTTTCTTTCTGTTATTGTTGTCGTTTTCATACTGATCCACCTTCCCCAATGTTGCTTGCTTTTAATGGCGTTTCCAAAGAAAAGTGATTTTTTTTTTTCTCACAACTTTGGTGCGGCCTGCGCTGTGAGACAAACGAGACCTGGCAAAGCTTTGCCTTCAAGAAGTTCCAAGAAGGCCCCACCGCCTGTACTTGTGTGAGTAATACAGTCCTTATATCGCTTTGTGGCTGCTGCAGTCTCACCGCCGCCAACAATTGAAACAAGATTTTTGTTTTTACAAATTGCCTCAGCTATCGTCGTTGTTCCTGTTGCAAAATTGGAGAATTCAAAAACACCAACAGGTCCATTCCAAATAAGTGTTCTCGCTTCAGCCACAGCTTTTGCACATAGAGCATTTGTTTTTGGTCCAAAATCTAAAGCAATGTATCCATCTGGTATATCAGCTCCAGTGGTAGTAAATGGTTCTTCATTCTTAAATGATTTTGCGCAATTGTGATCGACAGGAAGGATTAATTGAACTTTTCTTGCAGCTGCAAGTTCCATTAACTCCCTTGCAACAGCGTGAAGATCCAATTCACGTCCCTTCTCTCTTGCAGTACGCTCAACTTTAGAATTACCACAGGAATGACCTTTTGCTTCAAGAAAAGTGTACGCCATAGCACCACCAATAATAATGGTCTGGGCAAATCTCATGATACTGGCGAGTACACTGATCTTATCCGATACCTTCGCTCCGCCTACGATACAGAGTAAAGGATTTGTTGGATTACGCATCACCATACTGATAGCTTTGATTTCCCGTTCAATGAGATATCCCGTTACTCCAGCACCCAATACTCGCGGAAGTCCAGTCATGCTTGCAGTCATTCGATGCACTGTACCGAAAGCATCACAGACATAAATATCGCTGAAAGCGGCTAGTTGCATTGCCATACGGTGTCGTGAGGCGGTATGTACACCATCCTCACCCGGGAAGAAACGGAGATTCTCCAATAATAATACTTCTCCATTTTTCATCTTCTCCACCATACCAGGGGCTGCATCCAGTGTAGGAGAGAAGATCACTTTCTGTCCCAGTATTTCCTCAAAACGAGGCAAAATACGCTTAAGAGAGTGTCGAGCACTCGGCTTCTTTGGGCGTCCAAGATGTGAACCAACAATGACACGACCACCATCCCGCACAATTTTAGTGATGGTTGGAACTGCTGCTCTAATACGACTGTCATCACGTATTTCTTGAGTAGATTTATCAAACGGTACATTAAAATCTACACGAACAAACACGCGACGGTTATTGAAATTCAAGTCATCCACCGATAGCTTTGGTGTCAGTGCAGCGCGCAGATTCATGTGAACGCCAAAATCAAAAACACGAGGGAGAATAATGGGCAGAATTGTCCATCCCACCATAGTGGCGTGCGGATCTCGCGTAGACTGAATGACAACCGGTACACTCACAGAATTCTTCAGACGTGCCATAAGCGTTACCGTGTTGTCCTGAACATCGAGAGGGTGATTTGGTATAAGGAACGTGATGCTCTTTCCCTGTACCTCCGCAACATCCCAGCCGAAAAACACACATGCTGGGGGATTCATATCCATTATAACCATATCATTGTCACCAACAACAACGATGTCGCGAAGCGACTTAAATATCATATCAATCCTTGACTGATTTAGCATTGTACAATCACTGTGAAGTACAATCAAAAAAACAAGTGTATATGGAACCAAGTATACCACAACAGCAATAACAAGACCCTTTAGTTCCCAGATAGTACTACTACTTTAGCGTTTGGTACCTTGACAAAAATAAATAAATAACAAAGCCAAAAAGGGGCTAAAAAAACAAAAAGAAAATAATAATAATAATAATAATAATAATAATAATAATAATAATAATAATAATAATAATAATAATAATTAACAATACAAAGAGAAGCACTTTCTATTAAAAAGGAAACACGATAACGTTCCTCTTGTCATACATTGTTGCTGGGAAAACAAAACAAAAAAAAAAAAAACTCTCAGTGCAAGATTTGCACCTATTCTCCACCCTTCATATTACAAATCTGCACGCACACACAGACACACACAAAAACAACTCATCAAATCTGCTTGCCACCGATCTCAGTTACAGCAAGCAGAGGAGATCAAACCCAAGAAAAAAAGGCAGAAAACAACTCTTCATGGAATTCGTTAATCATATGACTCTCCCCTTTTTTTTTTCTTCTCAACTACTCACATTCGCACCACAACACAGAAGATAGACATTTTGGCTTAATGATGCCGGAGTCTATTTAAATTTGTTCGAAACCCAAAGGAAGAAAATAAAAAAATAAAAATGATTGCAAAACAAATTACGCAGCGGAACACCCGGCTCTTTATTGGAGACCTAAACAGCTCAGTCTCTGCCGGAATAAAGCCATGAAAGAGAAGAAAAATGTAGACTGCACGCCGCTCAACCTTTCTAGATTACGTGCGAGAATAAAACCACAACATTTGATCTTGTGCACATATTACTCTATTAATGATACTATACAAGGAGAAGAAAAAAAAAAAGAAAGGAGTAGTAATAAGTATATTAGAAATGATGTAAAACAAGGTGATCTACGTAAGAGTTATAACAACACATCTATATTACGAGAAGGATAATATCTCATTCAAAGTTCATGAAAAAGAAAAGATCCAAAAGGGGGAAAAAAAGATACATCCAAATAAAAGTAATAAAGAAACAAAAGATACTTTCAAAGAAGAGTCCTAATTTTCTTTATTACTTTTTGTTTTTCTTTACAGGGCAGCGTTTGACAAAATCCCTTAGCATTTCTCTCAGTATCCCTGCTCCTAAAAAAAAAAGAACTTACCAGTAATAGCAGCAACAACAACAACATAATCTTTACTACCAAGAGAAGCATAAAAAAGGGATACATAAAGTCTCACATTACCCATATAAAAAAAGATAAGTAGAAAAAAAAAAATTCTCTTTCTCTATCTCTCTCCCTCACACACATTCTCTCTCTTCATCATCTCCTTTTGTGTGTGTGTGTCTGTATGTAAGAGAGAAAAGGAAGAGAAAAGAAAGAGAGAGACACACACACACACACAAAGAAAACATATGTCCCCAAACAATAGTCTCGGGCACATCATGTAACCCTATTGTAACATTAACTCTTGACTTTACATGCGAGCGCGTTGTAGCATAATGACGCAAAATTCATTATACGAAATTTTCTCACTCTTAGAATATCGAGAAATAATTCGATTCACCTCCGTCTCTGTAAGAGGCAGTCCATAGTGTTCCATAGCAAGATATTCCTTAATGAATTTTTCACGATCAATAAAATCTTGGTTATCATTAGCATACTTTTTGAATTCCACACGCAGTTCATCATCAAATACCGCTCTATCAGCGGTATCATATACAGATTCAAGGTAACGACGGGTATGCTGCTTCAATAGCACATCCGACACTGTAGCGTTTGTACCGAATTCATGTACTTTCAAAGACTTTGGAGGTGTAACAGTTTTGAGAAGGGCCGAGCCGTAATTTGCCGGTTGTGTTTGATAAAGTTCCCCTGGTGAGTGAGGAGAAGGATTAATTTTTTGTTGATCTTTTTTACTTTCCTCCTCTTTTTGTTCTTGTGGTTCGCCTTCTTCTTCATCATCACCCACCTTTGTTTGTTGTTTCGTGTTTGCTTCCTGAAGCTCATCTGTCTTCAGTACATTGGACATAGCACTATACTCCATATCCGGTCGGCTGCATTCAACAGACGTTTCCACCACCAGAGAACTGCAGGAGTTTCGTTTTACAATGTTATCACGTACATACTGAAGCACGCGGTCCGCTTGTGATGGGTCTGCGCCAAATGCGGCACGTACGGCCTCCAATAACTCTGGTTCATGTACATATCCCTCACTATCTGCCTCTTTTCCTAGATCCTGAAGGATTTGTGAGACAATTAGCAACTCACCATCTGTAACACTCGTCGACTGATAAAGAGAAGAAGAATCAACTGACAAAACTCGTGGACCTTCAGCAAAACAATGGATAAAATCATCCATTGAGATTTTTTTGTCATTGTCGTTGTCTGATGCAACTACAATGGCGCCCATTACAGCAGAAAGTAGTTCTTCATCTAATGAAGGAAACACATCACGAAATACATCATTAAGGACAGCTATAAGATGATTAGGGCTTACACATCCAGAACCACCGTCTTCATCATCTTGGACAACCGAAAGCTGTTCTAACTCACCACTTTCAAGCATTTCTTGTAATTTATTGCAAGCAGTTCGTAATTTTTCTTGAGCAGAAGCAACAGGTAATTGTGTTAAGGTAATATTTTGAACAAAACCGCGAACAAAATCGGCAAGGGTTAAAATACCACTCTTACTTCGATCTGCGGTAACCATAATAAGATCACAAAGTTCATGAACCTGGCTTTTGTCTAATACGTTCTCAGAAAGTGTCTCCCAAAGTGATTCATAGATATCAGAAAACTCAACGAAACCATCCTTATTTTTATCCAGAACGGCAAAGGCTTGTTTAAGAACTTCAATCTCGGCAGGTGTCATTTGCTGAACCATTTGTCTTGCATGTGCATCTACAAATGCCGCTGGCAGCACACCTTGATCTTCTTGAAAAGATCGGATAAACTCTGATAGACACAAGCGTCCATCACGATCGGTATCTGCGCTGGCCATGATAACTGCCACAATATCATTGTAGTTATTCTCTCGAAGATCTGGAAACCTATATTTAAGGTTCTCCTTGAGCGCGGCGACGAGCTCCTCCTTATCAATGTATCCATCCGCTTTTGTGTCTATGCGACGGAATGTGTCTTGCAGCGTTGCGATTTCCTCGTCTGTGAGTCGCACCCGAATGGAAGAGACGCAGCTATTGATGACCTCCGCCGGCACTACACCTGGTCCGTTCGCGAAGGAGAGAAGAAACTCGGCGAGACTGAGACGACCATCACGGTCCCGGTCGGCGACGGCGAAGAGGGGGATGAGATATTCCCGCAGCGGCTCAAAGCGGGCGTCGCCCACGCAGCGGCGGACCGTCGCGAGAAGTTCGTCGCGGCCCACGTGGCCGTCGTTGTCGCGGTCCATGTAAATGAAGGCATCGCGCAGCATGTCCACCTCCTCCGGTGCCAGCGAGCCGACCGCCGAGGAGAGGCCCCCACTACCATCCGCAAGAGACATCTCGGCAACACCCGTCTGTATGTAGCAAAATACACCTGGAAAAGCACAGAAAGAAAAAAGAGAAGAAAAGGAGATGTCAGTGAGGTCAATGGGATAAGAGAAAAAAAAATAGAATGTGCAATACCATCAAAAAAAAAAAGGAAAAACACATTCACATGCAAATAGCATACATCCATATATGTATATTTAAGTAATATATATATATATATATGAGGGGGGAAACAGTCGTCCATGTGAGGACCGTCTTACACCAGCACCTCGTCAAAGTACACATTCAAACATAGTCTCAAATACACAGAAATACAGATGCATAGAAACAGAAAAATAAATAGTAGTAGAAAAAAAAAAAAGAACACAAACGGGAAAGAGTAACGGTAAGACGTTAAGAAATAATAATAATAATAATAATAATAATAATAATAATAATAATAACAATAATAATAAAAATCATCATCATCATCATACAGCCAAGAATCACCATCATCAAATATATCCTGGTGTTGTCATGGCGCGGAAGAAGCGACAACTCACCTCTTCACCAATACGGTCATCCGATTGCGCGACACTTTGTTGTCTACGTCGTGCATTTGAGTAGAATTGTCCTCCTCTCATACGCTGTTGTATTCTCCCACCCTTTACATTATCCTTCTGCAATTCAAGACGCCTAAGCCGTTCATCGTAGGCCCGCTGTCGCTCGAGTGCCTTTTCACGCATACGACGTTCCTGCTCTTGTTGATGCTCAAGACACCTCAACGCACGTTCATCATAAAGAAGACGACGCTGCTGCATATCTATTTCCCGTGCAATTCGCTCTTCTTCAGCAGCCTTTGCGCGTGCCTGTTCTCGTTCCTCTTGAAGACGCCGTTTAGCCTCTATCTCTGACTCCCGTAATGTTCGATTAACTTTAGCTCGCTGTGAGGAAGAAACGTGGAGATGTGCCGTATGAAATCGATTGAACAATAATTTCTTCTGATGTCGATGAGAAGCTTCATCAAGACGTCTAAGTTCATCCTGCAATTTTTCTTCACGTATTTGGTGTTGTATGGCCTGAAGGTTTTTGGCTTGTTGTGCTTTACTTTCCTTGATACGATTACGAAGACGAACTTCCTCAAGTTTAGTTTGCCTTACAGCTGTTATCGTTTCACTCGCCATCCTTTCCTTTTCTTCATGTTTTTTCTGTATTTCATATTGTTTCTTCTCAAGCATTTGTTGTGCACGAATCAAAACCTGTTGTCGATGAAAATCTCGTGATGTTGTCTTTGTTGATGCTTCCGCAGCCTCATCAGAATTGCGGAACCATCCATTGTCGTGAGACGTTGTGCTCGTACAAGTGCGCCTATAGCGCCCTCCTTGCATTTATCACAAGTCCATCTTTCACATAAAATACAGCAAAAAAATATAATAATAAAAAAAAAAGAAAAAAAGAAAAAAAGATTAAAGTACGTACATCCAATAGATATGTGAAGACATCCTGCACTGATTCTTGTAACCCAAGGAGAAATATCTTCAATACAAAAGAATTCTTCATGTAAATGTCACAAAAATAATAATAATAATAATAATAATAATAATAATAATAATAATAATAATAATAACAGAGAAACTTGACGCTAAAAAGAAGGTGATTTTCTGGGTGTCACGTAATGATCATAGTAATGTTTTAACCATCGCTGAGCCAAGTCAAGATCCAATTCAATGTGTTCCACTTCATGGTCAATGAGCTCAGGATCTAGTGGTGATGGAAAAAGATGTATCAGGCATCCTCCATACCTATGACCCCCATCAAATTGATGATCTACAACATAATGTTCTTGTTTCGCTATGAGTGCTAAAACAGCTAAGCGTAATTTAATAAATTCATACAAGCACGGCTCAAGGTGCTGTAAGGGTTCTTTTGGGTTACCTACTACGTCTGTCAGACGACTACGAGCTATACCACGATGTAATGCTACTTCACAAAGCAAGTACTGAAGAGATGTTCGCAGTTGTTTAGTGCAGATACAATCAACACAATCACCCATATCATAATAGGGGGAATAAACAATAGTAGGGTCGTACGACTTGGTGCTATACATACTCATGCCCATTACTTGGGCTACCTTAGATATACCTAAGGTGTAGCGTCGTTCAATACCAGAGTATTCAACACCTTGTGGCATACGTAAAGGTCTACTTCGTAATTTATTACGCAATAGTTGAGCAACAAAGAGTTTCATCTTACGCATAAGAAATAATTCTTCAGCAACCTCCAGTTCTGAACGTCCAGTCTTAAGAGATATATACTTAACACGTTCATCATCACTAAGTTCACGCGGAAAATAGTGAGTATAAATAACGTCAGAAAAAGTTGGAACATAACGTCCATCAACTGTTATCTCCTTCTTGTATGGAAACCACCGCACAAGACTCTCTGTGCGTGGGTTTGTTGCTTCGATATATCCGTGAATATGACGTGGTATACTTTGTGATGAAAGTGTCTCACCGCTTCTGTTCATCATGCGCTTCCAGTATCGTGTAAGAGGATTGTGCTCAAAGACAGGGCTATCCCACATGGACATACGGCTACATCGTGATGATTGCATATCGATATCTCTCTCTACTCATACACTCTTCTGGTCGCCCAGTTGCAGTCGCTGCTGTAATAATAATGATATGGTCAAAGAGAGAGAGAGAAAAGGAAAAAAAAAGGAAGGAAATAAAAGTGAAAAAACACCACAGACCCAACTGGAAACAAACATGGACACAAATAAATAAATAAATATATATGCATATATAACATGAGATAAAATAGAACCCCCTCCCAATAATAATAAAAAAAAAAAAAAAATACAACGATAAGTTTGTTTGTTGGTTAGTTTTTTTCTTCTGCGAACAGGATGGATAACGTTGACTTAAAAAAGCACCATATCCTTTGCTCTCCAGAATCTTTTTTTTTTTTCGTCCTCTTTTCACTGTACAATGTCATTATAACGAAGTATACAGTTTACCAGAGAGCATGTGTCTTGGAAACCGTTGAAAAGTTGCTATGGTCAGGAGGGAGATGCAGTGATAACTCATCTTCTGACTCTTCACGGTGTGGGAGTGGAGGAATGATGTAATAGCCCTTTGTAGCACGTAAATGTAATAATTGCATTTCATGATTTTGCTCATCCAGACGCTTTTGAGACTGTAATAAGGCATTGATAGCTTCCAACTCACGTTTTTCGGATCTCTCCGCTTTTTCACGCAATTGTTGTAATTGAATATGTAACTTTGCGTTATCTACTCTCAACTGTTCTATCTCTGTGTGATTAGCATCACCTGTTATCCTCTGCTCTCCAGAGATGTTCAAAACCTTTAGTGGCATGGGAGAAGCTTCCTGTTCTTCTGACTCCATAAGAATATCCCACAAGTCTCTCTCTCTATCGGCAAATAGGTGAATAGCATACTTACCTATTGCGTCATTTAGTGCTTCAAGTTCCCTCTCAACGTTCATTGCCGTATTATCTTTTTCTTCAACCCAATCACTTAACTCAGCGTAGACAGAGGAAGGAGACTTTTTACTTGCTGTAATCAACTCATCAATGCAACTAGATGCACCAGCCGCATTTCTTGAGAAAAAAGATTTAATCTCCTCACTATTTAACATTAAATTAATGGCATCTTCATCATTGTCTCCAGACAAAGAAGGACTAAAGAAGTGCGACACACCAAAAGATTTTCTTGTACCATTAAATAAACACTCTGTCACGCGAATGATACGATCTAGATTTTTCCGTTGTGTTACAAGGGAGCCTTCAACAGAAACCCCTAAACGCCCAGGATCTTTTAGTACTCGAGCTACAAATTGTAAGAAAAACATATCCCCAATAAAATCTTTAGATTTTTCATTTCCACCATCCTCTGTCTCTATTTCCAGAATTAAATTTGTCAACGTACGTGCTTCATTAGGAAAAGGGTCATGAGGTTTTTGCAAAACTTTTGCAAACACGTACAATGACCAACTGGCCGTATCTTCAGGTTTAAACAGATCACATTTAATGGCGTCTAAAAGTATCTTCACTGTATTTCCCAAAACTATTACAGCGTATTGACTTGCAGAAGAATAAGTATATATTGAAATTACTTTATTTGCAAGTGAATTACTGCGAAGAAATCCACCTGTTTGCTGAAAACAGATACTAGTAGCGTTGTGGTTGCGGAGTGGGGACTTTGCGCGTATTATCTCATATTTTAAACATGACTTAAGTAATTCTCGCAGCACACCCACACGCCTGCAGACAGAGAACAACATAAGAGCAATGAAATCCCACTGACAGTTATTTTCTGGCATCATAAGAGAAACGTTAGATAATGTTGAAATAAATGACATTGTTTTATATTTAAGAACTGTCAGTAGTGTGCGGCATCGCACCTCTTTTTCAGATCGTAAACGTTGATGATACATGCTAAGTGGGTAATCCCTCTCAGTAGTATCACTGGGATTACGCACCACCGGTAATAAATGAATAGTTGATATCTCATAAACTCTCTTTAAAATTCCGATAAACGTCTCTGCATTAAAGCAATTCATAAAAAAATAACATTCTAGATTTTTGCCACTATTTTTAGATCTATTTGCAATAATTACTTGTGAGTGTTGGGTTGTACCATTTTTGCATGTTTCAATCATTTCCTTCACGTAGACTATCAAAACCAAAGGTATCATTAACCGTATTCTTTTCATTTTCTTCTCATTAACAATAAAAAGACAAACATCGGTAATGACTACTATCTCGGCTTGCAGACTCTCTGGCTGTTTGAAAATAATGTTTGAGTAATGAACAGTTTGAATATGAATCGGGAGCAATTGAAACTCTTTGTTGTAAATTTCCCCAGTACTGATAACACTTAATCGATATGAGGTCCACATACTCTGTGCAACCCTTATAAATGATGTATTTTGCGATACCCCCATGTTGTCATGGAGAGTACTTTGCAGCGTCAGAGCTGCCCTCCCCTGCTCTGCTTTTTTGTTGTTGTCCTTATTCATAAGTCATAATGCTTGACTCACTTTGCAAAAGAGAGAGTTTGTTTGCTGTCTCCTCCAAAGCAGCAATGTCAAAAACAAAGAAGTAGTAGAATATTTACCTCAAGTATATATCTAAAAAGAAGAAAAAAAAAAAAGAGGGGAGAGAAAAAAGTATCAAAGAAAAAAAAAAAAAACAATCACCTTTCCACATCAGCGCAATAAACCAGGGAGTAAGCAAAAATACAATTTTGCCTCCGTACAGAGAAGCAAACAAACAAAAAAGAACAAAAATATTGAAATAAGAGAAAATAAAACAAAGAAAAGTAAAACGTGGCAAAATAAAAAGGGACCTTTTCTTCTTCTTACTCCTCCTCCACAATGTTGGTCTTGGTCTGCACGTAGATACCATCCAAGAACTTACGGATATCCTTCTTCTTCACCAGGCAGAGCTGATGCATCACGGCGGCTTCACGCGAGACCTTCTCCAAGTCGTTGCCCTCCAGCACGAGTTCATCCTTCACAACAGAGGGATCTGTGCGGTACACCTTCACATCATTGGAGATGAACTGACGGCGCACACGCTTCTCACCCAAGAAGTTGCGAATCTCCACCGCCTGATCCTCCACAGAGACAGAGATGGGAAAGTGCGCGTAGGCGAAGCGGACCTTGAAGCGGAATCCACGAGTCACTCCCGTCACCATATTGCGCACCAGTGAGAGTGCGGTGTTGATGGTGGAGTTGTTGATCTTGTTACCGAACCAGCGAACGGCGGTGAAGGTGCGGAACTTCTTGTTCACACGGAAGTCCAATTGGAGGTGACGGAGGTCCTTTGTGAGTGTTCCGCGGCTGCCCTTTACAGTCACCACACGGTCCTTCACGGAGATCTCAACGCCTTCCGGGTACGTGATGCGCTCCTGTGTCTTAATCTTCATGGTTCCCTTTGCCTTTTTTTTTTATTATTTTTTTACATATGGAAGTAGAGAGAGGGAGAAGGAAAGAAAAAAAATAAAAATAAATAAATAAATAACATACATAAACATATAGCAATAATAATAACAATAATAATGAGAAAAAACAAGTAGATAAACAATTTGAAAACACAGACTGTAAAAAAAGAAAAAAAGACTTTTTTTCTTAGCATGACACAAGTAAACGCTTACTTCGCATAAATGTCACCAGAGAGTATCAACCTGCTGAAGAAAATCATATGTATGAATAGTTGTCATGCCCTAATCCTGTGGAGGATCTGAAGGTAATAAAGGCGTCATATCACTTTCAATATCAGAAATTTGAGGTTTGCGAACATTAATTAACCACTGCGTCATTGCTGTGGGGGAATTGAAATTCTCCATTACCATGGCATTCATCATCTTTGACAAACCAATTACGTGCATCATGACCTCAATCATGAGTTGATCGTACGGTGTGGCTGAAAAACTTGGCGTGTCCTGGTAAGACTGCAGTAAGTGACACGCTTCATCTAGGCGCCTGTTAGATTCACGAAGGGCCAGTTCAAACATACGATCTCTCTCTTCTTGTTTCTTAGCAGCAACAATAACAACATCAGCATCAGCAGAAGAAGTATTACTAGTAGATTCAGCAATAGTAAAACTAATTTCAGCATCCTGTGGAATCCGCCTGGAGCGGGCACACACTCTTGCGTAACAGTCACCGAATTGACACGTTAAAATAGCACCAAGTATAGAACGCAAAATACTTGTTTTGTCGACTCCAACAAAATCAGCGTAGAGTTCTTCAACGGAATTAGAGTCAGACCCTGTGGCAAGTTGTGCCTCAAGGAAGCGAATACGCTTTTCATCAGCGATAAGCTGTTCATTTTGTCTTGCTACCATATCGCGCAGCTCGTCAATTTCATGTAGCATTTTTTCGTTTTCCTCTAATATGGTGCGTACAAATGAGTACCGTAGAAGTCTACTATTCGCCATCGTCTCCCCTTCGACCGGCACAGTGGACGCATCCACAGATGATACCTTTGAGGGCATCTTTCAGAAAACGAACAAAAGGGGAAAAAAGAGAGAAAAAAAAAGCTAGAAAATCAATCTCTTACTTTTTCTCACTCACTCCTTCTCATGATTCCCCATCCCAACAAACACAAGAAAACATATAAAAATAACAGATCGACATAGTGTCTGTTATTCCTATAATCAATGTCTATTTTTTTTAAATAGCATAACACAAGATACGAACAACTAGGAAAAAAGAAGAAAAAAAAAAATAAATATATAAATATATATACTACTTTTGTGATGATAATATAGTAACTGACTATGATGTATGTGCAGAGTTACCGTTACCATCAACGTTACCGTTACCATTGCCTTTAAAATGTTCATCAACAATAGGTGTCAGCGTCCACAATTTGTTTTCATGTGTTTGTGTTACATTAGAGGACGATAAGCTCTGTGGAGTTGGTTTCCACTCGACCGGCTGCTCTGCTACTTGCCACCCCCCACTGATCGAAACTTGCGGTTGTGTCAATTGTTGTTGTGACTGTGACGGTTGGGGCTGACCCCAGTCGTGTTGTTCTACAGACGTTGGTGGTGGCTGCTGCCAACTCTGCTGTGACTGTGTCCAGTCTTTTTGTTGCTGCACAACATGTCCTTGTTGATATCCCTGTTGTTGTTGTTGTTGTTGTTGTTGCTGATGCCAATTCTGGCTTTGTTGTTGTGCTGGTGGTGTTGGTTGCGCATACGGTGGTTGGGACTGTTGCCATCCCTGTTGTGGTTGTGGTGGTTGCCCGTACGTGGCACTACCATAACCCCCTGGCTGCAGCGGCGGTTGATAAGGCGGCAAAGGATTGGGCGGTAGTGGTGCGGGGGGCAAAATAGGGCCAGTTGGGTACACAGGCAGTCGTGCATTGACAAACTGTTGTTTGAAACCGCCTCCAGCAATGCCAAGGTAACTGCCGAGGACCTGTGTAAGGGTTAAAACACTGAGATCAATACCACGCTGCCCCTCAGCATAGAGATTAGAACAAATCGCCTTATTGTTTTCAGTAGCTCTCCATAGTTCCACTCGCCAATTCTCCAATGTTTGTTCGTTACGTGGAATACGTGAAGTATCCTTAGGTGGATCGCGACGCAACTCCAATACTTTTCGTCGAAAAAAATCATATTCGAGTTGATTCTTGCGTCGAGTATCTTCTGCATCCTTCAATTTTTTTACTTCCTTCATGAAAGAATTTAGTACATCAAATCCTTGAGTTTTGAGACCTTTCTGGTGTTCCTGCGCGGTTGCAATGAGTTTATTTCCAACTTCCAAAACGTCATCTGCGAACTTTATGGCGTCCGGTTGCAAATCTGGTACTTTTTGATATTCCTCCCCGATATCTTTCACAAGTTTACCAAGTTCTTCAATAAGACTTGCAGCGCGTATAAGTTTAACACAAAGAACTTCACTGGTCTTTTGAAATTGACGAACCTTCTTACTAGTTTCATCTAACATTTCATCCTCAGGAGATGTCTCTGTATGGGTAACTTTCTCTCGAATGCTTTGCGTTGTACGACGTGCCAGACCCTTGATGGCATCCATTATGGATTCAGATGGAATAATATAAAAATAAACTTTTTCTTTTTACGATATACTATGCAGTATGAAGACTATCTAGGAGGGTACACACACACCTTTTAAAACTGCGTACGTACTGTGTCAATATCAGAGGCCATAAAAATAAAAAGTTTGAAAAAAAAGATAATAATTTAAACTCCGTAATATCAGGTAATTAAAAACAAAACAAAAAACAAAATCTCTTATTTAGTCCCAACGTTTTCTGCACCTCAAAGGAGAAGTCACTTCTCTTTTCAGATACGCCATCTACCCTTCTCCACTATCAAAAAAAAAGTAAAGTAGGACACCGGTAAATTGAAAAAAAAGAACCATAAATATGTGTGTAACTTCTTTTCTCTCCTCCGTTTTTTTTTTTCTAGTCTTTCCTCTATGCATGCGTATTAGCAGACCCAGTAAAACCTCGCTTCTTCAAGAATATATCATATATATATATACCAAAATTTTCTAACCTTTGGTACAGCACATACACATACATCTACAGAGTGACACACAAAAAGAGAAAAAAAGAGACACGTACAGGTACACAAAACACACAAACAAACAAACAAACAAACAAACATGCAGACACACATACATACAAAATAAAAAATTATACACACAGATACAGAGTGTGTCTGCCTCTACGGGCTCCAAGAAATACGAGTAATCCCGATTCAAATGTCCTCTAAAGAGAGAGTGAAGAGGGAAAGGAAATAGAAAGAAGGAGGGAAGGGAGGATGGTAGGGAATAAAAAAGAAGTGGTAAGTACAGAAACAGGAGATCCAATGAGAGACAAGTCTTCAAAAGATCTATTTAATGTATCTAATAATCTGGATTGCTGAGGTCACAGTTTTCGGATAGACGGAACTCACCTTGTCCCACAATCTTTCCTTCTTTCCAAGTACCAATATACAAGGATCCGTCTTTGAGTGTCATTCGACCTTCACCATCTTTCTTTCCATAGGCGAATCCTCCCTCGTAACTGGAACCATCAGGAAGTCGCAGTACACCATGACCATGACGACGATCGGCTTCCCACTCGCCTTCATACCGACAGCCATTTGCATACTCAAGTACACCATAGCCGGAGGCATCATCATCACGCCACTCACCATCATACACGTCACCATTGCTATAGGTGAGAACTCCGTGACCGTGTTTCTTACCATAACACCATTCACCAACGTAACGATCTCCTTGAAGAAACATTAATGTTCCTTTGCCGTGGGCCTTATCAGCTTGCCAATATCCCTCGTAACGCTCGCCGTTAACGTAACTGAGAATGCCATATCCCTGTTTTTTGTCTTCAACCCATTCACCTTCATACTTGTTCCCATTGGGGAAAACGTATGTACCTCTTCCGTGCATTTTGCCGTCATTCCATTCACCTTCATAAACGCCACCATCTGCATAAAAATATTTTCCCCAACCCTGCATACGACCTTCAACCCATTCACCATCATACTTTTCAGATACGGATCCGTCAGCAGCAGAGTAAACAACAACACCTTTACCATGACGCTTATCATCCTTCCATTCTCCCTCATAAACGTCACCATTTGAATAGTAATAGGTACCTTTACCATGCATACGACCATCCTTCCATTCACCTTCATATCGATCTCCATCATGATATTCCAGAACACCTCGACCGTTAATTCGGCCAAAGGTCCAGTCTCCATTGTACACATTACCGCTGGTATAATAGCATGTTCCCTTTCCGTGTACCTTGTCTTCAACCCACTCGCCTTCATAACGGCTACCGTCAGCATATGTATAGACACCAAATCCATGACGTTTACCAAATACCCATTCCCCATCATAGCTTTCTTTGTTGGGGTACTGGAGGCAACCCCGACCATGCATCAGGCCATTTTCTATCTCTCCAGAGTAGATCATTTTATTATTATAAGATATATATAAATATAAATATAAATATATATATATGTATATATGTTTTCTTTTTTTTTTGATTTGTTGAGTTTTCCTCTTTCAATTATCTCTTATGTTCTCTATTTTTCCTCCAATAATGGAATACCTGCCTCTTTCACACTACATAAGATTTTTTTTTTAAAAAAAAAAAGCAGAAGCGAGGGCAAAAAAAAAAAACAATGATAAAAAGACAAAAAAAAAAAGAGGAAAAGGGAATTTACAAATCTCTCTTCAAATAAATTAAGGAAACGTTTAGGGGAAAAAAAAAAAGAGGAGGGAAAAAAAAAACAGGCCACAAACAAAATCATTTTAAACTTTAGTAATGTAAACATATTTACGTGGAAGTTCAAATAAATGTTAACACTTCCGCCACAATTACGTTTGCTTATTGAAACAGCAGAGAAACATATTTTCACATTACTGAGTGATACAAAAGCAAAAAAAAAAAAAAAATAGAAATAGAAAACTAAATTAAAAAAAAAAAAAAATAGAAGAAAAACCGAACCCTCAAGTCCTAGACGATGCTGATAACCTCCTCCTTTTTCCAATATGCTCCAGTGGAAGCTCTAAAGCACATGCATCCTCCATACGTTTTTCTTCCTCAGACCTCCATGATCCCACTACTGTCTCAGTTTGTCTAATAGTGCGCTGCGAAGAACCATTTGAGGGGTGGCCAGTACTATGATGAACACCGTATAAAATATACCACAAGGATGTCATAACTACAATAACACCGTAGTTGCGCCAAGCCACAATAGGTAATGAGAAGAGTTGAATACAGTTAAATATTATTCCCATAAAAGGTACAAAAGGGAATAATGGAGCTACAAAAGGTCTTGGAAAATCTGGAAAATCAATTCTCATTTTCCACATTGAAACACAAACGCTAATAAAAGCGACAAGGGTACCAAATGAGATTATTTCACCAAGCATTCCCAAAGGGAAGAAAGCTCCAATAAGAGCTCCAACTATACCAGAACATATGGTGGCATTTACAGGAGTTCGAAATTGTGGATGTATACGTGAAAGTAAGGGAGGTAATAATCCATCTTGAGAAAGGGTCATAGTGAGGCGAGGCATTGCAAAATAACATGCAAAACAAACAGAACTAAGTCCAGAAATAGTACCAACATCGATAAGAATACGTAAAAATACAGGAGCTCCAACTTTTTCTAGTGCCATTATCACAGGTGCATCCACATTCAAAATAGTATACTTTACCATACCAGTAAGAACGAGAGTAACACAAACATAGAGCCCAGAGCATATTAACAAAGTGTAGATAACACCTCGTGGAATATCACGCTGTGGATTTCGGCATTCCTGAGCACTAGCGCAGATGGTATCAAAACCAACATTAGCAAAAAATACCACACCTGATCCACGAAGAATTCCACTTATACCATATTTACCAAAATAACCTTCATTAGGAGGAATAAATGGAGTCATGTTGTAGACAAAATCTCCCCAGTTGGTGGTAGCGTGATAAATACCATAAAGAATAAAAATCCCAAGAACCAGAAATTTTATAAACACAAAAAAATTATTTACTGTGGCTGATTCTTGAACGCCCAAACATAAAACAACTGAACATATTACTGTTAACATCATTGCTGGGAGGTCAAATAATTTACCTGTTAAGACAAAAGCACCATCTGTGACACCAATTGGAGAACCTCCTATCTTCTCGGGAAAATCAATAGAAAATTCCCTCAGAAAGGCTTGAACGCTTGCAGACCAACTCACTGAAACAGCAGAACCAGAAACAAGACACTCCAATGTTAGGCACACCGCTACAATCCACGAAGCATATTCTCCAAGTGCCACAGCCGCGTGTGTATATGCGCTACCCGCTACAGGAAGCATGGCTGCCAGTTCTCCGTAACAGAGTGCAGTAAAGAGACACGGAAATACACATAATAAAAATGAGATACTGAGAGCAGGACCAGCGTAAAGCGCAGCAGCCTGACCTGTAATCACAAAAACACCGGCCCCAACAACGGCACCGACACCAAGACTCACAAGAGAGCGCAAACCGAGCGTGCGTCGAAATTGGCTGTTTTCTAACGCCGCAACAGTCGCGTAAAGGCATCTTCTTCGAAAGATGTTACGAAAGAAAGAAACACCCAAACTACTTTCAGTACTAGTAACTAAATCCATTAGACACGAAAAAACGCTTAAACTCCTGCACAACTACACCCACTAAAAATCATATTCAACAGAAAAACAAACAAAAAGAAAATACCATTAAAAAATTTTTTGAATAGAAAATATTTTTTAATAAAAGAAATTAGATGCTCATTTCAACAAAGATAATTTTAAGTGCAATACCCGTAAAATCCGTATCTCTTGTCATACTCTCCCCAATCCTTTTCTAACTTTGTTCTTCCATTCTTTTTTTTTTGTTTGAAAATCTCCAACTGCATTAAAAAAAAAAAAAAAAAACACATCCAAGTGGAGCACCGAACGGTTACGGAAATGCCTAGAAGTTATTTCGCTCTCCCTAGAAAATACTATTGCTTTCATTTGTCACAACGACCTATTTTTCTTTCCTTATCTTTTTACGAAGGAAAAAACTCAGCAAGGTAAACTTCTCATGCACAAGGTAAAATACTTCATCATGAATTTCCTGAAATCTCCAATTCCCCTCCTTTTTTTTTTTCTTTTTCTCCATTCTGCTGATTTTCAGCCTTTATTCTCTCACTGAAAAAAAAAAAAAAAACAGAATCCTCCCATTAGTTGTTTCCAGAAAAACTGTCAAGAAGTAATTGGGCTGCGGCTTCCTCATTTTGCTCGCAGGCGCGGTAAGCTACAATCGCATCATGTTCAGTCCACGTACCACCGCCAAGCGAGACAAGTCGCTGAACTGCGGCTTGTTCTTCTTCCCCAAGTGGGGGACCTGCGGAAGGAAGAACGCCACCTGCGCCTTGAGGACCGCCCCCCATCATAATCGCCCCAAACTCATCAGGGCTCTGCTGTATTAATTCAATAATTTCTGGGTAATGTAACTGGAGCTGCTGAAGAACTGCTGCAAGAGCCTGTGGATTAGTTTGAACCAAAGCACGTATTTCTTCAAAATCAGGAATATTCATTAGTGCCTGTCGAAGATTTGAGTTACCTTGGGGTTGACCACCTAGTGGAGCTCTCCGATTAGGTAACTCTGCAGAATGCCCAGGTTGAGTGGTTGGAACATTCATTTCTTCAGCTATCTGTTCAATGGCACGGGATGGAATTCCTGTGCAAAGAAATTCCACTGCACGATCAGGATTCATGTACGCAGTTCGAAGTGCCAAAGCCACTTGCCCCCGATCTTCAAATCCCATCGCAACAATGCTGTCAATTAGGGCAGGATCAATTCCACGTGTGTCAGTTCCATGAAAAGAAGCAGGGAATGATGATGATGTTGTTGTTGTTGTTCCCTGTGCTTCACCTGTTGTGGCAGGGGCAGCAGTGGTAGTGGCAGTGTTAGTAACAGGTGCTACTGTGTTAGAAGAAGTCTCAGTCTTTTGTTGCTCCCCTGTTGGTTTCCCCTCATTTGTTTCTTCCGATTTTGCAGATGACGCTTTTTCAGTTGGTTGGGAATTTACACTGTTCGGTGCCTTCTCAGACTCTTGAACCTTACGTTTTTTTCCCGCAATAATAATAACGGCATTTTCTTGGAGACCCAACTCCTCTACTGTTTTTGCATTATCTATAACGGCACCATTACAACATAAGCGCAGCCCTTCCGTAACATATTCAGCACTCAGTGTCTGTTTAATTTCCTCCACTTTTGTTTGAGGAGAAACCTCTTGAATATGCTCCTTTCCTCCAAGGGTCTTAAGAATAACCTTCATATTTTTTTTTTTTGTCTGTCGTTCCTGTTGAGTTAATAATGATGTTGCAGTTGCTTTTCCAACCGCCTATCAATCAGAAAAAGTCATGATGATGAAGAAGAATAGAGAGAAGAAGAAACAATAATAATTATTATTATGATAATAGTGGTGTAGCAAGAAAGGAAATAAAGAGTAAAATTTCAACAATACTTAAATAATTAAGTCAAATCATATAGAAAATAGATATTACCAAAAGAAAATCATTGACACAAAAATACATTCTACACATTCTTTACATCAAAGGTTTCAAGGATAGAGGCACACAATAGAGAGAGGGGAAGGGAAGGGTAAAGAAGAAAGAGATAATGACAAGAATAAAAAAAAATGAAAGAACCACATTAGAGTTGTTGTTGTTTTTCCCTCTCCTATTCAGAAGTGCATTGGTGGTCCCTTTTGTGGCTTCGGGGGAAGAACAGGACTTCGTCTATGGTAGAGTTCCCAGCACAACTCATAATCTGCATCTGTAATTCTTGGAATCTTCTTCGTTAGTGAGGCAATTTTTTTACGATTGTGTGCCACCATATTTTTTTCACGAACAACAGTTTTAGAAGTTGATGCTGTAATTACTTCACACGGAGGAGAATCTGCTGAAGCCTTCTTGTTATTATCATTATTACAATTATCATAATCATCATCATCATCGCTGCTCTCTTCATGTTTTCTTGAAGCAACCTGTTGAAGATTTGTTGAAGTTGTAGGCATGTCTTTCCCCTTTCTATTGCGTAATAGCAACATTTGTGTCTTTTGTCTTCGTAAGGCTGTCAGGTGAGCCTCATACCTTGGATTATGTGAATCTGTACAACTCTTCGCAAGTGAATTGCACCCCAAAGCGTACAAAAGCAAGAAATTATCGCAACGAACAACCTGTGCTTCCACAAGATAACGAATTGTACCACCAGGTTGAGACCCAGCAGGAAAGGCACATAATACATCTTTCCGGGTATCTAGCATTCGCATCCAACAAATGTGTCGATATCGTTCCTGTAAAAAATCTGGGATTCGTTTTCGTTTAGACATATTTCTAGTTGCTTGAAATATAACAGTTTTTCCTATATCAGACCACCGCAAAGATGTCACATCAATACCACTACTACTATCTTCCTCAACTTCATGGTAAGAAAAATCTTCTAATTCTTTTGTTACCACAACATTTACAAACTCTTCTTTTCCAAAAACATCAGATAATTCAAGTGTAACTCCAAAAGAACGTTCTAATGCAATTAGCTCTTCAGGTGTTGGAAACAAATCTCTTTCGAGGGCATCTCGAAGAGAAACGCATTGACATAAGGAACTTAATTTTGTATAACAATTTACACAACTTTCAGATAGCATCCTTTTTAAAAGATATTTTTGTTGTGAAACCAATGAATCAATTGTTTCTCTTATGCGTATTCGATGAATTCTTCCTCCAGTACCACCGGCTTCTGCTTCTGCATTATCAAAAGTATCTTCCATATTATCCTTCTCCCTCATTGATGTTAATGAAGTCATCGTATCTGTAGGAATTGCACCAGCTGACTCATATCCAGCAAGACGAGATCCTTGATTAGGTGGTGTTACTGAATTATTATAAGTAAAATTCTTTTTAGGATCGACATCTGCGGCTTCTACAGCTACAGGAACAGCTGAAGATTCATTCGCTATTTGTGGTACAGTTACGAGAGGTGGAAAAACCAAATAATTACGTTTAGGGACAAAAAGTTCTACGTTCATTAAAAGAGCAAGTTGAGGATCATCACCTGCTGCTGCACTAACACATTCAAGGATTTTGTGTACCTCTACAGCAGGTCCTTCTACACAAATAATGCGAACATTATCATCCATTACCTCAAAGCCACTGATCCCCGGTGGGGTTACAACCCCAAACGGGGAATCAAACGCAGAAGGTGGAGAAGGTGGTCGTAAAGGGACTACAGGTTGGCTCTTGGAAGTCTTACTTCGTTCTTTCTTCTTTTCTTTGGTTGTTACAATATCTGATTCTATTGGAGGTAAAATAAGTTGGTAAACATCACTTCCCTGACGTGCCTTTTTTAGCTGAAGGAGTGTAGTAATAAAAGCCTCCATTGCACCTGCTATCCATTTTGCTTTATAAGGCATTCGAATAATACCTCGAGTAAGAAAACAACCATTGGCAGGACGACCATCACTTAAAACATGTTTTAAAGGCGGTAACGGAGTAAACAAATCTAATCGTAGTGAAACTATAGTATCTTTGGTAAGACAACTATCACCCAAATAAGGTGTGGTACGGCAAGGTAAAAGAGTTACCATTTCACTAAATTGTGTTTGTTGATCTGTAACTGCTGAACGCAGTGATACAGTACCAGTCCCCACACAAATACTCGTCCCTATAAATACAGAAACTTCCAGCTTTTTAAAAAACATATCTTGATAAACCGCTAAAGGTGTACGAGTACCCAAAAATATTACTCGACGAAACATAATTTTTCCATCTGGTGCCAAATAAATCTCCGGTGAGTGAAAATGAATATCACCTAATTTTAGTGAAATAAATACAGGTTCGTTTAGGTGATTACTTCTCGGAAGATTGTAAATGGCGTGTACCTCAATATTAAGTGGACGATATTTTTTAAGTTTTACCGGTGTCAAAAGTGGGGTGCCGCAAGAAATTTCAACAACACAATCCTGCAACTCAGAGTCTGCTTGTACAGGTACCGAAACCCGTACAGATGGCATCCTCAAAAGATCAACTAAATCAAAGTTTGCAAAAAATAATTGTTCTGCTCCCTCTAATGCAAATGCATCTTCAACTTTTTTTGATCGTTCTTTTTTTCCCGTTGGTTTTGCTGATTTTTGGTTAATAGTAGTTCCTTCTTCTGTTCGTTCTTGTGGTGGTCGTGCGTACATAGCAACAGTATGAATGTTGTTTGCAAATTGTTCCAAGACGGGGAGCGAAAGAGTGATCTTTTGGCGTACAAAACAAACTTCAAGAGACTCCGGTACAGATTCAGCATGATCTAGACTACTTGATAGAGTTTTTCTATCTTCTTGACCCGCCACATTCGCTACAAAAATAATGTCCGATGGGTCTCGTTGCTTACAGAATTTTTCACTTGCTCGAGCATGAAACCACATTTCTAATATGCGGTCATTTTCATCATTGATCATTAGCGCGTCATCAACGCGGCTTCCCTTTGGCATATTCCTTCTTTTTTCTTATTTTTTTTTTTTTGAAGAAATAAAAAAAAAAATAATAATAAAATAATAATAAAAATAAATAGTTAACGTTCCCAGATAAACAGAAATGGAAAAGAAATTGGAGATTATCCATAGAGGGTGCGTTGTACTTTTCATTGGTGATACAAAAGACTCACAACACACACACACACACATACGAAGAAATAATAAAACAAATGTATACCAATACTTCATAATACTTTCCCATCTATCTCATCTGTACCCCTCTAACGTCGCAACGCGCACTGTAAATTGCATTAGCTTACAATTTCACACTGCTTAACGGAACCACCACCAATTCCCCACTTACCTAGTGCTGAAGACGAAGTAACTCCTACAGTTGCAGATTATGAGCTCAAATGCGTCAACCTTCCCACCCCTTCTCCAGAATGTCCTCTCTTCATTAACACTTGTACTGTATATTACTTCCATCACCCTCATTTGCAGGATCAAAAATATACTCTACAAGTCTTTGTAGTTCTTCCACGTCCCGCATTCCCGTGAGTTTTCCTTCGTTCCCGCCCACTTCCCTCACAGGGTTGGACGGCACTCTTCTTCCCAGGGCCCCTTTCTGCGATTCCCGCAGACGACCCCGCAGTCGCTCCACATCTTCAGGATCACAACACCCATCGCTGTGACTCTTAAAGAAGGGGGCGGACGCCGAGGTTACTTTTTCTTGGCAAATAGATGCGGCCGCACGGAAGGCATCCCTGGCTAACACATACTCCCCATGTTGAAAGAACCGTGAGCCGAGGTCAGCGTAGCCCGATACACTAACATCACCTATCCTCAGTGAATCATTTGCTACTGCATTGTTCTCATCAAGGACATCAAGTGCTTTTTTGTAGAAACCGAGAGAACTCTCGCACAAAGACGACAGATCACCTGCTCTAATAAAAAGCGGAATGAGACTGGCATCCATTACCCCAAAAACTCGCTCTCTGGAACGTATTTCATCCTTTACGACTTCCAAATCATTCACTATAGCACTGTTACTCCTTTGTGTACATCCGACAGTGTACTGAACCCCAAGATTGTTAGCTGCTCGTCTTAGTAAGGCCGTTGTAAACGCATCTCTTGTGTTACACTCACTCTGCCCTTCTTCTTTCATAAGAATTCTCTCCATTTATGCAGAACGCGGGGAAACGAATGAAGAAAAAAAAAAAAAAAATGCACAAAAACAAGATAGAGATAGAAAAGCAACCTCAGACAGAGAAAATAGCCTCCTATTGGCACATCCATGATCATAGTTTCTCCTAAAGAATTTTATTTCTTTCTTCTTCAATTTAATAATTACTCCTCTTTACTTTTCATTTGAACTGTCTTTGCGAAACAAGCTCTATCAAATACATGGACACACATGGCGCAAGGGATAACATTCAACCTTTTCTGTAGAGATTGCCTAAACATTAGCCGAAGAATCTATAGAACCGTACGACTCATGTCGTTCCCCCGAGAAAGATTTAACTCTCAATCCTGATAACATCCAAATGGCAAGTAGACCCAATATAACAATTAAACCAACTACGGCACCAGCCAGTTTAATGAGAGGAAGTGAAGGTCTTATATCAGATACAGTTGTATTATGTATATCTGGTTTAAACTCATGAAAATCAACAGTAGATTCCAACAAAAGAACATGACCTGATTCATCATCTATTTCCAATGCAGCTACATGACCTGGATCTCCTTTTTTCCAACGACTTAATCCAAAATCTATTGCAATCAAAGATCCATCACAAAGACGCCAATCTGAAAAATCTTCAGGATCATGCGGTACATGACCCACCACCACTGATTTTATTCCCGGAAATTTTTTGGTTAAGACATTCTTTAATTCTCCACATCGAACATTTAAAATGGAACGAACAAGAATCGGATTTGCAACCTTATCCTCATCGTCTTCAGCCATATTAAGACCAGCTTTTCCCAAAGGTGTCAACGTATTATTAACTAGAGCATTACGGAGAGCATCGTTAAACTCCTCTATCTTTTTTATACTGGTGATCATGTTTCCCGTTTCTGCTGACAAACCACCGTGCATGAAAAGAAATTCATTATGATGAAATATGGCTTTTCTTGTACGTAGATACATCCCCAAGGCAGTTTGGTTAGAAAGAAGCAAATCACGTCCACGTTTACCGCCAGAATGCGCAAGACTACTTGGATCTACAGCGCTGTAGTCTCCCACAAGATTTCTTATTTCATGGTTGCCTAGAAGTTGAATGACATTTCCACCTTTTTCACGTGCCTCTTTTTCCAGTTTCATAAAAAGACGTACAATACTAAGATCATCTGGTCCTACGTCAAGAATATCACCAAGCTGAACAAAGTAAGTGTCTCCTCCAATCCAATGCTGTCGATCATCTACAATACCTGTGAGTCGCAAAATGGAAAGAGTTTGATTAAGATCTCCGTGAAGGTCTCCAACGGCCACAATTCGGCGCCCCTCACAGCGATAAATTTCTGATGCACAAAAAAAAAGAGTCCAAATGAACAGGAAACTCAGAGACATCATTTCAATAAGAGACTACACTACGAAAAAAAAAAAATAAATAAATAAATAAATAAATAATAAATAATAACAATAAAAATAAAAACTGTATCAACCACTCGAAATTTATTATAAAAAGAAAACAGTAATAAAAAGCAGACAAATTCAAAAAAAAAAAAAAACTAGTTTCACTAGGGGTCTCCCCTTTTAAGCCTGACTGGCATAATCCGTATGGCCTAAACGATCAATATTGGCATTCCACACATCATCTGATCTTAATTTACCTGTTGCACAATCAAAATGCATACCCAGGCAAGGTCCCATAATGGTATTGTTGAGACGCTGCATGCACTGCTCCCCTGGCTCTATTGCATACCGTTGTTTACAAAGACGCACCAGTACCAAACAAGCTGCAGATAAAAGTACCGCTGGAAAATAAGCGTATTCTTCGAGAAAACGAAAACAGCCTTTTCCTTCAATTGAGAAAAGTGGCAGCAAAATATTAAACAGAAAGATGAGGCAGATTTCCGCCGCAAAAACCAAAGAACTAAGTGCAGCAACAAGCTGAAGAAAATGATAAGATCGATCTTGTCGAACAATGATGTACTGAAGAGCAACCTCAAAAGCTGCAGTACCTGCCAAATCACGCTCTTTCTTTGGTGTCTGCATTGCTAATCTACCTCCCCCACCATACTCTTTCATAAAAACACATAAAACACGAAAAAAAAAAAACAAGAATAAAAAAAAATTAGAGGAAAAAAAAGGGTTTGTAGATAAATCATTGGATATCCTCATCAGAGAAGGATGCGGGAAAGAAGAATAAGAACGAGTGGTAAGAATCAAAAAAAAAAATAATAATAATAATAATAATAAATATATAAATATATATATATATATATATATATATATATAATAAAGAAAAAAAAAAGAGAGACACAAAGACGCAACTCCCTCAGAATTAAGGAGAGAAGTAAACACAAACTTTGTATATTGTAGTCCTAGTTTACATAAACAACCAGAAATTCCTGTAAATATAAGGCAATAATACGCGACATGAAACATTTTTATTACCTTTTGGAAGTACTTTTTCCTTTTTCTGAGGCTTCCATCCGCTTCTTTTTTTGTTCTTCGTTGTAACGTTGTCTTTCCATAGCTTCCTCCAATACAATTCTTGCATCATCCTCAGCACGGAGTCGTTCCTCTGTTTCTCTATGCAGCCGATCTGCTTCTTCCCTCTCTATTCGTTTTGTTTTTTCCAAATTAGCCAACACCGTGGACCTCCAAGAAACCTTTAATTCCATTAATTTCTTAAAGTCTTCTTCTTCTGTTGCCTCTTCGTCTGCTTTCAATTGCCGTCGTACATCAGCGTCCTCTTTGGAGAAAAACTTTTTTAAACTACGACCCACGTAGTCAGCAGGTTTTTTACCTGAAGCATTCTCAAACATTGGATCGCACCCAGAATCAAGTAAAAGTGTGATAAGATCTTCCCATTCCTTTAAATTAGGTCGTTGGTGAATTGCTGCAAGATGAAGTGGATTATTAAACTCTTGATTTTTAACGTTAACGGGGGCTTTTGCATCAATAAGAAGTTTTAAAATTTTGTAGTCACAACGAATGGCACAAAAATGAACAGGAAAATTACCTTGAGCATCACGAACTTCGCAAGAAGCTCCTTGTTGAATCAAATACTCTGCTACTTCAAATCTGCCCATTTTTACAGCCATCAAAAGTGGAGTTGTACCATTTACATCTTTTTGGTCAACAATAGCACCATGTTCCACTAACCACCGACTCACACGAACATCCCCATCAGATGCACTCTTGTGAAGAGCACAGCATTTATTACGATCCAATTCATTCACCTTACCCTCAGGATCTTTGCTTCTTTTCAATAGAATCTCCATGCACTCAACACTTCCACAGGCAGCGGCAGTATGAAATGGAGTTGAAAACGTTGCGGCCTGTATCGTATCGTCAGCACCATAATCTAAAAGAGCTTCACAACATTCTACATAATTATTTCTAACAACTTCATGCAGTGGTGTGCGTCCCTGAAAGTTGGGAGCATTAACGTCTCCTGATAGTTGCTTGACTACATAGTCTAGTACGGTCGTATTTTTCCCCAAAGATAAATGGACCAGAGTATTTCCTGATTCATCAATACACTTTGAAATATTCTCGGGAATACTCAAAAAATCTCTTCGAAGCCGAGCCAAAGTATCCAAATCACATTTTACCACAGCTTCTCGAACAGCGTCCAAGAGATCTTTAGGTCCCTGTGGACCCCCTATGGAACCAAGCATACCTAGTTCCCCTACAAAAGGATCATAATATATTTTTTTTTAAAAAAAAGTAAATAAAATAAATAAAAGAGCATATAAAGAATTTTTTAAAAAAATATAGGTAGAGGTCATTAAACTATAGACGTAACAAAGAAAAAAAAAATAAATAAATAAATAAATATATCAATTGTTTTTTTTTTCTTTTTCTTTTTAAATAAAATTATAAAACTTGGCATTACTCGACTGTTACACCACATTCATGTAACCATTCTTTAATTACAATAGTTAGTCCTAGCATCATCGTAGCAGGATCCTTTGTTTCAGATCGAACAGATCTTTGTAAAAAGGCAAATGTGACAAATTCAGGAGGAGGAAATGTCCGAGCTATAGAGCTTGTGGGATGAATATATGCAATCATAGAGGAACTCAAAATAATATATGGAGCTTTTGTTGCCTTATTGTCTTTATACTCTACCCCATGGTAACGACATTCTTGAATAGTGGCACGACGTGCTACTTGATCAGGAAGACCATATATAAATATTTTTCGTAGTGTGATTTCATCCTCTTTCGATAATGTAAGCTTACCATTTTTGGTAAATAAACATCCTACCGAACCTGTAGTTACATCATTAGCCTCAAGACTATCCTCCACTTGTTCTACTACAGAATTCTGTCTTGCCAATGATTGCAATTGTTGAGATAACTGACGAGCTTCAGAAAGACTTTTTTGTACCAAACAGTAACGATTACAATTTAAAGTACTAGAATTTTCCAAGTAAATACCAAATGCATTTAAACAAGTAAGCATATCACTACCAGGGTGTAAAAGAGAATGAATTAAAGATCGACGTTCATCAATATCATCAGTAGTAACTTCCTTTGACTTCCACTTTAAACGATTTCCATCACCAGTAAATATATTAGTAGTTGTTGAATAGACAGCTGTAATAAGTATAACCATTAATAAAATTGAATCAGGTAATTTTTGATCCAACACCTCGGCAATAACTCGCGAAAATCGAGGTGGAATTGGATAGGCAATGAGACGTCTTCCCAAAGTCGTGATACGACGTTCTTCTTTAGAGTCTAAAGCCCCAATAAGTGTCAAATGTGACAATGCTCGCTTTAGATCATTCTCTTTTGGTGGTGAAGGAAAAGGGAAAGATCCAACATTATCAATACCTAAATGTTTCATTAATAAAACTACAGATTCTAAAGATGTTCTTAAAATTTCAGGAGAACTATGTTTAGGCATTAAATTAGAATATACAGCTGTACTATATATTCGGTAACAATGTCCTGGTCCAACACGTCCTGCACGTCCACTTCGTTGTTCTGCAGATGCTTGACTTGTCCATTCAATACGGAAACAACTTGCACCAGTTGATTCATCTATCGTTTTAGTTTTTACTCGACCAGAATCCACCACATAACGAATATTTGGAATAGTAATAGATGTTTCAGCAACATTTGTAGCTATAACACAGAGACGTTTTCCTGTAGGGGGTTCACGAAAAACCTCTTGTTGTTTTGAAAAATCCATTAAAGCATAAAGTGGAAGAATATGCAAAGTATTCAATTCACCATTTATCTCATTTTCTTCTTCTTCTTCTTTATTATTATTATTATTATTATTTTCTTCCATATCTGAAGTTTCTCGAGATCGTTTTCTTGAAATCGAAAAATCTCCAATTTCATCTCCTTTTTCTAGTGAATAATCTTCATTAGTGAGACCAAATTCATCCTTTTCATCAGATTTATCTTCTTTTTCTGTTTCTGAATCTGAAGAATCTTTTTCTTCTTGTTTTTGAACAACCATACTATGTTTTGAGTAACTTTTCTCATAATACTCAATTTTAGTTTTGGCATAATGAATACGAAGACGCTCACAAAGGTCTTCAATTTCCTGTTGAGTAGAAAGAAAAACAAGAATCCCTCCAGGAGGTAATTTCTTATGAATTTGACAAACCTTTTTAAAAGTTTCATCAACATAATTTCGTAGTTCAGTTTTTTTCGTAAAATGATTAGTTACCGGAAAGCGACGAGATTCCACATTTATTAAAGGAGGTGAAATTGGAAAAAGTTGACGATTTTCCTTAAAATCCCCAACTCTCATAGTAGCAGACATAATAACTAATTTAAGAGGTTTTATAGTTGTGTTTTCCACTTTTCCCTGATGTTTTTGAAGATCTTCCAAATATAGATCATTTCGTAAAGGAAGAATTCGTGACAAAAGACCCACTAATATATCACCCGTTACACTACGTTCATGCGCCTCATCTACAATAATAACACTATACTTTCTTAATAAAAAATCTGATTGGATTTCTTTTAAAACAATACCTTCAGTTGCAAATTTTAGTTTAAAGTTTTCAGAAAGATTATTATCGTAGCGGACATGATAACATACTTTTCCTCCAAATGAAGTATTTAATTCTTCTGCTACTCGTTTAGCCATTGAAACAGCAGCAACTCTTCTTGGTTCCGTAACAAGAATAGCTCCTTCTCTTGCAAAAGATGAACCTTTAATATCTCCATATCCACATTCCCACAAAAACTGTGGAACTTGTGTTGTTTTTCCACTTCCAGTCTCACCACAAATAAGAACACAAGTTCGAGAAGAATTATTAATAGCTTCAACAATTGATTGTTCTTCTCTAAGGACTGGAAGTTCTTTTCTCGTATTTTCCACATCAGAAGAACGATTAACTTGAATACAGACATTTTTTGGAACTAACTTTACAAGTTCTTCGGTATTTTTATTAATAACCTCCTGGATTTCTTGTTTTCGTTTTTCTTCTGCTAAACGATCCTCTGTTAATTTTGTGATATAGTTTTGTTGAGCAATTATTGATTCACGCTTCTTAATATTTTCTTGTAATTCTCGTTCCTGACGTGTGCATTGTTGTTTTTCAGAAATTGCCTTCTTTCTCTCAGCTTTTTCTTTCTTTTGGATAGCTGCCTCAGTTTCAACAAATGTTTTATGCTGTATTACTTTCTTTTTAGCAAGTGAGAGTTGTTCTTCAGCCTCTCTTAATCGTGCATTTCTTTCTTTCTTAATTTCATGTTTCTCCTTCTTTTTTTGTTCTCGAGTAGTCGATAACACATGTGGCAGAGGTGTTGAGAGTCCCAAGTCTTCAAAACGAATGGATGGTTTAGGGGCCATCGACTAAATAGAAATATATATAAAATATATTTCTCCGATTCCTTTTGTGAAAGGGGCCTGATTGGCAATTCATAAAAAAAAAAAAGAACAAGAGGAAAAAAAAGACAAAAAAAAATAATATAGGACACAAAATAAAAATTATTTTTTTTTCTTTTATTTCAATATCACATTCACATTCTTCAGAACAAGAAATCAAAGAAAAAAAAAAAGAATATATTAAAAACAACCATGATTAATATATTTCGATTTATCCTGGAAATAAATAATGACATATATTGATTGCACGTTTTCATTTTTATTTTTTTTTTTCCCCTTTTAAATTATTGTATTGTACTAAAAGTATCTTTTTCTTCAGAAACTATTTTTTTGAGTTTTGTTTTTGTGCAGCCTTTTTCGCAGCCTTAGCCGCCCGTTTAGCCGCCAATTCATCAGCAGCAGACGATTTGCCATTTCCGCCCAAAGATTTTAAATATTGTGCCTTTGCACTTAAATGATTTACCTTATCACGAGCATCTGGAATAAATATCAAGACTTTTTTGGGAGTAACGGAATCTACAATATAATATCCACGACGTTCAAGTTGAATTGTGTCTCCCTTTTTGAGAGAATGAAGAGCTTCTTCTCCATAAACCTCTTGAGTAAATTTCGTAACAGGGGCAAGAATGGAATCTAAACTTTCTTCAGGATCGGGCTTTTTCTTGGTAAGAAGGTGATCATATTCATTAAGTTCCATAATTTCTGCATTAGGATTTTCTGCAACCCAAGTTAACTTGTGCTTTGTCTTCTTTACATCACCTTCAAGATGTAATACAATATCAGCATCAGTAATAGAAGAAGAATTTCCAGAGGAACGAATATTTTTAATATATGCATTTCCCCAATCCATTAAAGTAATTTCTTCACCTTCCTTAAGAAGAGCGACATCTTCTGAATCGAGGAAAATAACATCAGATTTATAAAATGTTTTTGTTCCCATTTCTGGTACTTTTTTGTGAAGAAGTTTTTCACATTTTTCAAGATGTTGTTGACCTTCAACTGTACAACGAACTTTTAAAGTATTTGAAACGACTGTATATCGAGGAACTGAAGGATCAAGAATTTGGGCATTTAAAAACCATAATCTTCCCCATTCCATAAAATTAACTGTTTTTGACATACCTATCTCTTGAACAAATTCTCTTAATGCGTTTACTTTTAATCCACGTCGTACTAAGGCTCGAACAGTCGGAAAACGAGGATCATCCCAACCATCAACAACACCAGTTTCAACAAACTGAGTTAATTTTCTTTTCGACATAACAGCATATTCCATATTTAGTCGAGAAAAATCTTCAATAATGGGTTTTCGTATATTTAATGCGTCACAGAACCAATAATACTGATCATTACGATCATGATATTCATTAGTACGAAGAGCATGAGTAACACCTTCAACTGAATCAATTATAGGACAACAAAAATCATAAGTTGGATAAGCCTTATACTTTAATCCTTGTCTAGCATGAGGTGTTAAATTAACACGGAACATGACTGGATCTCGCATTGCCTTGTTCACATTATCAATAGATATTTTTGCTCGTAAACAAGCTTCTTGTCCTTCAGGGGTTCCTTGTTTCATTTCGTTCCAAATTCGTTTATTTTCCTCAATACTTAAATCACGATATGAAGTGGGAATACCATCAAATCGGCATTTCTGCATCTCTTCTCTTGGTGTTTTATCACAATAAGCAAGACCTTTAGATATAAGTTCTTCAGCTTTTTCGTAAAGCAGTTCAATATAATCAGAAGAATAAGTTGGTCCTTCATCCCATTTTACCCCAAGAGTATCCAGATCCTGCAAGATAGCCTCTTCAAAATGATGTTTTTCTTTTGAAGGGTTTGTATCGTCAAATCGCATCAGAAGTTTTCCTTTATACTTAATAGCAAGCATACTATTAATTAAAGCTGCTTTTGCATGACCAATATGAAGAAAACCACTAGCCTCTGGAGGAAAACGAGTGACAACTTTCCCTTCTTCAGCATCTGTTATAATAAGTTTATCCGCATCATTTGTTGAATTAACTCCTGCCGCATTCCCATTTTCACGGGAGAAATATGTTTTTGTTAAAACCAAAGCCTTCAAGTGAATATCAACAGACATTTTTCTTGCTAATCTAAACATAAAAGGCAAAAAAAAAAAACAAATAATAAAAAAAAAAAAAACAGAAAAAAAAACTACTACAAAAGGGAGAAAAAAAAGACATCACAAAGAGGATAACTAATTTATGTCATTCTCAAAAAACAAGTAACTAAAAAATAATAAATAAATAAATAAATAAATAATAGTAATAAGCCAGAAAATAAAAAAAATTCCCACAAGATACTCGCACACCACAATAAAATAAAAAAGAAGATACAGCAACAAACCACCTCCCCACGACACCCGCCGGCCACCATAAAAAAAAAACCGAAAAAAAAAAAAAAGCGTACCGCCCCACCGCGGCGACGCCCAAAAGAAAACAACACTAAAAAATAAAACGGTGAAACGGTGCCCACTACCGCCAGGACGTCGCGACACGAGGGGCGCCTTCCAAACGGGCACGCCGACGCCCGCGGCGGGAGGGAGCGGCGGAAATAAAACCCGACGACGCCGGGACCCCGCGCCAACATTTCCGTGCGGCGCCCCGATTCTTTTTTTTTTTTTACCCTCGTGGGCGGCGGTCTCCCCGACAAGGGCGGGTAGGGAATGTGGGGACGGGTCCCCAGACTTGATGCGGGATGTCGTCGCATTTCCCGGGCTGGTCACGGGACGGTGCGGTGGTAATTATTATTTATTTATTTTATTTTCGACGCCGTTGTGCTTTTTTTTTTTTTTTCTTTGTTTTTTCTTTAGTTTCTCTTGCTTTATTTATTTTTTTTCTTTCTGCCTTTTCCCCGGAAGAATAGGACGCAATGTTGCGACGATGCCGATTGTTTCGAATGAAATATGCCGATTTGGAACTCACCACTAGGGGCGAGTTTCCGCATGGAATGAAGGAACCAGCGTTTGTGAAGAAGTTGGACCAAAATATTCCGTGGTACTTTTCTACTTACAGATCAATGTATCATTGGCCTATTACTGGAGATAATTGGAGTGATCTTAATGAAGCTGAGAAGCATCATGATCTTCACATGTTCTATACTTTAGCGTGGTGGAAACTAGGTGAGGGCATTTTTGACGCTGATGATGAAGACAAGTAGTAGAAGAAAGTATATTAATATTTGTTGCTCCCGTGATTAACAACAGAAGAACAAGAAAGAAAAATTCACATTATTTGTTTCTGTGGTTACATATATATATATTGATTTCTTGGGTCTTGTCTTGTTTGTACTTTTTTTTGGTATTTTTTTTTTTTTCTCTTACAGTAGAAAATTGAACTTTTTTTTTATTTCTACTAATTTATCTCTCTTCTTGCTTTTTTTTCACGTTAGGGGTTAAATAGTAAAGAAAAGAGTTTTGTTTGTATTGTTTTTTTTTTTTTTTTTTTAGTGGGAATATAGAATAGGAAATATGTTGAGGAAATGTGCGGTTCGGTCTTATCGTTATCAGGAGTTTGAGATGTCCAAAAATGCAAAATATCCGTTTAATTATGCTAGAGAAGCCCCCAATACATCTGTTTTTCCTCAGTATCAGTTAAATTTTTGGATGTTCTGGGGTTGGGGGCGTCAAGAATTGTGGATAGATAAAGATACTAGAAAGTATGAAACAACTTGGGAAATGCTTCGTCGTTTACTTATGTGGTTCTTTCCGTGTCTTTTTGTTTTTCCCTATGGTTTACCTAAACTTATTGCAAATAATTATTATGGTGAATATGGGGAAAAGCCGTTTTTAGATTATACTATGCATTTCCCGATGGATAATCATTATATTGAGTGGGGAGGTAGTGTATTAGATGCGGAGTGGTTGCGTCATATACACTCAAAAGAATCTTTCTAGGTATAAACCCGGTTGATTGTAGTTAGGGTTTCTATTTCTTTAGTTTAGCTGGGATTGTGGGGATTAGAAGGAGTAATATATATAGTTGGTTGATTAGTGATGTGCGAGGGGTATTTTTTTTTTTTATTAGTGTAAGTATATATATTTATATATATGTATGTATATATATTTATTCGGGAAGAAGATGTTTGGGGTTGGATAAAGGCTAATTAACGTATATGTTTGCTTTTATGATGACTAGTTCTTGCTTATTATTATTTTTTTTTTTAGATTTAATTTCTTTTTTTTTTCTTGTATTTTCTTTAATACGCTCTGGTTTAAGTTGTATACGAAAAAAAAAGTGAGGTAGGTCTTATTTTTTTTTTCATTATTATTTTTATTATCTTTTTTTCTCTACTTTTCTCTCCTTTTTTTTTTGTAGATAAGGAATATGAGAAACATCTCTCGTTTTGCGATAGCTAACGTACGATTAGTAAGATCGCATGCAACCTATGGCATGACTCAATTGTCACACAAAGAGTTGTTTTCTCTTTACCATTCTGGAAATAAATCGTCTAATGAACTTGAACTGTTAGAACAAGTTGAAGAACGTATTTCCAAATGGAAACTTAATAAGTGGGAGATGCGAGTTCCACCCTTACTTCCTGCTCATGAAAAGGAAGTAATGCGTCGTCAGCAAGAACTTTTAAAGAGTTCTTTTTTTCACTGGGGAAAATGTCGTGACGCACTTAATGCGGATATTGAAATTGTTTCTTCTTTGACTGGAATATCAAAAGAAGATGTTAGGGGAAAAAATCGTTCTTGGATGCAAGAAGAAGCTGCAAAGTTGCGTTGGATGGGAGAAGTAAATAAGGCTACACGTTTGCGTGATGCGTTTATGCGTTTGGAGATTTATGGATCAAGGGATCATATGCTTTTAGAGCGACTTTGTTGTATATATGGTTTAGCTTTACAGGGAACCTTTGAATCTGCTTTTTCAAATTATATTATGGAAGACCCGCTGACGAAAAAGATTTTTGTTGATGAAAGTAATCCTTTTCGTGATCTTATTTCTCATATTATTAAGACATATCCTCAAATAGATATTATCTATGATTTTCTCGGTTTTAATATTACAGAGGGTTATCGCTCATCCTTGCGTCGATATTTAGAAAGTTTACTCTTAAAAACGGATCAAGAGACAAAATCCAAAGGTCGATTAGCTTTTGGAAATGGAAAAAAACTTGAGTTTCTTTTCGATTTTTGTGATAGTAGAAAATCTTTGGTTTCAGGTGAGTGTGTACAAGGGATGCCCGATTTTTTGTATGTTAATGGAACGGATATTACTCTTATTATTATAGCTTCAGAAAATACATGGTTACGTAACCGTCAGTTACCCCACAGAAAACAAATGGAAGGGATTGCAAGACGAGCTAGTTTTGTTACGGGAATTCCATTTTCTGAGGTGCGTATTCGAAATCTTCTTCTTCCACCTGCCTACCTCGACAAGAACTCTATTCTTCGAATTAATGAGGTTCTTTTTGGATTGTCGAAAGAAGAAGAACAAAAACTGGTCCCGTGGTTGATGGTCTACGATAAGGAGTTAGATTCTAAAGATGTTGATTTCTGCGCACTTGTAAAATCAACAAACGAAGAAGAATGGCTAACATTGTAATATTTGTTTTTTTTATTAATTCCTTTTTTTTGCTTTTTTGGGCATTTATTTGGATTTAGTAAGGTGTATCAGATGTAAAAAAAAAAAAAAAATGATATAATTAATTATTTTGATGTTTTTTTTTTTTCTTGTAAGCATTTTTTTTTTCGTTTTTTTTTTTTTCCTTTCTGATATGGAGTAATAGTGAAATATATTTTTTATTTCATTTCATAGACAATGACAACGACACAACACACATGTGTTGTGAGAGTTAATTTGTTTCTATTTTTAGATGAAACCGCTCAGTATCAAGAATATGGGTCGGTTGGTTGTGCTATTATTGGTACGTTATCGGATCCACCATTATATAAAATGGGTTGCTATAATGAAAAAAATGAGTACTTATGTACTGCTAGTATTACTACAAACAACGAAACAGGTGCTAATTTGGCATTGCAAGATGGAGGTTATGTTTCTTTTAAAGATGAACAGGGTAAAAGCTGGTCTATGCAGTTTGAGACTGTAGATTATGCAATTGAATTTTGTGCCCATGTCTCAGTTGCAATGTACGGAGCCTCAGGTTATTCAAATCAAAGTATTTTAGCATGTGATGTTACATCGGGAAAACGTGATCGAATTGTATTTGCTAATGATGTGGTCAAAGTACGCTATCAAAGTTGGGTAGTTCAATGTGAAGCAAATCGTAAGAAACTTCCTATTCTTGGAAGTAAGTTAGATGGTAATCTAACAGATGAAAAACCGTTTACAATGAATGTACCCGCAAATCATATGGGTGTTACTCCAGACATGAAAGGATTTGAAGGAATGATAATAGGAATGGGTGAAGAAGGGACTCGTTTGATAGTTATTCCATTTGGAGCGAAACGGGGTGGTGGACCTCAAGTTCATATGTGTTTTTACGTTCATATTGTTAAGAAAAAAAACTCTTCTCAAGTTGTTGGAATTCGTGAAAATATGACTGTTGCTTTGCAAAGTTTAACTCCGCAAACAACAGATAACACAAAAACTTTTTCACATAATGGTGAACCTAGTGTTATACAAAGTTTTGAACGTCATTATTCTCATCCTTCTTTTATTCCTTTGCCTGGATTTAGCAAAGAACAATTACTGGTTGTGGATCGAATTCGTGATCAAGTTCACGTGCTTTCTCAAGAGTTACAGGAGGCAAGAAAACAACTCGATATTTTCATGAATGATGTAAAAGTTCATGAACGAAGTGAAAAACCCAAAAGTTTGGCAAGTGCTCAAATTGAATATTCGATTAAAAAGTTATTGATTGATACTGAAGAAGCTAGAGAAACGCTTTCTCAGAAAGATATAGCGTTAAGACAGATTGAGGAAAAAAATCGTGAGTTACAGAAAAAAGTTGATAAGTTTACTAGTACTGCAAATTTACTTGCAGAAGAAAGAAAAAATTCTATTAATTCATCAAATGAAGAAAAATTAGATTTTGATAGAAGAATTGCCCAAACTCAGTCAGAATTAACACGAATACAATCTGAACGAGAAGATGTTGCTCGTCATCTTTCAACTGTAAAACGACTTTTGGAAGTTGCTGATCAAGATATAAAAAATGAAAAGCAAAAATTACAAGTATCTTCTATTGAATTTCAAACGAATGAATCTAAACTTGCTATTGATGAAGAAAACTATACTGAAGAAACTTCTCATGTTAAAATTCTTGAGTCAAAAATAATAACACTTGGTGATCAATTGCGTTCTGTATCGGAAGAAGTTCGGATAAAAGAAAGTCAAATTGACGAAACTAGAAAAAAAATTGAAAGTGATAAATTACATTATACACAATTGCTTGAAGATGAAAGAAGCAAAGCAACTGTAGATATTCGTGAATTACGACAGGAATTAATTGATGAATTAGCTATACGTGATAAACGTTATCAAGAAGAACGTCAGAGAGTTGTACATGAGTCTTTTGAAAGGGGAAGAATTCAAGGTATAGAGGATGGACAAAATGAAACACTTTTAGAGGCTGATACAGTTACCCAAGAATTAACTCTTACTGTTCAACGTCACAAGGCAGAAGTTAATGCTATGCGAATTCGTTTAAAGAGTGCAATAGAACAAAGTGAAGCAGATGAACGACGATTAAATTCTCAAATAGTAGCACTTCAAGAAACTTTATCTAATCTTCAGGTAGAAAATACACAGTTGGAGACGGAGAACGATTCCTTGATATTAGCAAAAGAAGAACTTGAAGAAGGTATTTTTCAAAAAATTAGGAGCGCTGTTGAGCAACTTTCTCAACCTATAGGGCGAAATGATCTACTCACAGTTATTCACACATTGAGAATGAATAAAAAAGTAAACTACGATTTTGAGCTTCAACGTGCGGATGAACGAGAAAGAATTCTAGAGCAAGAGCATAAGGAAGTTTGTGAATGGGTTAATGCGAGTGTAAGTGGTACTTGTGTTCCATTTCCTCCTATACGGATGTTTTGTACTTCAGAAGCTTCAGTATATGTTGAATCTGCGAATAAATTATGGAACCAACCAGAATTGTCTGATGAATTACTTGAATCAAGGCTTCAGGATTTAATTGAGATTCAAGAGGCAGTAGTTCACTTTGATCCAGATGAAATGGATCGCCGTTATCGAGAACTATTATCAGAATTTACAAAAGTCAAGCCTGACCTTGAATTGGTACCTCAAAATAGTTCTACCAATAAACAGTATGTTGTTTCTGCGCATAAAGAAATATCTCAGAGTGAAAATAATGAAATTTATCCTGAAAAAAATAAAAATCAGACTTCCTTTGATAAGACTGAAGACTTCATACCTCCGAAAGAAAAAGAACAGCAGAATTTCATTTCAACGTTACAAGAAGTGCCACACTCTAATAGTGAACTAGTTTCACCACGGCAATTGGATGTGCATGAAACTGTTTCCCCTAAAAGTCCTAGTCTTATACCAGAAAACAAACAGGAAAACTTACCCGAGTGTGTCTCTGCTGGAGATACTGACTCTAGAAAAGAAGAAGCGAAAACTGAAAGACAATTTGATCCTGCCCCTTTGAGAAGACCCATTTCCGACTCTAATAGTCAAAAGCCAGTCAATCAAATAGCTCCTCCAACAAGACGGGGTGTTCCTACCCGAAAGAAAATGCCTACAATGAGTGACTCAGACTCAAATAACGATTTCCCTAATCAGACCACAGAGGAGTCTAAGCGTGGCGTGCTTAAGAGAGCTCCACCCAAAAAATCTTTGTTTGACGATAGTGACTCTTCCGATTTCTAGCAAAGGGTCCTTCTTTACCATGAAGACGCAATCGGGTCTTAGTCCTTTCCTACCTAAATAAAGTATATTTTGTGGCTCTGATATTTCGTAATGGAGGATATTTTTTAATTAGTTGTAGAGCCTACTCATGCTCTATTATCGTTAATTTAGCATTTTATATGCCGGACAATTTTCCTTTTCTGTATCTGTTATGGTAATATTTATTATTATTTGTTTATTATTTATTTATTTATTTATTTATTCTCTTGCCTTTATTAAATTTTAAATTCCTGTTCTTTCTCATTTCTAGTGTTGACAGAGTCATGACAACAAAGCGCCGCAACCACGGACGATCGAAGCCCCCAAGCTCCCGGGGTCGCACAAACCCGGTGCACTGCTTCAACTGCGGGCGCCTGGCTCCCAAGGATAAGGCCATTCGCCGCTTTGTGGTGCGTAGACTGTTGGATCAGGCATCTGCTCGTGATGTGGCTGAAGCCTCTCCAGTGTATGGCGCTGGCTTCCCTATGCCTAAGATGTACATGAAGCAGCGCTTCTGCATTGCGTGTGCAATTCACAAGCGTGTTGTGCGCGCTCGCCCTGTTGAGGCCCGCAAACGTCGTTTCACTTCCAAGGTTCCATTTCGTCCAACTGCTGGTAAGTAGTACATAGTACTATTTGAATACTCTGTGAGCTCATTTCATCTTTTTCTTTTTTTATTCTGTTTTCTATAAGATTAATATTTCTTGGGAATATGGAGATAACCCCTAAATCAGTTCTTCTATTTCATGGGACATTAAAGTAATATGTGTACATAATTTTATTTATCTATTTTCTCTTTTCTTTTCTTTTTTTTTTTTTTTTCTTCACCGTTTCTTATTGTTGTTATTCCTTGATACACATAATTTCTCATAGCCTTCTTCAGGGGTACTGCCATGATTCGCAAGACGCTCCCTCTTGCATGCTCCACGGCCAAAATTCCGTGGAGTAGGTGTAGCAACTCTGATATAGCTGATGCTGTAAACAGTCGTAAAATTCCACTTTACAATCTTGAGAAGGAATTAGAGCCTGATTATAAGAGAGCTATCGCAGTCCGTCGTGAGGTTATTTCCAAGTATGTGGCCCCACTACCAAATGCAGATACGAGGCGCAATGGCCTTGAGAGTATTCCTTTTGAAGATTATGATTGGGACCGAGTTGTAGGCCAGAACTGCGAAAATATTGTGGGTTACGTACCACTTCCTCTTGGTATTGCCGGTCCTATTATTATGGATGGTAAAGAGTATCCTATTCCAATGGCTACTACAGAGGGTGCACTTGTTGCAAGTACCCATCGTGGCGCTCGAGTTATTTCTCAATCTGGGGGTTGTAAAACACTCCTTTTGAGTGAAGGTATGTCGAGGGCTCCTGTGGTAGAACTTGATTCTTTGGAAGAGGCAGGAAGACTCCATGACTTTTGTAATGAGAAATTTCCATTAATTAAGGAAGCGTTTGAATCCACTACACGATTTGGAAAGTTAAAATCTCTTAAGTGTGCATTAGCAGGTCGGAAAGCATATCTGCGATTCCGAGCAACCACTGGTGATGCAATGGGAATGAACATGATTACAAAAGGTGTGGATAAGGCTTTGGCTTTCCTTCAACAAGAATTTCCCACAATGAAGGTTCTCGCTTTATCAGGTAATTATTGCACTGACAAAAAACCATCAGCAGTGAACTGGATTGAGGGTCGAGGAAAAACGGTGTTAGCTGAAGCTACTGTGAGGGCTGATCTTGTTGAAAAAGTTCTTAAGTGCACTGTTGACAGTCTTATTTCCCTTAACGTTGATAAAAATCTTGTGGGTTCTGCCATGGCAGGGTCTGTAGGTGGTTTCAATGCCCAAGCTGCCAATGCGGTCGCTGCAATATTTATAGCAACAGGACAGGATCCTGCTCAAGTAGTAGAATCCTCAACGTGTATTACAACAATGTCAAAAGTTGGCAATGATCTTCTCATATCAGTGACGATGCCCAGTATAGAGGTTGGTACTGTGGGAGGTGGTACAGGTCTGGCTGCACAACGGGGTTGTCTGGAACTAATTGGATGTGGTGGTTCAAATAAGGAAACTCCTGGTGCTAATGCACAGTTACTTTCTCGCGTTGTTGCTGCTGGCGTACTTTCTGCAGAACTCTCACTGATGTCAGGATTGGCTTCAGGGCATCTTCTAAGTGCCCACATGCGACTTAATCGAAAACAGAAGTAGAAGAAGGGTTTTATACGAAGGTGTGGTAGTTGTACGTGTGGTTTTGTATGGGCTTCTTTTTTTTGCAAATAAAACGAAAAAAAAAGAAATTGATCTCTGGGGACTGTTTTTCGAAGAGATGCTGTAGAGAGTTGGTGTTGTTTTTTTAAAGGGAATGCCGAGGCTTATTTAGAATTAAAGGAATCACACGTTTTTTTTTTTTTTTTTTTAAAAAGAGAAGGCAATGTTTTTATTTCTTATTGAAGCGCAAAACAATCACCATATCTCTTTTTATCGTTTTCTTTTTTTTTCTCTTGTAATTTTCACTAACTACCAACTAGCGACGACTCCACCAGTAAGGGGAAGAAGAGAGGGTGGACACAGTGGTGAAGAGGCAGTAGTAGATAGACAATGCCAGGCCCGGCGGTGCTCTTTGTTGGGAATCTACCCACTGTGGCGAATGCGCAGTACGTAGAGCGTCTCTTCTCCGCCTACGGCCGGGTGCTGCAGGTGAAGGTGCTGCAGGAGGGCACTACTCCCTACGCGGAGGTCACCTACGGCGCCGTGGATGACGCCGATTCCGCCATCTCCGCACTCCACACGCTCTACTGCGCCTCCCCCGGACTCCCGCTCGTCGTGCTTTACCACCGCAACAGCCCCGCCGTCTCCGCCTACGGCAGGCGCGTGGGTGGTGAGTACGCAGCAGCGGTGCGTAGCTGTCGTGATCCAGCACATGTACCGCTGGAGGCATTTGATGAGCGATTTGAGCGCACAGAGGTCCCACCACCACCATCCGACAAGGAGATCCTTGAGGGTAACCGGTGGAATAGCCATTAACAGTGCCTCTGGTAGAGGGAACATGGATCCGGTCTTTAAAAAAAAAAAAAAAAAAAAAAAACTCTTGCAAGCTTAACATTTTGCTGTAAAAAAAAAATTGAGAGCATCAAAAGACAAATAACAGGGAGTGCACTTAACTGTTTGTTTAGTGAAATAATACCTCCATTTATTTTTATTTTTATATATAATCTTTCTTTTTTTTTACGTTTTTCTTTTTTATTTCTTGGTTTCCCTTTCTTGATTTTTTAGTTCTTGTTCTTTCTAGGAGATGTTAATAGTGTTGCAAAAGATATATCTGAAGGGTTTCTTAGTCAACTATTTTATGATGAAGCAAGATAGAAAGGGTTGAAGTTGAATGTATTAAAAAAGAGGCAGAGAGTATAGAGAATTGTCCCCTACCTGAAAGGAACAATCTGTAAAGCATACATGGGAGATGGATCTTCCTGACAGGGTTTCCTACCTGGGAACGGATCTCTACCGTACCACTTGATTTACTCAATTTTGTGCAACGCAGAAGTTTATGCCCATTCTTATGGGATAGTGTAAACAATGCTAATGAAGTTGAAAGCAATGCTTATATTGAAAAATATTATGATGATGAAGATAATAATAATGAATGTGATAATGAAAATGATTTTTACGTTCTCGGTGCGTGACACAATGTCCTGGGGAATCTGTGTGCTACCATTCTTATTTAAGTGAAATGACATTACATTCCTTTTACCAGTAATACTACTGGCATTGTGATCACTGCAAGTGGCGTTTTCACACCTTTTTTTTGTTGACGTTTATTTGTTTTATATTATGTATTAACGATAAATATGGTTCCTCTAGGTCAGAACAGTTCTACTGAGACATGTTGTGCGATGAATTAAAAAAAAAAAAATGATCGCTACTAAAGGAAAAATGTGGTGAGATCATTGATCGATTTTACCCTAAATTGATAAACAAGTAATTTTTTCTATTTGTGTCTTTAACCTCAAGATCTTTACACGAAGATTTGTACTGATCTCGGTGTGTCACATGACCCAATGTTGACAAGTTATCCTAATGATAAGTTTTCCTCTCGTTTGGGTCATTTAGAATGTTTTCGTCTTATAACCTGCATTATCTATGTTAGCCTAGGTATTCGGATGGAAATATATCTACGCGAAGTAGTTTTATGTTTATGAACGTATATAATTTCATTGTTTTTTTTCTTTTTTTAAATATATTTTTGTTACGGAGGGACACAGGAAGTGGAGTATATTTATTTATTGTCTCAAACTGATTAAAAAAATGTTTTTTATTTATTTTTTTATGTTTTTGTTTGCGATTTGGAAACCCTTTCTCTTTTCATCTTGGTTGGATAATTCCTTAAGTGGGGGTCGGAAGAAGTGTCGGAATCTTTTATTCGTATGTTAATATGCCAGGTTGATCGTAGTTTTTCTTTATTTTTCTTTTTGTTATGGTTAAAAATTAAAACATCGTGTATTTTTAATTATATATATATATATATATATATATATATATATATTTTAAAATCAGTGAGTTCCTTCTTCTTTTTTTTCATTGGTGTTGGATTTTCAAGATTGGTTAAATAAACAAGATCGACTAGGTACATTTCTCATTAAAAGCTTTTTGTTGAGTTTTTAATGGGACCTAGTAAAAGATGTCAAATGAAGTAATTCAAGTTAATGACGTGTCTCGAAAACTTCACCAAGAGTATGCACTCTTGTTAGAAAAATTGCACATGCTTCAGTCTGCGTGGCACAAAGCAACCATACGAAAAGGAGTTTTAGAGGCATCTTTCGCATCTACAGCATCATATGGAGACGTTTTGGAACCTATTCGACAACGTTTATCCGAATTACAGAGTGAACATGCAGTGCTCAGCCAACAGAACGTTTTCCTGCATTCGCAGGTTAAAAATGCAAAAGAGCTTTACAAGCGCGCTTGTGAAGAGTCTTCAAGTCTTTCTAGTACTGTATGCAGCGAAAAGGAACTTCTTGAGGAAGAATATTTGCAAGTTATGCGCTTAATTGATCAGTTTGATCCTGAACTTCAAGAAGATGCTCCGTTAGTGAAAGCGGCATTAGCAGAGCAACGTGTAGAGCTTCGAGTGCTACAGGATGCGTTAGATGTTGTTAAACAATCTATGGAATCTGATTCTATTGGTGAGGTGTTAAAGAGCTCTTCTATTTTTTTCGCGAGCTCTTCACCTACGGTGGAGGTCCCGATAGAAGATATCTCTCTTCCGGTGACGCGAGGGAGACTTCGACTACTGACGGGTCCATCGGGTGATGGTCTCCAGCAACTTAGGGATCGTCATAGAGTCTCAGTGTTTATCGTAAGTTCAAATGATCAAGTGTCAGTTCGTGTCCGAGGACATCGCTCAGGTGTGGAAAACTGTGTGTCTGATATTCGTCGTATATTGTCTCTATAAAAAATACAAACCAACTCGTAATACTTGCTGCTGTACTATCAACTTCACAGCTTTTTTTTTTTTTTTCGTTGTTATGATATTCATTTTTTTTTTCTTTTTAATCTTTTCCAACTTCCCCATAATTATTCTTTTATTGTTCTTGCTTTCCATTTTTTTTTCTTTGTTTTTTTTTTCTTATTTTTTTTTTTTACCCACTATTTACTGTTATTTATTTTTGAGGAGGTGGCTGACTTGATGGACGCGAGCAACGCGCGTGTGGAGAGGCTCCGCCGTGTTAACCGCTATAAGGCGGTGCAGGCTGAGCTTGCGCTCCAGCGAGAGGAAGAAGAGTTCTATGCCAGTAGAGAGAAAAAGATTCAAGCTGCTGCTCGTGATGAGGCTCTTGCGAAGGAGTTGGCAGAACAGCAGCGTCTTGACTTGAAGGATGAAAAGATGCTTCAGCTTGTTCGTACATTCCCGGAACTTCGGAACCTTGAGGCACAGCTAAAGCACGCTTTTATGAAGCGTGGACGGGCAGACCAGGTAGAAGAGTTACGTCAGCTGCGGGAGAAGCAGCTGCAGGAGGAGAAGGACTACATTGCGTATCTGGACCAGCAGGACAAGCTGTCGAAGGAGAAGGAGGATGAGCGGCGGAGGCGGGAGATCGAGGCATTCCAGCGCCATCAGGCCGCGCAACTGAGCTTAATTGAAGAGCGCAAGGCGTTTGCCGAGCGGGAGGCGGAGGAGCGGCGGAAGGAGCGCATCGCCGTGGACGCGGTGGTGGCGCGGGTACAAGAGAAGGAGTTCCTCGACGCCCTCGACCGTCACGAGCGGCAGCGACAACTGCAGGAGGAGCAGGAGGAGTTCCGCCGGCGTCGCGCGGATATTCAGGCGGCGGAGCGGGAGCGCGAACAGCGGGAGGAGGAGGCTATACGCGCTTATCACGCCGAGCAGGGTCGTCGTCGGGAGACAGATGAGAAGTTGCTGCGGGAGAAGGAGGCAATCAAGGCCCGCATCCTTGAAGAGCAGAGCAAAAAGATTGCGGAAGAGCGAGCAAAGCGTGAGGAGCTGGAGAGTTTACTGAATGACTACTACGAGGCAGAACGTGTCGCAAAGGAGCGCAAGGCAATGAAGGAAGAAAAGGAAATGCGGGAGAAGTTTGCGGAGGAAGTAAAGCAAGAGAACTGGAAGCTGATTCAGGATCGTTTGAAGGTAAAGGAAGAGGAACGGCTGGAGGAGATTAAGCTACGCCAACTGATGATGGAGGATCTTGCACGCAAGGCAAAGATGGAACAATTATCACGTCAACGTCAATTACAGCTCAAGAAGGAACACGCGATTGAAGCCGAAAAGATGCTTGAGGCACGTAGAGCGTTAAAACGCGAAGAAGAACGTCAAGCAGCCCTATTAGAAGAACAGGAAAAGAAACGACAGGAAGAGTTGCAAGAATACATCCGTCGTGCACGTGCGCAGTTGCTTGCCGATTATATTCCACAATTGGGAGAATTTGTCCCTGCACATGTACTTACTGTCGATGAAAAGAAAAAATATGGTATTATAAAATAGAATATTTTGTTTATGATAGAGAAGAAGAAGAAGTTTAATTGATTAACATCACCACTTCTTTATTTTAAGTGGTGAATAGTCATACTTCAATGATGTAATGGAATATTTTTCCGCAGGTATTGCGTGTGCGTTTGTGTCGCATTTTTAAATTATTTTATTCTTGTGTTTTTTTTTTTTTTTTCATATTTTGCATTCAGCAGTTGAGTAGTGTATGAGAGTAGTATATTATTTTCCTATATTTCTTGTTAGGATCATGTTTATTTTGTCTTGCTTGCTTCTTGCTATTCTTTTTTTTTCCTTCTTTTATTTTGTTATTATTATTTTTGTTATTGGGTTTTCATTTTATTTTGTTTTTAATTTCTCTTTTATTACATGGCTAGGGTTCTTTTCAATTGATGAGGACCTCTTCCATTCTGCTTCCCAAGAAGTTGTCAGCTGACAAGGTCTGGAAAGCGGTACCACTGCCTCAGCAGTTCCATACATCCCTTGAAACTGGAGACTGGATGCGAGCGTTGCATGTCTACCAGCGTCATCCGTATCACGCTCCACCTGTGGACACCTTTGATCTCTTAAAGGCGATTATGCACGCAACCGGTGTGCGTGTTGATGATGTGAAGAGCCGTTTCAATGAAAAAATACGGCTATCAGCTATACTTCAGAGAAAAGCACCTGATGAAGTGGAGTGGAGCGTATTCTGGGAGGCCCTTAATAAGGGAGATTCCAAAACGATTAGCGCCGCACTCATGGGGGCCCGTTTGTCAAGTGCAGGACAGCAAATAGCTACTGCTGAAGCTTGTGCTGTTCTTCTTAAATCTGCTGGTGCAGACTGGGAGTCTAAACTGGTAGATAGCGTTCCCTTTGCTACTGTAACACGTTGTAATCTCGTTCATGTGGCATTGCTACAAGAGCGGTGGGATGTTGCAGTAGAGCTGCTGCGTAATGTGCGTATTAATCGCAGCGATGTGATGACCCTATGGCCTCTAATTGAGCAGCTTGACTGGGAAAAAGTCCTTCTTCTAATATCGGCGTGTCCAAAGAATTCGGTACCGTTTGACTTAGCACTACGTCACATTCTGCGTGGAGGCTGTGGTCTTCAGTACCTCTCGGAACATCTGGAGAATGCACGTGTTCTCGGTGATGCAGATGTAGTGGCACCACTGCTTGCCCATGCGGTGGAAATCGGAGATTGGGATTTTATTAGCAGAGGAATGGAACATCTTGTTGATATCGGACAAATTACACAGCCAGCGCGCGAAGTGCTTGAACACATGGGAAAAATCCACGGTATGGAGAAGGTGTGTAAACGTTTGGAAGAGCATCGCATACCACTTCACTGTGTGACAGTTGAAAACCTGGAGAGTCTCAAACTGTGAGTAGAGGAAAGAGAAAAAAAAGAAAAGGGGTGGGGGAAGGGAGTGGGTATATATATATATATATATATATATATATGGATAGAAAGAGAGATGGGACAGAAGTGAAAGTATGCTTTATTCACAGATTTTTTTTTTTTAATTTTCTGCCCCATTCATTCCAATCCCTGCACCCTTCTTCACATCAAGTGTATTTTTTTTTTTAGAGTGGTGTGTGTGTGTGTTGATGGGTTGATGGCCTTTCTTTCTTGGGACATTCATGTTTTTGGACTATTTGGAGTAAACTATGCATTAATTATTTGGTTTATTAATTTACTTGCTCTCTTTAAAGGAAGTAGTTAATTGAAAGGGTACAAGAAAGAAAACAAAAAAAAAGGTAAACTGAAATAAATGAACTGGCTAATAGTTGTTGCGACACTACTATCCGTACTGGCTGTTGTTTCATCGGCTCAGTCGGTCCCATCGGATTCACACCCATTGTTGTTTGTATCTAAGTCTGTTTCGGATGACTATGTGGTGGTGGGAAATAATGTGGAGTTTACTGTCACTGTGTACAACTATGGACAGAGCCCAGCGGCAGATGTAACCATTACGGATGTGCTGGTTGACGGCTCTGTACGAACAAAGCACATTGACATGCTCTCTTTTGGTGAGTCAGCGGTGCTAAAGTATACCGTGACACCCAAGGAACTTGGTAGTTACGCTACCGACGTTGCACAAGTGACGTATGCGCTTCAGAAGGGAAAACCAGCCACAGAGAAGGCCTACAGCAACATGATCCGCGAAGGTAATGCCTACTTCCTTGGCGAAGGTTACGATGATGAAAGCTTTCGTGGTGTGGTATCTGTTGTCACGCGCGATCGCTATGACCGTCTTCACAAGCGGTACATTCGTGAATTTGTCGCTTATGCTTTTCTTTGCGTTGTTCCAGCAGTTTTTCCACTTGTTATGTACCGCACGGTGCAGAATCAAGTGGATCTACTCATCCGTCGCTCTAAGATGAGCAAATGAGAAACAGTAAAAGAGAAATAGGTGAACTACAACAATGTAAGGGTGGCGCGTGTCACGGTTGTGCGCTTCAGCTGGCACGTGCGGAGACTATTCCAAAGCTGAAGGAAGGAAGGAAGAAAGGGGGGTGAAAAGGAAGAATTACAAAATTTGATACGGAAGAAAGAAAAGAAAAAAAAAAAAAGCAAAAAAACGAAAAGAAAAAAAAGGCAAAAAGAAAAAGGAATGAGAAGCGGTTGTAGGTGAATTTTTTTTTGCTACACAGAATGTGTTGTTCATGTGCTTTTCACCCTTTTTTATCTACGTCTATATACACGCATATATGCCACGTTCTTTTCCACTTGTTCTTTCTGTTTGTGTATGATTGTGTCTTTTCGTCGCATTAATATGTTTTTCTTCTGCGATGTTCCTCAATTATTTTTTTTTTTCTTTTTTCTTTTTCTTGTTCTCTTTCTTTCTTTCTTTCCTTCCTTATATCCTGTGTTCCTGTTTACGTTAGTGGGACGGCCGCCTGAGAAAAAGGTATCTCCCTCTTTCTATCTCCGTTGGTGCACGCAACTGAACGCAGTATGAACAAGACAACCAACGCTGTCTCGGAAGGCTCGGGTGGTGTAGAACCGCAGTCACGCTCTGCCTCGCAGCGAAGCGGGTGGTCCGACGATGTCCCCAAGAAAATTGATCTAGAGCACGATCGACAGAGCATAGCCGCTTGGCGACAGACCAAATTGAATAAGATTATTCTCGAGGACGCGAGAAAAACATATGTTTCCCGGGAAGACCATCGACTAATGCTTAAGCAACTCATCTCCACCGCGTACTTTAAAGACAAGGAGCGCAAAGCTAACATTGATAAATGGAAGCGTATTGTGCTAGCTGTTGAAAAGGAGTACATTGGTGCTAACGCCCTCTTTACACTATCTCCTGACCCGTACCACCAAGTGTTGGCGAAGTTGTCCTCAATGATGATATGGAATGATGAGGTTCGTCAGTGGGGCTACGACTACTGTACAGGGGAAATTACAAGACGCCGTGCACATCATGTAGAAGTACTTGCGCGTCTCAAAAGTTCAGGAAAATTGTTTTTGAACTAGTGAAATGATTTTGCTTAGTATGTGTGTGTATGTATATGTTTTTTTTTTTTTTTTTTTGTCTTGTATCCATTTATTATTATTATTATTATTATTATTATTATTATTATATTTGCTCATGGGTGAGGTAAAAATAAATAAAAAAAAAGGAAACAGAAATTATAGATGAGAGGAAAATTATGCGTTCGTAAAGGCAACAAAGTATATATATTTATATGTATATGTGTGGGTGTGTCTGTGTATTTGAAACAGGATAAAATAGTCAAACAGAATAAGCTATTGGATTTTGGTACGTTTACGCAATCACAAAATAGGATATATATATATATATATATATATGTTTTACACCTTGCACATTAGAGGTGATTGTGGAAAGGTGCTGGTGTGTTGTGATTTGCTGTGATGTACCTGTGTTGTTGATTGGTGTGAAAGGAGCTTGGTGAAGAAGAAAAAAGGTTTATTCGTGTGTGAAAAAGGGGTTGGTGTTCAGACCAAGGAAAAAATGAAAGGGGATAAAAGTTCCATTATTGTTTTTTAATGTTGATTTTTTTTCTCTTAGGTTTGATTAAATCTTTAGTTTTTTTTTTCTTTTTTCTCTTGTATTTGTTCTTTTACTTTTGTTGATGGATATTTTCGTTGTTGTTGTTGTTTTCATGAGATAGTTGCGTAGATGGGCTTCACTTCTCTCTCTTTAATTGTTGATATCTGTTGTTTTTACCTTTCCAATTGTTGGTGCCCATGAGAAAAGTAGAAGCACACATGTATTTATCTATATAGGTGTATGTGTATGTGTGTGATTTTGTGCGTCAAAACACAAGGAGTGATAAATCGGGCAAAAAGAAAGAAGATAAGAATGAAAAAAAAAAGCCATAAAATAATTGAGTCAAAAAGAGAAATAGAGGGAACATACGAAAAGAAATTGGTGCTACTTATTCATGCCGCTGAAATAGAGACAACTACTACCCCTTTCTGAGGAAAGAGGAGAATATCATTAATAGAGTTATCTGTCATTGTATTTATATCTCCTTCTTCCTTTTTTGACAGGTGGTGTAGTAAGAAAAAAAAGAAATATGATAGTAAAAGGTAAAAGACCTGCCTGAGGTGGGTTGCGATATGTAAGTGACGTATATTGTTGAGGTGAGAAAAGTAGAAAAAAAGGAGTAAAAGGGGTATTCATAAAGTAAAATACAAAATATTAGAGAAAAGAAAATAGCAACACCCCCCCCCCCCCCCAAAAAAAAAAAAAAAACGACAACGTCTATATCCGTATCTTTCTGAGTACATAAAACTATTGTGAAAAGTAAAGGAGGAAAAAAGTAAATGTGACGGGAATAAGGGAGAAATGAAGAAAATGAGTCATGGAGTAAAAAGTGAAAAGAAATCTGTTGAAGGGAAAAAAAAAGTAAAAGGAAAAAAAAAAAATAAGTATATTTTAAAAATCAGACAGTTATTATTACCCATATATATATATATATATATCTATATTCTACTGAGGCCCTGTGGAATGAAAAAGACAAAAAAAAAAGTACCCGGGAGTTTTTAAGTATATTTCTTAGTTTGACCCCCCCCCCTCTATTTTTTCCCTCTTCTCATATTTCTCAATCAGCACCATTTTTAAATACAAAAGTGGTGCTGTGGTAATTCAGATGAAAGGGTCTGAAGAGGAGAGGAAGGGTAGTGCACCGAAAAGAAATGAGAATTGGTGTCCTTTTTTTTAAAGTGTATCTCTTTTTTTTTGTTTAATTTTTAACTATCATTACTGGTAGTAAAAAAAAAAAAAAAGTTGCACTTTTCTTTGCACCCACTTTTTTTTTTTCTTGACTCACATAATTGATCTAAGAAAAGGAAGCTTGCAACTTGATAGTGGATCTCTAGTGTAGGTACCTACTTCAGCACGTTCCGACGCCGTCTGTTTCTGATGAAGCAACTCTTGCCCCAGATGGCTGCGGCCTATGACCCAAAAGATGTGGAAAGTGGGTGGTACGAGTGGTGGGAGAAGTCTGGTTTCTTTCGCCCTGCCACAGATACTGGTCGCAAACATAATGATAAAACTTTTGTTATTGTTTCGCCACCACCAAATGTCACTGGTCATCTTCATATCGGCCACTCTCTTACAGGATCTGTGCAGGATACACTTATCCGTTTTCATCGTATGAAGGGCGACAACACGTTGTATGTCCCTGGTACCGATCACGCCGGTATTGCCACACAAGTGGTTGTTGAAAAACGCATCATGAAAGAAAGTGGAAAGTCACGTCATGATCTTGGTCGTGAAGAATTTTTAAAGCGTGTGTGGGACTTTAAGGAAAACCATGCTGGTTTTATTACGCAACAACTTAGACGTATTGGTTTGAGTCTTGACTGGACTCGTGAGCACTTTACAATGGATGATCACTGTGCTTCTGCAGTGGTTGAGGCGTTTGTAAAGCTACACGAAGATGGCTTGGTACATCGCTCTACACGTCTTGTTAATTGGTGTTGCGCTTTACAGAGTGCCATCTCTGATCTTGAAGTGGAATTTGTTGATGTTGCCAAAAATGCAAAATTGACTATTCCTGGGTACGATAAGAAAGTTGATATGGGTGTTTTGACACACGTAGCCTATAAGTTTGAAGACAGTGATGATGAAATTATTATTGCTACTACAAGGCCAGAAACAATTCTAGGTGATACTGCTGTTGCCGTTCACCCAGATGATGAACGTTATAAGAAGTATCATGGTAAACGTCTTAAATGTCCATTTCGAAATGAGACAATTCCTCTAATTCTTGATCCTATATTGGTTGATGTGAATTTTGGTACAGGAGCTGTAAAAATTACTCCTTCGCATGATCCAAATGACTTTGAAGCTGGTGTACGTCATAATTTACCGCAAGTAACTATGATGGATATGAACGGTAATATTTGTATTGATGGTCCTTTTAAAGGAATGCATCGTTTTGATTGTCGACGTGAAATTGTAAAAGAATTGGATAAGATGGGTCTTTTACGTGACGTGGTCCCATATGAATACCGTGTTGGTCGTTGCAGTCGTACAGGAGATATTGTGGAACCACTTTTGATGCCTCAGTGGTTTGTTGATTGCAGTGAAATGGCCCGTAAGTCTGTGGAAGCTGTTCGCAATAAAGAGTTATGCCTATATCCATCATCACATGAAGCGGTATGGTATCATTGGTTGGAGAATATTAAACCATGGTGTGTTTCCCGACAGCTGTGGTGGGGACACCGTATTCCTGCGTACAAATGCAGTGGTGTGATTCCACCCACTCATGAAGATCCATGGGTGGTTGCACGTAATCTGGATGAGGCAAAGTCAAAGGCAAAGGTAAAATTTAATCTCACTGATGCTGAAATGGAGCAGTTGGTACTAGATCAGGATCCTGATGTACTTGATACCTGGTTTAGCTCAGCCATGTGGCCTTATTCAACACTTGGATGGCCGAATGACACAGATGATATGCATAAATTTTTTCCAGGTAATTTGATGGAAACAGGTCACGATATCCTCTTCTTCTGGGTGGCCCGTATGGTGATGACATCAATTCACTTTACAGGTAAGTTACCATTTAAGGAAGTTTTCCTTCATGCTATGGTCCGTGACAAGAATGGAGAAAAGATGAGTAAATCAAAAGGTAATGTGATTGATCCACTTTTTATTATTAACGGCATTACTCTTGAAAAACTACATGAAACCGTAACAAGTGGAAACCTTGATGAAAAGGAGGTGCCAAAGGCTTTAAAACTACAGAAAGAAACATTCCCTAATGGTATTCCAGAGTGTGGTAGCGATGCCTTACGTTTTGGTCTTCTTTCTTATACTCAATCTGGACGAAATGTTAATTTGGACATTGACCGCATCGTTGCTTACCGACAGTTCTGTAATAAGTTGTGGAATGCTGTACGGTACGTTTTGTATCATGCTCTTGGAACAGAGTATAAACCAAATTTAACTTCTTTTGATCCCTCCATAACAAGTACTCTCCCACTGGAGTGTCGGTGGATTCTTTCCCGTCTTGATGTTGCAGTGGAAGAGTGTACACGTGGATTCTCAGAAGGTGTCTATGACTTTGCTCTTTCCACAAATGCAGCCTACCGTTTCTGGCTATATGAATTATGTGATGTTTATCTGGAACTCACAAAACCCACAATTCAAGCTGGAGGAGAAAAGAAACAGCTTGTGCAGGATGTCCTTCTTCACGTAGTAGAAGTGGCTATTCGTATGCTGCATCCTATGATGCCATTCCTTACGGAAGAACTTTGGCATCGTCTTCCGAACTACAATACCTTTGGGGTTGAGAGTATCATGCTTGCACCGTACCCTGTGGTTTCTGGATGGAAGAATGAAGTAGTAGAGGAACAGATGAAATTGCTTATGGAAACTGTACACAGTGTACGTTCTACCAAAGCTTCTTACTCTCTCACTAACAAACACAAACCTGATGTCTGGATCACTGCTCGTACACCAGAGGTAAAGGAACTTGTCAGTTCTCATTCTTTTATGATTGAGTCACTCGGTGTGGTTGGCAAAGTTTCAGTTATATCACCTGAAGAGGAAACTACCCATGTACCAAAGGGTTGTGGATTTTCAGTCGTTAACAAGGAGGTTGGTGTCAATATGATGCTACTTGGGTTTATTGACGTCCAGAAGGAAGTGGCAAAACTTGAGAAGCAACATATTGGGCTCCAAAAACAGATTGAAGGACTCAAGAAGAAGATGTCTATCCCGAATTACGAGACAAAGGTTCCTCTTGATGTTCGCAATGGCAATAGCGAGAAGCTTGAAACACTCACTGAGCAAGAAAAACAACTGGTGGAAGGTCTGGAAAAGATGAAATCTATGCTCTAAGATATGTGCGAAAGAAAAAGAAAAAAAAAAAAAAAAGTGTTTCTAGAGAATGCGTACGACGGGGTGTGTTTGAAGGAGACACGTTTTTTCTTTCTATGCTTGAATGAAAAATAAAATAAAGTGAATCGATGAATGAAAAGAAGAAAAAAAAAATGAAAAAAGAAAAAAAAAAAAAACATACATAGAAGGAAAAAGAAACAAATAAAAGCGAAAAATGAGAGGGAGACTAGGGTCTCTTTGAATGCATGTTTTTTTATTTTCTGATTTAATGATGAGGCTAAATAAACCAATAATCTTGGGTAGGGTCCTCCCCAGATCGTCCGGTAGTCACATTTTTTTTCTTTTTTTGTTCGTTTTGCGGAGGCAATAATATATAAGTGTGAGAAAAATGATTATTTATTAATCCGATCATTTTTTTTTTTTCGCCGGTTTATTTGCCTGTTCTCAAATTAACTAATATATCAAGTGAAAACCAAGTCCATTTCCTTTTTTTTTTCTGACTGAATATACCCACATGTCTATATATTTTTATTCTTACTTCCTATGATTCATTCTCTTCTTTTTTTTTTCTTTTTGTACTTCCTTTCTTCATCCTTTTATCCTTAAAGGGGAACAAGTTTTTTTTTTTTCTCACCTCTACGTGGTGAAACCCATCCACCCACTCACCCACATCCACAAACCAATTCCACAACACACACACACACATACCCACACGGGCCTTCCTGCGGCATCACCGGCAATGACGGCTCCATGGACGGCATCGCAGGCGGAATTCCCGAAGTCTGTGCACGCGCTGATGGCGCTGTGGGGCGGGTTCAGCGAGCCGCAGCAGGCGGTCGACGGGTGTCTCGAGAAGCGACTCGAGTTGGACCTCCGCCGCCCCATCGATCCCGCCAGCGTCGACCCGCAGACACTCGTCGACGCCATGCAGCCAACCGGTGACGGACTTCTTCACCACCGCGTCAACAGCAGCGGCCGCGTTCTCACCTTCCATCACAGTATCATGCTGCTGACGGAGAGACGCGTACTGGTGGTATCAGATTCCTCCGTGCTCCTACACGCCGCACTAAGACCGCTCATCAACCTCGTACAACAATGGGAAGTAGATGTTGAGTGGGCTTCTTTCATGCGCATGAATCTCGCTTCACCGTGGAGTCCAAAATGTGAGATTAGTGATATCATGGCACAGGAGTATGCGGAGCTCAAGTCGGTGTTTCCATCTGGACACCCTTATTTGACAGGTCCAGTTGATCGCGATCATTTTTTCTACTTTGTTTATGACAATATTGAACGCAAAATACCAAATGCGCGGCGTGAAGAGGATGTGCAGATTAATATATATATGCATAATATTAATGTCCCATGTCAGGACGGGAACATCAGCTATGAATCTCTAAAAAACATACAAGAGGTGGAACCGTTGCCATGCGCAACAGAGTACGAAGTACTACGAATTTCTGGAGAAGAAAATGGCACCTCTTTCGTTTCTTTTGAAACAAATGCAGCTGATGCTGAACCCAGCAACAAAAGAGTGCTGGAAAATATTGAGCGGTTCGCCCCTGATCGTTTCTCGATGGTGGTGTTACAGGACCGTGATGGCCATCTTGCAAACCGACGACATGTGTTTGGGGAAGTGAGGGGTTACAGTATTTTGAGCCGCGCTGTAAACCACTTCGGTGAGGGTTACGCATTTCACCAAGCCGTTTATGTTCGAAATGCGTAAATGGGTTGGATGGGATTTTTTTTTTTCCGTTTTTTTTTTTCTTTTTTTTGTGTTTTTTTTTTATTGATTGTATATAAAAAATTAAATAATCCCTTCCCTTCTGTCATTTCTTGTGCCAGTTCATCGAGTTGTCTTCTTTGAAGCACTCAACACCACTTTTGTTGCGACCCCTTTTTACTGTAATAAACCAAACTGCTGAGCCGACTTCTTCCCCCGCGGTTCTTTTCATTCTGTGAGCATCACACACGTCATTCTATATATAATGTACCATATTTGCATGAGCAGTGGTGAATGCTTCACATCAATTAGTGAGTGAGATGATTAAAAAAAGAAGAAAAAAAAAAATGGACTAAAGAAGGTGAAGGGTGTGGTTTTGTCTAACTGTGTGTTTGTATATATGTGCGCTTGTATTGCGTCAATTTGATAAATGAGCACACTGTGTCGCTGTATTTATTACGAACTCTACGACCGAGACAGAGACACACGTACACACAGGCAGACAGACAAACACACATTCTTTCATCGTCCCTTTTTTATTTTTATTTTTTTATCTTCACTCTATATTCCTATTTATTTATTTTTATATATATGTACCTGTATTAAACAATCATCAAGTAAACCTCTACGGGGGGCATTTTTTTCTCAACCACCGTGTCCATATCTTGAAGGCACACGGGCAGCTCGAACTGGCGGATAAGCGCTACCCTTTCGTAAAATGGTGTGCTTTATGCACATAAACTCACACAAATATACGGAGAGAGAGGCAAGATACCTACAAAGATGCACATATTAGAGATACTCAAATGTCAAAACAAATAGAAGACATTTGTGCTTACAAAACAAAAAGGGAAAGGTCTAGAGAGAGAAAGAGAGAAAAAAAGGAAGAAAGAGAGAAAAAAAGGAGGAAAGAAAGAAAGAAAAAAAAGGAAGATTATGTGAATATATTGTTTCCTTTGGTTGAACTTAGGACCTCTACGATTTATTATGGTGCTAATTTTTCATTTCATTTCCAATCCCCCATTTATTTTTGACTAAGGGGAATGTCCTTTTTTCTATTGTGAAAAAAAAAAAGAATCGGTTCAATCCTTTTCTTGTTTCGTTTGTTTTTTTTTTCCCCCTTTTTGACTCTCTACGCAATGTCCATCCGTCATTACTCCTGTGCTAGTGACTGTCTCTTCTCTAAGTCCAAGTGTATTTTTTTTTATCTTCTTCCCCCAGCAGCAATCATCTACGTGTCTTCCCGTGTGTGTGCATGTGTGGTTGTTGCTGCATCAAAAAAAACAAACACTAATGACTGATGAGTAAAGATGACTTTAAACACCACAGACGGATGGCGTGATCGTAAAGAAAGAAAAAAAAAAAAAATGAAAAAAAGGAGCGAGTTTTTTTTTTTTCTTATTCTCTCTTGTTTTGTCACCATTTTCTTATATTTTTGTTTTGTTGTTCTCTTTCTTCATCTCCTTGTGTGCGTGTCTTTGTCTGTCTACTCTTTTTCTCTTTCTTCTATATATACATATATATGTATATATGGGAGAGAGAGCATTGTTTATTTTGTGTTAGTGCCATGACGATTGGGTTATTTTTTCAGCGCTTTATCTATTTTCTAATTTAACTATGTCGGCGAAAAAGCAAAAAAATAAATAAATAAATAATGAGACAATAAGCCATGAAGAATGGGGGAAAAAAATAAAAAAGCCGATCATTCAATTTTATAATATGTTATTTTTATTATTTTTGACAGAGCTGCCTTAGTGGTGTGTGTGCCTTCAGCAGGCACGGTTGGGGAGGAAAGAAGAAGATATATGGTAGCGTACCATGACCGAGAAGAAAGGATTGAAATATACACAAGTATGATTGTTTGAATTGTACCAATAGTAATGGATTGAGGTACCAAAAGAAAAGAAAACCAAATCGAGAAGCGGCGTTGAACGGTAGAGTGTAGCTGCTTGTTAATAAACACTATTAGTGTTTGATTCTGTTCGCATATTGACAAGCACGCTCACCGTCATATCTGCCAAATTCAGCAGTGGGGGTGTTTTTCGCACAAAAAAATTTTTTTTACAAAAAAAAAAACAACAACAAGAGAATCTCTTATTTTATGTTATCCTTAACTGTCTTTTGTTTCTAGACGATAAAGTTTTGACCTTCATGATATCGGCCTCAATGTTTCAGTAGCAACTGCAGATGAAGCTTTGGGAAAGAGGGTGGAGGGAGGGGCAAGAGAAAAAACGGTAATGAAACAAGGATAATGATGGTTAACAGAAAAGAAAGAGAAACTCAGAGCACATAAATCGAAATGGTTATCACAGAAGCCACGGGGAGTGAAGCTTGTAAGAAACAAGCACTAGCAAGAGAGAAAGAGAAGAGAAAAACGAAAAAGAAAAAAAAATCAAAGAAAGGTAAATAGAAAGCAAAAACAAAAAAGAAGGGCAATAAAGCTTAGAAAGGAGTTAGAAAAAGGAGAAGAAATATGGTGGTTAAGGAAGTAGAGTATGATTTTTTTTTTTCACCCCTTTGCTTCTGTGAATAGAAGGGAAATAGAGAGAGAGAGAGAGTGGTACATATGAGTTAGGATAAACGAGTCTGTTTTCCTAAAAAAGAAAAGTAATAAATGTACACATTTATTCAATGAGTGTACGAAGAATTATCTTGGTGAGTTCACTCAGTGTATATATCAACTCAACGCCTCTCTCCCTCTCTTTTTTTTTTCTTCTATTCATACATATGGCAGTGTATCTACTTGCCTTCTTTACTATGGCTTGCGCCTGGCTTTCTTTTGTTATTTGCTGATCATCTGGGAAAAAAAAAGAATATAGTAGCGTATATGCGGTATTTCCAGTATTCAACAACTACGAAGGCCAAAAAAAGAAAAAAAATATGAAGAAGAAAAAAAAAAAAAAGGAGTCTACTCCACCTAGCTTTATGGCTATTGATTTCTTCATTCAAACAACAAAAACAACAACAAAAAAGATATTATGATGTTGCGTTATCTTGTGCATTTTTTTTCCTTTCTTGTTATCACCTGCTTTCTACTGACCGTTGTAAGCGTGGTGTGCTGCAGTGCAGTAAAAAGAAAAGAAGTGACCAACCTCAGAAAGAATAAGAAAAAAAAAGAATCTTTGATTTTGTACATCTTCTTATTTAGGCTTATATATCTTGTGAGTATTTCTGGAGAGCGGGTGACAAAAAAAAAAAAATATAATAGGAATGAGAACAATTTTGTGAACGAATGACTTCTACTTGATCTTTTTTTTTTATTTATTTATGAGTTTACTAGGGTGCGATGTATTTCTTTCTCTTGTGTGCTTATGTATGCTTATTCCCACTGCCGTCAACCCATCACTGACAAGATATTGTTCTTTCTGTGCATCCTGTTTTTTTTTTTTCTTTCTTTCTCTCTCTCTCTCTCTCTCTCTCCTTTTTCTTCCTCCTCCTCCCCCAGCTGGGTGCTGACTAAGGCCTTACTGACTTGCGACTCGAGTGGCTGCTGCTGAACCCAAATGTCGATGGAGAAGGACCCGCTCTCGCTGATGGCCATGTGGGGCTCCGTGGAGGGGCACAACCCGCAGCAGGGCTTCAGCTTCGAGGGGCCGGAGAAGCGGCTCGAGGTGATCATGCGCTTTCAGGAGAACACACACGTAGATGGACTGCTCGCTCACGAGGATGGGGTCTGGGCTGATGCCGTCGGGGCACTTAATGCACAGATTGTCTCTAAAGAAAGGAATGAGTATATTCGATCTTACGTTCTCACAGAGAGTTCTTTATTTGTTATGAAAGATCGTATTATATTAATAACATGTGGTACTACTACACTTCTTAAAAGTGTCCCTCATATTTTGAATGCGGTTAGTGCTGTACATGGTGAGTTGGAGTGGGCCTCCTTTATGCACAAAAACTATAGCTTTCCTTGGGAACAGAAGGGACCACATGCCTCCATGGCAGATGAATTCAAGGAACTCAAATCATACTTTCCATCAGGACGACCTTTTGTTCTTGGTCCCGTGGACGGTGATCACTACTTTTTATTTCTCCATGATGATATTATTCGCCCATCTGTAACAGAAAAACGTACCCAACTGAGTATGACAATGTATGGATTGGATCGTGAACAGACCAAAAATTGGTTCTCTGATCGATTTCTCTTCACTGGACCAGAGACTGCTGCTGTTCGACGAGAAACAAAACTTGACCAAGTTATGGATAGTTCATGGTTATTGCATGACTTATTATTTGAGCCTTGTGGTTATAGTATAAATGCTATTCGTGGGGAAGAGTACCAAACAATTCATATTACTCCAGAGGATCATTGTTCGTTCGCGTCGTATGAAACAAACTCATCCGCTGCAAACTACTCTGAACGTATGCAAAGTGTGCTTCAGGTATTTCGTCCTCTACGGTTTACAGTAATTGTATTTTTATCTTCAGAAAGTGAGATTGGAAAAGCTTACCATGCAGAACATAAAATTGGTGTAGAACCAGAGTTTTTTCAGGAATATGAGTTGCAACACCGCTCACTCCTTGAATTCTCTCAAGGGCAGACATCGCTAAAGCTGAATTATGTGAGACGAACCCTTGACGATGAGATCAAGGAGAATTAATACTACGAAAAGAAGAGAAAAGTTATGTGTTATATATATATATATAAAGGAAGGAAGACGAAAAAAAAAAGGAAGTGTTTTTGATACCCAAGCAAAAAAAAAAAAAAAAAAGAAAACATTGATGGGGTAACCTTTTCAATTGGTACTTAATATGGTCTTGGAAAAAGTGGCAGTGGTTGTCCGAATACTTTGTGGAGCGGTGGCGTTTTTTTTTTTTTTTTTTCTGTTTGGGTATTAATTGTATTACAATGAGTACAAAACATGTTAGTTGATTCTTCGCTCATTGTTTTTGAGTATCTGTGTATGCAATGTGGCTCCTTCCTATTTTGTCTATAATCGAGACGTGAAACAAGAGCCTTTACAATGAGAGAAAAGGAACGAAAAAGAAAAAAAAAAAAACGAACAAGGTAGGAGGTTGTGATAATGTATCTCTTTTTTTTTTTTTTTGTACTTGTCTTTGTTCTCGGGTTTTACACTTAGTAATTAGGGGAAAGGTGTTGTATGTATGTGGCGGTTGAGTCTGTTAAAACGAGTCACAGGCTCTGTGGGAAGCAAGGTGAAAGAGTTGAGTTCTTCCCAACAACCGTACCAGCGGGTACTGCAGTTATTGCATTCGGATGGTGAGGGGCTTCCTGCTGCAAAAGGAGTTTTTGACGAATTTCGCGCTTTTTATCGTCAAGTAACGACGAATACAACTACAGTACTACGTGCAGAAGTTAAACCTCTTGAGGAATTCTGTGGAAATTCAAGTGATGTGGAACCTTTTGCTTTAGTTATGATGAAGGTTCTTTGCGATCTTCAAAAATTGGAAGAGTTACGGTTTCTGTTTGCACAATGTGTTCTCGAGATTCCTTCCCCTTCAATAGAATTATTTAACGTCTATCTTCTTGCCATTTCCCTTACCGATACTTTTAATCAATATGAGATTGAGAATGTTGTAGAGATGATGCGAACTAAGAAAGTACACCCTGATGTTGTAACTCAACTTTCTCTTTTTATTATTTACTTACGACTTGGGCAAGACTATTCCGTGTGGTGGCCGTCCATACGCGAGGAAGTTTTGCGTATAGCGAAGTCTGGCCAACGCCGTCAACATCCGCTATTAGAAGTTAGACTTCAACACTGTTTTCAAACTCTTCTGCGTGTGCATCACGATGTTACTATGATTCAAGAATGCTTTGATTTATTAAAACTTATTGATAAAGAGAGAATTTCTTCTCGTTTATTGCTTCCGTATATGCTTCTTAGTGCCAACAATGCGGCAACACCTCCTGCAATAACTGTTCAATTAATAGAATTATTGGAAAATGCATGTAAATTAGAAGCAACATCATCAGAAAATTCCTCTACAACTCCTTCTTCAGAAGTTGACTCGAAAGAGGAGAAAAAAGATAATCAATACTTAAATGATCCGGTATTAAATAATGAATTAACAGCAATGAAACTTATGGCGAAGTGTGCAAAATGGGGAGACGCTAGTTCTGCATCCTACTTGTATAGGTACCTATGTGATCACCCTGGGGTGGTTTCTCCAGCTAATCAAACATCTCTGATATTGTTGTATATTGAAGCTATGGCGCAAGCTGGTATGTTAAAGGAGGCCCTATTACTACTAGAGGATGAAGTTCCTGATGCAAACGCCCAACCAGGGCCGCGACCAAAACTTTTTCTTGAGTCTAGGCGTATCACACTTCTTAACGCGGATCCTATCATGACACTTGTGCGTCTTCTTGCTGTGGGTGGTACAAACATTGAAGAGGGTTTAACAATACTAGAGGAACGACAGGCATCAGGTGGTCGAGTGAGTCAGAAATCTCTTAATGTTCTTCTTGAAGCGTGTGTCTTGTTAAAGGATGAAACAAGGGCGTCTATGGTGTTTAATACTTTTAATAGTTTTGGGACACAGAAGACATCACGTACATTTCTTCTTTTACTGCTTGCTTCACCCGATCCAGTATATTCAGCCGAACGTTTGAAAGAGGTTATGTCGGAGATGACAGATATGGGAATTGACTTATCACCGGATTTTCTCCGCGGAGCTCTTGAGTTGGCAATTGATGCCCAAAATATATCTGTTGCCATGCAGATGATAGAATATCATGAAACGAAAAATGTTTCTATTGAAAGCAAGTTGTCCATACGTCTTATGCGGTTATTATGTCTTGTTGTAGATATTGAAAGTGTACGGCGTCTCCTCAGAGTGTTAAGGGCAACACATTCTCCTGTTGATCCCCGCGGCCTTTCTCTCTGCGTAGCTACTTTCAAAAAGTGGCTAATTCCATGTGATGATTTGGAAGCTCATTAGTTTTTGTAAATGTTTTTTTTTTTTTGTTATTGTTATTATTCTTCTTTTTTTTGTTGTTGGTATTGCACAAGTTATATGCTGCAAGAATTCCTTGGTTTTTTTTTTTTTGTTGTTGTTGTTCCTGTGGCTCAAACTTAATTTCTGTCTCCCTTTATTCTTTTCCACCTTCTTACGTTGTTTTTTTTTTTTTTTTTCTATTTGCTCCACTTTGTATTGAGGTAAAACAGTGTAGGTACGACTCTCCCGTTTAACACGAACCTGCAGCAATGCTAACACCTCAGGAGGTTGCATGCGACTTCATCCCTGCGTTCTTTGAACGCCTCGCATCCAAGCCGGCGGAACTGGCGGAGATGTACGGCCCGCAGTCCACCCTTGTGATTGTGGACTTCGAGAACGGCACGACGGAGGCCACCGGCGCGGAGATCCCGCAGACCATTGAACAATGGGCCAGCATCCTGCAAGGATGCGCGTTGACCGTGGAGAGCTACTTGGCGGCTCCCTTGTACAGCGGGGTGAACGTTTACGTGACAATGAAAGCTGAATCCAGTGCGGCGTGGCACTACTTCCACTTTGTGACGACTCTTGAGTCTTACAGCGCTGGAGCTTACGGGCCTGAGGCGTATTACATCCGTCACCAGATTATGATGCGCCCCGGCGCCGCCGAGAAGGAGCAGCCTGCTGTGCAACTCACACCTGAGCCGGAGCAAAAAGTAGAAGAATCGCTTCTGCAGGAAACAGCGGTGGAGAATTCCGTTGAGGCAGCAGTAGAGCAGCAAGAAGAAGAAGTGGAAGAGCCTGCGGTCGACGTCAAAAGACCAGCGGCAGCGGAGCGAACACCCACTACCGTTGAGCCTACTACTACTACTACTACTACTACTACTACTCCTACTGCTACTACTACTACTACTACTACCACCACCAATAACAACACTGCCGCTCCTACTAACAATGTCGCCACCCAGCGTACACCTGCAGCTCCAAAGTCATGGGCTAGCTTGGCCAGCAGTGCCCCAAAAGGTGAGCCACGTCAGCCATTGAAGGTGACTTCTCATGAAAACGGTGTAAGTAACGAAACAGTTGAAGCCCCTTCTGCAAAGTCGGTCCAGAAAGAGGAACAGCAGGTGCCATCCCCAAAGACCCAAACCAAAGCCCCATGTGCGCCAGCTCAAGCTATCGGTGACCGTCTGATGTTCAATATTGATCATGCTGTTTCTGACGAGGATATTAAGTCTGCCCTTGGACGTCTTGCTGCTAACATCGTGTCTCTCCGTAATAATTCAGCCAATGGTCACGTTTTTATTGATTTCTCAGACAAAGAGAAGGTGTTGGATACACTGAAGGCGAACCCACCGATGATTGGAACTCGCAAGACTCGGGTAAACATCTACCGCCAGAGAACGCGTCAGTAGGTCAATTCATCGTTTAAGGGGAGTAGTATGTATCTACGTCTATGTCTGCATTTAAGTTTTTTATTTTCTCTTCCCCTATGTCTTTGTCTTACCCAGTGTGTATCCCTCTATGTGTATGTCTCTCTCCCTCGTTTTATTTAAAAATTTATCTCTTTCACTCTCTATGTCTGTTTACTTGACTCTCTCTATCTGTCTCTCTGTGTGTATATGTGTGTGCGCACGTATGGTTTTGCAGGCAGTTCTGTGATTCTACAAGAATTTGGACAGTTTATGCTAATATTAATTGAGAAGAACGAAGAAAACGGCGACTTTCTTTTCATGTTATTTAGCAGAAAACGGTCGTACACTTGTTTATTGATTCTTCTTAATGGGTATTACTCATGATATCAATAAGAGGAAGGATGAAGGTATACGAAAAAAAAAAAAAAAATAGAATTCACACAGATACTACACACATGCACACAGAGAGAAGGAGACACAGAGACAGAAATACACACATGGAGGGAGAGGTACAAAGATGTGAGACAAGCACATTGAAAGAGAGGAGATAAAAAAGTGGGATAGACGTGAAATAGGGATGAACGGAAAAAGGAAACTTAAACAAATGCCGTAAATGGAAAGCAACAACAGAATCATGAGATTGAAAAAATAATCATGAAGTGTGTGTGTGTGTGTATGCCAAATAAGATGTGGATGGACTTCTCTAAAAGGAATCAAGGAGTTCTGAGAGAGGCGCAGATAAGTCAAGAAGATAAAGGAATGAATACGAAACAAAACAAATAAAAGAAGCAAAAAAAAAAAGAAAAACAGAAATCAAAACGAAAAAAAAAAGAAGGATAACGTGCAAGTGAAAGAAAAGAAATTCTGATAGAGAACTTACTTTCCCCCCTGTTCGTTATTTCATAATCAATAAAGAAAAAAAGCGCCCTAATATTACTTTTTTAAACACAGACGCAGGCAGAGTAAAAGGAAAAAAAAAGAACGAAAAAAAAAAAAGAAAACAGGAAATCTCTCCCCTTTTGTTTTGCTTACCCTCTGACACACCCATGTCTTTTATTGCACGCACGTGTAATGGATGTATGGGGGGTGTATACATATGTCTGTGATTTCTATTTACTTTGTGTCTGTGAGGATATGTTGTAAAAATTCTATTTGAGTCCATAACTGTATGTATTAATGGTACTCTTTCTTTTTTTTTCTCTCTTAAAAAAAAAAAAAATATTCTGATGTCAAGCAGTATATCTATATATAGATATAGATATATATATATCGATAGCTAAATAAACAAGTATAATCCCATTAAAAATGTGCGAACCAGTGAATAAAGTTGTTCTCCGGGTTCCCGCTACGACCGCAAACTTGGGTCCCTCATATGATGTACTTGGTATGGCTCTATCTATCTTTATGGAGGTGACGGTGGAGCGGGCTGAGGAGTTTTCAGTTCACTTTGAGGGTCAAGGAAGTGAATACATTCGCACTGATGATGAAAATATGCTTGTAAAGATGTGCCGTCTTGCCTTTACAGATTACGCTCACAAAGAGATGCCACCCCTTAAATTTTCTATGAAAAGTGATATTCCATTCGGATGTGGGTGTGGTTCTTCCTCTGCAGCTGCTGTAGCGGGTTTTGTAGCTGGAATGAAACTCTGCGGTCTTACAATGGAGACCAAACAAAAGGAGTCGCTACTTCAAGTGATTGCCAAATGTGAAGGTCATCCAGACAATGCGGCTGCCGCACTTTATGGTGGAATACAGTTGGGATATAAAGATAAAAATGGTGACTTTTGGACATATCGTGTCCCCACTCCACCCTCTCTCTTTGTTGTATTGTTTATTCCGAAAGCAAAAATGAAGGCAGATACACATGCAACACGTGGTCTAGTTGCTGATACTGTACCACTTGAGGATGCAGTGTATAATATTTCTCGAGCTTCTATTCTTATTTTGGCACTGTGTACTGGTGAACTTCGTCTACTAAAATCTTGCGATGATAAATTTCATCAAAAACAACGGGCTGATGCTCTTTTTCCACATTTTTTCCCCTGTGTTGATGCTGCTATGGCTGCTGGCGCTCACTATGCTTTCCTTTCTGGTGCTGGGCCTACAGTGTGTGCTTTTGTTGGCGGTCGTCGCGGTGATCCTCTCATTTTACCGCATGATGAACGAAGTGCTGAGTCCGTTGCTGAAGCTATGCTAGCAGCTGGAAGATCTGTTGGTGTCGAGGGTCGCGCCGTGATCACACATCCTTCAGATCAAGGGGTACATTTCGTCGGTGTAAAATCCGTCCGTCCTGATTGTGATTATATATCAGTCTGAAAAAGGCAAATATCAAAAAAAAAAAAGGAAAACAGTGAAGAAAGATATTGGTTTTCTTCCGTTTTATGCTATGCAAAGCTTAGAGTCGTCCCCCCCCCTTTTTTTTTTTTTTGGCAAATGTCTTTTTTTTTCTTCTTTTTTTTTTGACCTTTTTTTTTCTTGCTAGCGTGTGCATTCATTATTTCTTGCTCAGTATATATTGCTGTATATGTCGTATGTTTATCTCTGTGTGTGTATTTTTTCTTTATCTAACGAGAACTATACCTGGGGTGTGTAGGTATTTGTGGTTCATGACGATGTAGTCTGGTTTGTCGTTGCTTATCCTTCTCTCCCCTCCCCCTTATTTAAAAAATTCTTTTTTTTTTTTCTTTTTCTTGCGTCGCCCACTCAGTGAGTTCCTACACCAAAAGGAAGGAGTACGAACTATGATGGATATCGTGACGCGGCAAACAAGCCCTTGCCGCGGAGAAGCCAAACACAGCCACTCCCATGCTGTGCCGAAGCCCCAGTCCAGCAAGACGGTGGGAGTACTGGAGGGACGTGTGAGGGCGTTGCAGCAACAACTGGACTGGATGTCGCGGGAGCGCGAGGAGCATCTTGACCAGCTGGAGGAGAGAGAACGGCTCGCCGCGGCTGCCCACGCGGAGACCACACAACTGCGAGAGGCCCTCCGGCTGCAACACGCGGAGACAGCCGAGTTACGTCAAGTCGCACACAGCGAAGCGCTTCGAGTGGTGAAGCGCGAGTGGCATACAAAGTTTGAAGCGCTAGCTAGGAGTAACGCCGGACTTCTTCACGAAGTACAACTACGAGACAAACACATTAGGGTTCTTGAAGACAAGGTACGTACCTTTGAAAAAAAAGGTGATAATACTGATAAGAAATGTGATGATAATTTTATTGTACTTACTGCAGAACTTTTGCAACGTGAAAAACTTATGGGTGAAAAGGATGCTTTGCTTCACGCATATGAGGTAAGGTTAGAAAAAGTTGAAAAAAGGATCCAAAGTCTTTTGGAGTCAAAATGTGAGACAGAGTCACTTCTTGCAGAAGTTATAAGAGAGAGAGACGCACTTGTGTTTGAAAATAAAAGACTGTCAACACAGAAGCAACAACTTCAAACTTACTTTGAGGGTTTTGTATCACATCGAGGTAGAATAGGTGAGTCTATGAAGTACCCCTACAGGGGGATCTATTCCAAAGATACAGATGACAATAAAATAGTTTCAAACTGTTCCATAAGAGAATATCAAAACTTGGTAACTCTTCTTTCAGGTCACTCTGTTGCTAATGAGAAGAGGTTGGTGGTTGGAAAAATGTTTTTTTGGTGGTTACTCTTTGCTTATCGCCGCAAAGCTTACCTTCTTCAAAAGAAGGAGCAACAATTGCTTTCCAGTGAAGCTACTGCAACCATGTTGGGAGAAGCTTTAGAAAAAGGTGAGGCGTGTGTACAATGGTCTAAAATGGCAGTTGCTGAAGCACACTTGGGGCGAGAAGCGGCAGAAAAGGCGTTGGATGAGAATAAGAAGCAACATGAGGAAGTAGAAGAACTATGGACTCAAAAAGAGGTTGAAATGTCTACTATAATTACTAATCTTGAAGATCAACTTTGTGGAGTTAGGCAACAATTGCATGAACTCAACAAGGTGCAAGGGAGGAAAAAACAAGAACAACAAGAGACTATCTTTCGGATGGATTATGAAGTAAGTAAAGACTCTCTCAATTTAACGCGACATTCTTGCACAAGTCGTAGACATTTAAAACAAAGAGAAATAAAAAGGTCTCATCCTGTGACTAATCGAGAAACGATGGATAAACTTCCTTCACAGGATGAAGCTGCTTCCAGTTCTGTAGAAGTTGAAACGGAAGAAGAAGAAGAAGAAATACAGAGTGAAGAAAGTAAGGACGAAGTAAAGATGAATGCGGAAGCTTTATCAGATGCCATTGATAGTTTTTCTACCCTTCAAGATGGATCAGAAGCAGCTTCTATTATTGGAACACTTCTCTCACTACATCGTCAGGAGGTGGAAACGTGGCGTGGCAAGACCTTGGTGGCACAGAAGCAGGCGGAGAAGGCAGAGGAAGAAAAGTATACCTTGTCAATGCATTTTCAACGATGTATTTTTCTGTATCTGCAGACATTAGAGGAAATGTATGCTAATGAGGTGTCACAAAGAGCAAACGATTTTCTAGAAACTTGTTTGGGGATACTTGGAGGAGAAAAGTCCTCAGATTCTGCCATACATCCTCCAACTCAGGGGGCGAATGAGTTTACTGAGTGGGAAAATAAAAAGCTCTTCATGATGAAGATCTGGAGTAAGTGGCGTCTCCAAGTTGAGACTTCGCGTAATGTCAAAGTAATGGAAAAAGCGATGCAAACTGTCAGTTCATTGATGGAGCAACACGAGCAGCTGAAGCTCATCACACAGCGTGCGATGCTACGTATAAAAGAACTTGAGGGATAAGGGGAGAGGTACATTGTGGCCCACAAATACAGCAAGGTGAGTTGTCTTTAATTATCGCAGTGTAGTCTCTAAACTCTGTCTGTTTATCTTTTTTTTTTTCCCTCTCTCTCTCTCTCTCTCGGCCTTTGTCTGCTTGAGAGCTCTCCCCGATATCGTTTTATCAAGTATTTCTATCGACCATTTTTTGTATTTATTTCATTGATTCTAATAATATATATTTAGCGTCGTAATGTGTTATGTTGTGATGTTTTTTTTTTTTTGTTTTCTGCCGTTATTTTCTTATTTGTTACTCTTCACGATGGTACTGACTGTGTTGTTTCTATACGCTGTCTATCCCTACTCCCATCAGTGCCATACACATTGGACAAGGTGGTGCACCGATACCTCTCTCTCTCTCTTTTTTTTTTTTTTTTTCTCTTCTCTTATTGGAGTTAATGGGGGAGACGGACAGGGCGGAGTATTGGCGGGCGAAGAAGGCGGCCCGGCGGGCGAGGCGGGCGGAGGCGCGGGCGGTCCGGCGGGAGGAGCAACGCCGCGAGTGGGACGCCCTCGACGAGGCGCAGCGGCAAGAGCGGCGGGACGCGGCCGCCAAAGTCCACGACATCCGTCGGGCTGCAGAGGCGGCCGCCCACGAGTTGCGGTTGAAACACTTAGCAGATGACACACTACCGGTAGTTGTATTCGATCTCAGCTTCGCGTGGTGTATGACAGAGGCAGACTGTCGCAGTACTGTATCGCAGGTGAAGTTCGCCTACAGTGCGCTGCGCCACCACAACTTTCCTCTGCGACCCGTTATCTCTTCCCTCGCCGGACCTGATCATACCGATACATTGCGCGGATTGTGTGACTTTGACGGCTTTCGGCGTTACCCACCGTCGCTGCATGATGATCACTGGTCCACTATTTACCCACCAGAGCGTGTGGTGTACCTTACAGCTGACACGGACGTAGTGCTGGAACGATTGGAACCTGGTGAAGTGTACATTGTCGGCGCCTTCGTTGACCACAACGCGCGAAAGTTCCTTACTCGTGATGCTGCAGTAAAACACGGCGTGCGTACGGCGCGTTTACCGTTACAAGAGTCTATTGAGGTAGGAAACCGCTGTAAGGTGCTTACGGTGAACCACGTGGTGGAAGTACTCTGTCGCTATGCCGTTAGTGGTGACTGGAAAAGTGCTTTTGAAGTGTTGCCTACAAGACGCGTAAATGAGTCTCGAAAGAAGCGATTCCGTGTTTCATGCGAAGAAGGGAGTGTGAATGATCAAGACGAATACGATCATGTTAGTGATGATGGTGATGATGTTAATGACAGTGGAGTTGCCCATGATGGTGGTGACATTGTTTGTCATGGAAATAGTGATACTGCAAAAGAAAATCATGGTGATGCGAATAATAATGATAATAAAAAGGATATTGCGGCACAGCCTTTGTCAGGACCAGAAATGGGTCAGTGATAACCATACATTATTTGATTTCGCCAGTAATGAATTTACAACCTCAATGTTTTCTGTATTTGTTTAGATGTCCCTACAGGAATTTTTTTTTTTTTTTTTTTTAATAAGAATGGATGAGTCTTAATTTATCCCATGTTTTTTATTCTTCTTTTTTTTCCCCCTTTTTTCTTCTTATTCTTCTTCCTTTTCTAGTTTCTGCAAGAAATATACGATACACAAACGCAAGGCTACACTTGTGGTATTAGCGTGTTTTTGGTGTAAAATAATAAAGGACGAAAAAGACGTTTGAAGTGGGAAGTAGTAGAGTGTAATTTGCGAAAAAATGGCCGATCAAGTTGAAGCAGCAGGAGCCACAAAGACAGCAGCAGCAGGAAAGAGTGAGGAAGGTAAGGCGGCGGGACGCGAAGGAACGGTAAAGGCTCACAGTAAAAGCAAAGACGATGGACACGAAAATATTTCTCGTTGTCTTGTGTATTGCAGACTTCGCCCCAAAAATAAAACAGACTACAAGAATGGTGGTTACCAACTTGTTACTACAGAAAATACTCGTATTGTTTTGAAGGATGAGTGCAATTATAATTTTGATGGTGCGTTTGATGAAAATACTACCCAAGAGGAGATTTTTGAAACTGTAGCTGTGCCATGCATTAATCACGCATTTAATGGTTTTTGCTCCGCGTTAATGTGCTATGGCCAGACGGGTACTGGAAAATCTTTTACGATGTGTAATACTACTTCAGGACAAGAGGGAATTATTCCTCGTGCTGCCAAACTTATTTTTGAAAAAGTAAACTCAGACTCTCAGAGAAATTACGAAATTGTTGGACAATTTGTGCAAATATATCGTGACCATCTCGGAGATTTAATGGTGGGATCTGGTAAAGATCGAGTTGATATTCGTTTTGATGAAGTGGAGGGTGTAGAACTCACAGGGTGTACCTCTCATGTTCTGCATAGTGCGCAAGAGTTCATGCGGTTTTATCACAATGGTAATGAACGTCGTGTGGTGACTGCAACCGCTATGAATCCAGAGTCCAGTCGTGGACACACAGCACTTATTATACGCGTTATATCTGAACAAGCGGATGATCCTGCATCAGGGAAAGTAAAGGGTAAAATTACCTTTATTGATCTAGCAGGTTATGAAAGATTCAGTAAAACAGGTATTACAAATGACAACCCTATTATGAAGGATGAAGCAAAATGTATTAATGCGTCTTTACTTTCTCTTGGTCATGTTGTTTCAGCACTATCATCTGGTGGTCGTCATATTCCATGGCGAAATTCAAAACTCACACGAATTTTACAAGATTCAATTGGAGGTAGAAGTCGTACATCTATTATTCTTACTGTTGGACCAAGTAGCGATCATCTTCACGAAACAACAAACTCACTGCAGTTCGGTTTACGTGCTATGGCTGTAAAAGTGGTGGCAAGGCAATCTGTGTCTGTGGATTATGAAAAATTGGCCCGTAAACTTCAAACTTTATTGGATGAAAAAGATGAAAGAATTAATCTTCTTGAGGTTCAAATAGCTAGTCGTGAGGCTGAACGACAGGAATTAAAAGAAATGTATGAACGACGAAGGATGGAAGTTGATAAGAGGTTTGAAAGTGGTATGGCTCATCTTCAATCTATTGGAGCATCTGAAGAACAAGTTGAAAAGTTGCGTGAAGTTTACAGAGTGGAAGTGGAGAACCTTCAGGAACAACAGAATGAGGAAATTGAGTACCAAGAAGAAGCTCATTCAAAGGAAATTACGAAACTTATTCAAGAACAAGAACGTCAAGAGGCAAAACGACGAGCGGAGATGAAATTGGCTCAAGAACGTATTATTGAGGAATTTCAGAGCAAACTTGATAAAGCGCGTGAGGGAACGAATGAAGACCTTCTTAAGGCTTTACAAGAATTGGCTCAAAAAGATGCTCTTTTGGCAAGTCGAGCTAATGACACTGTCAGATTGCATGAACATATTGAAGTTCTTACAGAACAGATTAAAGAATTAGGTGGTGTTCCTGTTCAAGAAGCTGTATTCCCAGAAACTTTTCTTGATGTTGGACAGGTTGAAGAAATTCAGGAGAGACTGGAAGCTGAAATAAATCGGGAACATGCTAAGGCTGTGGAATTACGTGCTCAACTTGACCGACTTACTATTACATGTGCTGAACGTGTGGAGGAAATTAATAAACTTCAGGATGAAAATAAACAACTACGTGAATATCTTGCCAAAAATGGTTTAGAAGTAACTGATACAGATGAAATTACAGAATTTTTACGAACAAAACGATCGATGATGGTTGACAGTTCTGAAGTGGAGACACTTAGAGTCACCATGCAAGCCGATATTGATGAACTCAAGTCACGTAATGCGGCACTTGAACGAGAATTGGAAACCCTGAAATTTGAACGTTCACAAAATTTCATTCCACTCACAGCACGTATTCGCGGTACAGCACGGGGGACGGCACGTGGTACAGCACGCGGTCTTCCTCCATTATATCCAGGGTTAAATACAGGGCGAAGTACACAGGACTCACGACAGAACAATGCACGCTCTGACGAAACAGGGTCAAACTCAGTTTACTCTCAAGCGGATAATACACCAAGGGCGATAAGGCAACTCTCTGATCAATTGGCATTCAGCATGCGAGAGAAGAATGCTTTACAAGAACGTGTTCGTACGCTGGAAGCAGCAGTAGCATCAAGTGATGATGCACCGAAACCCTATGTACCTCCAATTAATTTGGGTATTTCTGGTGTGGTTTCTTCTTCTTCCACTCCAACTCCTGGAACAGGTAATATTGATGGTAAACCACAGGAAGCTACAGAAGAAACAGATATGGATGTACTACTAAAGGTGAAGGATGATGAAATTGATACCTTTTTGGAAACGATTGAGCGACAAGAATACCTTCTGACAAGTGCACGGTCTAATGATGAATTTTATCAAAGGGTATTAAGTGAACTCCATCAGCAAATGACAGCTGCAAATTTAGAAGTACCAGAACATAACATTATTCCCCCTCCAGTTGAATCTATTGCAATGGATGATTATATGTCAATATTACGAACAGTACGTGATGCAGAGCGAAGGTTAACGGGTATTATTTTGGGGCGTGAAGGTAATGACACCCCAGATGTAGAGAACATCCTTGATGAAAAGGATAAGGAATTAATGATGAAGGAAGAACTAATTGTTGAAAAGGCATCAAAAGCTCAGTATGCGGCAAAATTGTGTATTCGACTTAAAAATCAGATGGAAAGAGTGGGTGTCACTCCTTGTTGTCAGTTACCTGATTCTTATAAGGATTTAATTGCACAAGAACAAGATGAGCTGGAAGATCAATATGAAATGCAAAAGGATATGGAAGAACAGCTTCAGTTTGCAGCAGAGGAAAAGGCTCGTTTGACAAACACGCTTGAATCCTTAAACAAAGAACGTGAACGACAAGCTGCTGTATTACGTTCCGCAGAGGCGAGATGCAGGAACGCAGAGATGAAAGAACTTTGTGCCTCAGAAACTGTGCAACGAATTACAAGAGAGAAAAGTCAGAAAGAGAGGCATTTGGAAGAGGCATTGCGTTTGCTAACACGGGAACTGATGGATCTTCAAGCCAAACTGGCGAGAGCAGAAGAAATAGAACGTGTTGGACCAATAGGCTCTCTGCTTAAAAGGTTTCAGTTTCGGAGGTAGACTTGTTCTTGATGATAACCACCCTTTCCTTTTCTTTTTTACTTAACTGATTCGCAAGATGTAGAAACCATTTTTCTATTTCTTCCCTCCTTCAGCAAAGGGTTACCTCTTTTATTATTATTATTATTATTATTATTATTATTATTATTATTATTATTGCTGCTCCTTTTTCTTCCCAAGAAAAAAATCGGAGAGGAATTGAGTATTCCCTTACTTTTTTTTTCCAATCTTGAAAGATACTTCTTTGTGATGTCTTTTATTGTTGTCGTCATGTTTTTTTTTTCTTTTTCTTACTTTTTTTTGCTTATGGGAACTGCAGTTTCTCTCAGTTCGAACAGTTGGCTCTATGAAGTATGTATCCTTCTAGTATGTTTCTTTTTTTCTTGTATATGCGTGGATAAATGTATGTGTGTATATACGTGCTTGAGCCTTTCCGGCAACATTTCATTGCATGGACCGAGTTAGTTGGTTACTGTATCCTTTTACTTTTTCTCTTTTTATTGATCTCTTTAGAAATTTATCACCGTATGTAATTGTATTATATTGGGTAATATATATTTCTTCTCTCTTTTGAACTTGTTTTTTTTTTCCTGATGGTGATAGGTTGTACAAAGACCACCTCCTTGAAGGAAGAAGGGGGATTTCTCATTTAAATAAAAGAGTAGGCGTTTAAGAAAAAAAAAAAAATAATAATAAATAAATAAAAAAGACTAGATTGTGGGGGGTGGGTGGGTGGAGTAGAAGTAATTATTATGAGTGAAATAAATCGACGACGTTATAGTTATTTCATCGTATTGATTATTCTTTTGTGTCTTTCAACGCATGCGTTTGGAGCACAAGTGCGTTTTGGGGGTAGTGTATATAGTGGCCTTACAGAAGAGATAATTCGTGAGGGTGGCGCAACATTTGGGATTCAGGCAGTAACTCCTGTATTTGAGGGTTTTAATGAGTCTTATCTAAGAAATCAATTTTTTAGAATTCTCAGTGAAGGCCATATATTTGAGATTAATGGAACAAGGCGAGTTGTACATATGGAGAGTAACCCATGGATACAGCAACTTCCAGAAATAATTGACAATGGTCAAATAGAGGTACTGGATAATGGCCGATCTGCGCGTTTTACATTTTCCCCCTACCCACAGTTTGTTGTTAAAGATATGGTTATCATTGTGCCATGTATACCTATCTCCATGATACAATATAGCTCAAGAAAAAAAGAAATCAAAAGTGATCAAAACTGTATGGTAGGTCCACCATTTCTTCTTACAGCCAAACCAATAATTCAGATATCCAACATGGAAGAGAAACAAAATGATTCTCCTCATTATGTTACTGGAGATATTATTGAAATACCTTTTACAGAAGATAAGAGTTATTTTTTTTCTTCAAAAGTAAAAGTAATGGAGGGTTGGGGATGTTTTAATACACATGGAGCGGTAACTAGTGAGAATGATTGGGATACTGGTAAAGGTTTGTTTCATTTTGTCCCTCTTCGGGGTGGAATGGTTACAATATGTTACTTACCTTTTCCAGAAGTATTACCATATTTGATGTTAAAAGTTGGAAAATCCCTAGATATCGCTGGACCCGAAGGTATTTCAACAGAACCTCCACAAATTCGTTCTGGTATGGAGTTTACAGGGACTGTATATGGTACAAATTTAACAGATCGTGATATTCTTATTATTACAGAAGAGTTATGCGATGAATTTACATGGGAACATATTATTTTACCTGAATTTTCTCTCTCTAGTAGAACTCGTGCTATATTTATTGGAATACTAGAGCATGAGGGTATTTATCATGTTTGTTATCGTCATGAAGGTTCTTCAAGATTTGTGAAGGTATCGTCTTTATTGGTTGAATTAGCTAATAATACTGTTATTCTAACAGAGTCTAAAAATGTTTATTTTAGAGGATATGCTGATATTGTTTATCCTGTCACTATTGATCGTTTACAAGTGAAACATTTGGGAAGACTAGTACTCAAACGTGATTCACTTAATGTGTCTTCATTTCTTTGGTCAGGAGGTAATATTGTGGGACAAGGTGCAATTAACTGCATGGGATCTTCAACCATTACATCTCACAATTATGAACCTCGTACAATCTCTTTTTTTCTACGTAACTATGGTGACATGATGATTGATGTTCACAAACTTAGTTTAGAAGGTGATGGAGTTATTCACAACTATGGAAACCTCACCATTACTGTGTTATCTTTGGGAGGTGAAGGAGTTGGCAGTATTCATTCTAGGAATAGAAATAATGTTATAGTAAATCAAGGTGGTATTATTCGAATAGTTGTGTTAGACAAGTTACAAACCCTTCTCTGTCAGACACGTATTCAAAATAAAGAAGGAACTCTTATTATTTCAGGTAAGGTTAATATCACAGAATTATCAACAGGAGAAAAGGGACGTTTGGTATTGCGTAGTAATGCTCTAGTAAGGGCATCTGATGCACGATTTAAGGGATCAGTGGTGATGAAAAATAACTCTGAGTTAACTATTCTTGAAGATTGCGCTTTTGTATCAACCACTGTAAAAGGTAATAATAGTCATATTACTATTACAGGTGAGTCTGTGATTTTTGATTCTCTTAAAGTTTCAGGAAACGTTACCGTTGATATTTTTGGTCAAGAATTGGATAATAAAAATGTGATTGCCACACTATATGGATTAAATTACTTTGATAAGGAAACACATTTCAATATGCGACGTACTCATTTTATTCCCAGTACAGGATCGGTTCAACTTGTTTCTGATGGAGTTTTGACCGCTGAGTTTGATACAGTTGACTTCTCTGGCGACACGCTCATCGGGATTGGCCATCTTGCGGTGATGTACGGCCGCAGCAGCCCGCAGCTCCCCGTCGACCGCGACCAGAGTTCCCGCGTCCGCTTCACCGTCTCGCCGAACGCGACGCTTGTGGCGATGGACACGTCGCCGCCGACGCCAACGTCCCTGCCGGCGGGGCCCGAAGTCGACTGCGCCGCCCGCTTCACTTTTCTCGACGCCCTCGACCACGCGGGGCGGCTGCTGCTGCACGGCTGCCTCGACCTCCCGCGCGGGGGCGCCGTGTCGGGGAGCGTCGAGCCCCTCCGCGGCGCGGACGGACGGGCGGCGGGGATCGTCGTGGGCGGCGCGCTGCGGCTGCTGGACGGCGCCCGCATCGCCCTCGACAATATCGTCCTCCGCAGCGCGGACGTGCAGGGGGCCGGCGACGTGCTACTCGCAGCGCAGCAGGTGGACATTGATCGCACCTCGCGACTTGCACTGCATGAGGGATTCACACTTAACGCCAATGTCACGCGCGTGAACGGGATGCTGGATGCGAATGTCCGCGGTGTGGAGGTGCGAGGGCAGGTGGATATTCGCTCAGGGGCAGCGCTGCGACTATTCGATGTGGACCAACCATCGACAACAGTGGCGTTGTGTGCCGCGGCGTTTAGGACAAGTGGTGGGGTGTGGTGGACACAAGATTCACACGTAGAATGTCATGCAAAGAGGCTTGAAGAGGTAGAGCAAGAGAGACGTTTAGGTGCAGATGCAGTATCTGCATCAGGGGCTATGATGCTGGTGTCACGTCACTCCCCACATAGTCAAAAAGAAAATGAAACCTTACATCGTATTTTCCCCATCCTCGCGTATAATTTTTATTGTACAGATGAAGACGTGCACACCTATACAGAAAAATTTTTTTTAATGCAACATTTCATGGGTAGTGTACCATATGATCCTCCACCAAATATACCAACCTTACGTAATATTATTATCGCTATTATTGTGATTCTCTCGTGTGGGTTTTTATCAATCCACCTCATGTTGAGATTGTTTAAAATGACATGGAGAGAATGGTTAATAGATCTCAAAAAAGAACCACCTCTGCGACTTATCTTGTATCGAGCAGAATTTACATCACAATTTTCAAATTATATGGTACTAGCTTCATTGTTGTTTAATGCAATGCAATTACCTGGTGCTTCCTTCCATCCACTTACTCCGGTACCGCTTGGATTCATGACAGCACTTGGTTTGCGTAGTATGCATTTGCTTATGCCTCATCAAAATTTTCGATCTTATATTCAACTAAGTTTTGTTAGTTACTGTCTTATTTGTTGGGGTTTTTTTGTATTCCCAGTTTTCCTTCTGTCTCGACATGATAATTCCCTACGTTTATCTTATAGAAGGATTTATCCATTGTTACGTGCGTTTTCTAAAATACATTACATAGTGCGTCTTTTAACATTTGTTTTTATGATTCCTATTTCTTCAATGATCATGGATCTTGTCGCTTGCAATACAATTCTTTATGACTTACCCACCTGTGAACCTTTTCGTGGAAACCTGCTTGCACCTTGTAGCGCTCTGATTGTGGTATTATTTTTGTTACCCTTGGAGAGAGTTTCGGGAATGAAACTCTTGCGATGTGACTTAAACCTTAAATTCTCTGTTTTATTGATTGTGCGTGTGGGAATGGTAATTGAGGTCGCTATGTGGAAGGTTTTCTACCAACATCCTTTTTTATTGTCATCAAGCAACTTGTTTTTCCATGGTTCCCGGATTCTGCTTTACTTTTACACTACGCCAACGGCCTATATAAATATTAATAGGCTATTATTCCTTCTTTCTGTAGTAGTGTTTATGTCAACTCTCTCTATATGGATTCATCAGGTTCGTGTTTACTTTAGACTCTGTTATACATGTCGCGATGGCGAAATGTATTTTTTAACTATATTCTTTTCTGCAGCTATAACAATCATTATTGGCATCTGGGTTTACGTAATTTCTCCTGGAACGGAGAATAACAGCAGTAATGATCCTTCTATAGATGCTATTAATAGTTGTATTGAACAAATTCGATGCCGTATTGAGGACTTAAAATGTGAATTACTAGCTTGTGCATCTGTTGAGGAGCGAGAAGATGTATTGAATGCTGGTCTACGTTTACGTACTGAGTTAATGGAAAAAGAAGAAAAATATCGTTATGAGAAGTACCGCTATCTGCTTGATTTCTGTTATCCCAAACGTATATTTCTCATCTCTGACAAAAAATCAGTAAATGCTCTGAAACATGTCCGTCGACATTCCGGTATAGATTTGAGTATGCTCGTCTCACCATTGACGTTAAATTCTCCTACTTCATCTCTGAATGACTCTGATGATGATATAGTGGGTATAAGTGAAGAGGATTTAGAATCTTTCCGTTGTGGTCCTGCTCTTGGTTCAGGTAGCTATGGTACAGTGCATCTCGGTATCTTGAGTTGTGGAAAACTTGTGGCTGTCAAGTATGTGAGTATTCAAAATCCTTGTAGTGATGCTCTTTTACAAGCCAGGGTGGAAGTGAATATGCTTAAAAAATATTGTCACCCAAACATCATTCGTTATTATGGATGTCATACTGCACATGGTTATATGATGATATTTATGGAATTTGCAGTAGCAGGTAGTTTAACTTCCATCGCAAAAAAATTTGAAGGATTAAATGAATCTGTAATTTGCCTTTATACATATCAAATACTGTTAGGTCTTCGTTATTTGCATTCGAAGGGTGTGGTTCATCGAGATATCAAGGGTGAAAATATTCTTGTGAATGGTTTTGGAGTGGTGAAGCTAGCTGATTTTGGATCCAGCAAAGTGTTGGCAGGTATTACGAATCGAAGCCACGCCGGTTGTGAGACCCTTGTGGGATCTCCCTTCTGGATGGCGCCAGAAGTTATTCGTAATGAACCGTATGGAACGAAAGCAGATATATGGTCTGTTGGTTGTACAGTAGTGGAGATGCTTAATGGTGGACTTCCTCCATGGCGGGAAGAGTTTGAAAACGTTTACTCAGCAATGTATTACGTGGGATCAACTGATAGCATTCCAAGTATTCCAGAGGATACATCTGAATGTTGCCGTGATTTTTTAAAGTTATGTTTTCAGCGGGATACAACGAAGCGACCATCATCAGATGAGCTTTTGAAACATCCATGGCTCTCTTATATTGACCAGAGTGCAAAGTTACACCCTCAATCCCATTGGAGTTATTCTTCCAAAGGAGACTAAGAGAACAACAACAACAACAACAACACACCGAAAAAAAAAAAAAAAACACTTCGATATTGCTTTACATTTGTTTCGCGTATTGTATTAAATAACAAAAGAAAAAAAAAATACGAAAATAAGGTGAGAAAAAGAATCAACAATAATCTTTTTTTCTTTTTTTTTTTTTACGCCAATAAGTTTCAATAGAACTATTGGCGTATACAAGTAATAAGAAGCCAAAGTGAAGTAAAAGAATAGGTTTGGAGCAGAATAACCGATTTTTGTGTTGAGCGTGATTTTTATTTTATTTTATTTTTTTTATCGGCTTATATATAGCACTACCTATTGGTTGGTAACTAGGTCAATTAAACCTAGAGGGCTGGTTTATGCCTCCTCCTTCATACCAACTCCGTGGGTAACGTGTTTGATTCGTGTTCAATTAAATATCGCTGTAGAAATACAGACACCTTAAACATTAATAAGGGTGAGAGGCAAAGAAAAAAAAAAAAAAAAATTGTGTGGTTTGCCTTACCCTCTTGATAGCGGGAACAGTTACGAAAAAGAAAAAATTATTTGCAGTTTGTACATCTACCGGTAGTGGCAGAAGTGGTTGATATCACTGGTAAAATAGAAGAAAGATGAAGAAAAAAGAACAACAAATACTTTCTTCTTCTTTTAATTCCTTGCTTTTTTTTTTTTGGTTTCTACGTAAAGCGTGGGAAGGTGTTCACCTGAGTGTATTTTTTTCTTTGAGGGGGCGTGACTAACTAACCACGCCAGTGAAAGCTAGTGAATAATAAACACAATAATAATAATAATAATAATAATAATAATAATAATAATAATAATAATAATAACGACACCGACACCATTAAAGCGACTAAGGCAGGGAAGAAAAGGATCGATCGAAATAACAATATTATAAGTCAAAGAAAGTAATAGGAACTGCTGAGGTACAAAAGATCAATACGATAGGGAATGGAATGTGAGTTTATGTGTGATGATGGTGTTTCTCGCAAACTTAACATCACCGCTGAGGCAACGGCTCCATTTGGCTGCGTTTACCAGAGCCGACTGCAGACCCCAAAGGGTGAGGGGGTTGTCCTAGGTGTATATGCGGGAAAATTATATGCCCTCCTTGATGATAATGTATCGGCGTTAGTAGCTACAGCGTTTACTAAAAAAGACTTTGATGATGGTAACGTGATGATACTTCCGGATGTTATTCCTGTGGTGGATCGTTTTGCTTCCCATCGTGTCAAGCATGACGTATTTTGTGGACGCAGTGTCTGTATCGTAACACAAGATCATAACGGTCCGTGCCCAGTGATAGCGGCAGCTAATGCCCTCGCTCTATTGGGACGTGTTGATATTTGCCCAAGTGAAACCCGATGGATTGAATCTGAACAACTACGTCACATTATCCTTACATACATCACATCAAATAAGCCAGAGGTACCGAAGATTATGTGTCCCACAACTCGAGTTGTGGGTGGAACTGAAGTAGCGACAATAGCAGTTCTTTTGCAGGAACGACTTGATGAAGTTAGGGCAAAGTTGTCTAAGGGAAATGAGGGAAAAGAATTTTTAGAACGTCTTTATCATGGAATGAATATTAGTCCTATATTTTCTTCTATAGATGGTTTTGATGCCGAAGAAGACGTACTTTTATTCGCACTTGCAGGGTTACGACTTGTTCATGGTTGGTTGATTCCACCAGATAGTAAATATGCTGCACTACGTGAAATGTCTTTTAATGAGGTTAGTCTTCTTGCTATTAACAAAGAAAATGAATTATCATCTATTGCAAATGAATTTCTTGAGAATACAAAGTCTCAGTTAACAGAGGAAGGACTCAAAGCACTTCAAGAAAACCTTTCTGAAGAAGAAGTTGTAGTTCTCTTTTGGAACAATCACTTTTCAACTGCTGTAAAACTTGGTGGAAGATTTTTACTATTGTTATCAGATGAAACCTACGCAGATAAGTCTTCCATATTTTTTGAGGCAATTGAGGATGTTCATGGTGCAGCTACTTTTACAGATGGTAATGGCGTTAATACTGATGTTTTTCTTTTGGCCGTTCAATCTCGTACAGGGAACGAATTTACTACAGAAGCGGTTACCGCTGCTCGGGCTAAATTGAATGAAAGAGATGGTGTTGACCCGAGTCCAGATGAGGTTGTTTGTTTCCTACGAGATGGAAAAGAAAAAGGAAAAAGTGAAATTAATAACTCTAATGAGAAGGATAAATGGCCGTCTTGGGTTATTGAGGGCGCAACTGTGATTTCAGAAATGGGTTTTGACATATCGTTTACCGATGCATGTGAGCTTCTTCAGAAACGTGGAAGTGTGAGTGCTGCGGTGAACAGCCTTTGTTAAGAGTTAGGAGGGTTGTAGATATAGTCAGTAGGATATCATAAACCTTTCTTTAGCTCTGTTAATACCTATGCAAATGTATAGTCTCAAGTTTGTCTTGTTTTGTATATTTACGGACCCTCATTTGGTACGGCCTATACAATTTCTCATTGAATTACATATTATTATTACTATTATTATTATTATTACTGTTATTTTGTTTTTTTTTTTCCTTCACTCTGACTCTCACAACAGGAATATCTATATATATATATAGGGTTGTATCTGTATCTGTGATGACATCTCTACAGGTGTGTGACAGGGAGGGAGAGATAGAAGTATATATTAAGTGAAAAAGTGTGTATGTGTATGTATGTGTGTGTGTGTGTGTCTGTCACTACCGTTGTTTTCATCATGGTTCTTTTTGTTGTTGATTGTATTTTTTTTTTTTTTTTTTGGTCTTTTTTCATTTCTTTGCATTCTTTTTTTTTTTATGTTTTTTTTTCTTTTCCTCAATTCCTTTTTTTTTTTTTTACTGTCTCTTTCTTTTTTTTCTTTCTTTCCTCCCCTGCAGGTTTCTGTTCTTTTTTTTACGTGTTCGCCCGAAGAGGTTCCCTTCTGCTTTTTGTGTCTGCGCTGCGATGGGCTTCGATCTGCCGGAGATTTACGTGAACGCGCCCTTCTCGTGGGGCCCGCCGGCGCGGGAGATGACCGTCGACGGGGTGCCGGTGCGGCTCTACCAGAAGACCGACCCCCTCCCCCCAAGCGACTGGCTGGAGGTCATGGCTGCCCGCGAGGAACGCGCCCGGGAGGCCCGCCAGTTCACTGTCGTCAAGGACGAAAACCGAGTGAAGGCTCTGCGCAACGTACACGCGAAGGAACGTCGCAACTTTGGACCCGAACGGCGATTCACCAAGCGACCACAAAACCCACGCAACAACTTTACCAAGAAAACAAAGCGCAATCTTACGCTGCTTCCCGACACTATACGAGTACCAACAGATGTGCGTATCCTCGCAGAGTTTACGCAAGCTGAGTTGGCAAAGATGCAGAATCTGCAAGATGTTCCAACCGTTGCAGATATCTCTATTCATAATCGTCCACCTATTTATAATAACAATATGGATACTGCAAGTTGTAAAGCTTCAATTCGACTTGATGAGGAAAGTGCAGCTCGACAAGAATTTGTTCGTTCAAATACCCTCGAGGATACGGTATTCCGTGATATTCTCAAGAAGGAGACACATGGTACCCATCCTATTATTGTAACAACAGATGAGGTTCTCGCTCTTATAATGACATGCAGCCGTAGTGTTCACCCATGGCATGTTGAATTCTTCCGTTATGGCCGTATAGTTTTTATCACAAAAGCGGAGAATAGTAATATTGAAATGCAGTGGGTGGGTGAGACAGCAGATTCTTCACGTCGTCCTACTGAGAATGACCCAATTGAATCAGAGCGTATCACATCACTTGGTGTAGAGTCCACAAAGGCAAATAACGCATTTGTTGCTCAAGCATGCACCAAATCTCGTTATCAGATGAAATGTGAAAAGAATCCATTCCCCAATACCCAACCACGTATGTACCGCTATCGTCGCTATGTTATGCACGGTGATTCAGAAGATCGATATGATTTACTTGTTCGTTGTGAAGTTGATGCTGTACAGAATGATAAGTATCTTCGTCTCTTTGGTCTTTTGGAGCAATGCACAGATGGTGTAAGCAGTGAGTGGCGTAAGACGCTAGACGCTCAAGGTGCGAAGTGGACTTCTGATGAGTATCGCAGAAACGCTCAGAAGATGGCACGATGGGTTTCCCTCTGTCATTTGTCTGGTGCATTAATGAAAATTGGTTTTGTTTCTCGTTGTCTTAAGAGTAACGGTACATTGGATCCCACAAAGCATGAAGTGTTGGCCACCCATACAAAAGACCCTGGTCCTCTCGCAGCACAATTGGGCATCAAAATTGCGAACATGTGGGCTATTGCCGACGCCATCATTTTGTCGTTCTTGAAGCAACAGGAATTTAAGGATGCAGAACTTATCAAGAAGAGTGGTGAAAACTCAATTCTGCTGATTGGACATACGGGCGATGATGATGATGACGATGACGATGATGGTGACGACGACGACGACGATGATGACGATGATGAGGATGACGAGTAGTGAAGGCAACATAACAGCATTAAGGAAACCTAACTGTGTTGCAGCGCGGGTATGAGAAATGAGAGAAATAATATAATAAATATCATCTAAGAAAATGAATTATGAACAACTGTGTCTCTCTCTATACATATATAGCTGTGTGTCTCTTTTGACATGGACGGTGATACCGTTATTGATTTTTATTTGTTTCTTTAAGGTTCCTTGTTTGAATGCTTTTCTTTTCTTCCTTTTCTCTTTTTTTTTTTTGCGTTTATTATATGACCTTAAAAAAAATTATTTTTTATTATTTATTTTTAAATCTTGTTCTTGTCTATGGGGATTGGGATAACAAATTTCTCGTTATGTATATAGGAAAATATGAGCCTTAAACCTCTTTCAGGGAAAGAAAGAACGGTCTACTTCTTTGGTATGGCTGGGCTTATAATTTTCATGGGCATCACTGCAGGGCTACAGGTAGCACTGTTTTCAATCGACCAGTTACTTTTGCGTATTCTTTCGAGAACGGGATCATCAGAGCAACAACAACAAAAAGCCTCTGCACTTTTGCGTGTACTAGGACTAGGTCATTGGACACTTGTTGCCTTGTTAGTATCGAATGCATCAGCGATGACAGGATTACCTATTCTACTTGAAAATGTCTTTGATGAACTAACTGCACTTCTCGTTTCTATCTCAGTAGTTTTGATTATTGGAGATGTTATTCCTCTCTCAGTTTTTGTTCGTTGGCCGATGCAAGTATGTTCCTTCTTTCTTCCATTAATGTGGGTTATTAATGTCGTTACAGCTCCTGTGAGTTACCCTGTTGGAAAGTTGTTAGATATGTTCTTAGGACACAAGGAAGAACATCTACAACGTGATGAGTTAGTTTCAATTATAGTGTTACAAAATGAGGAGCAAACACTTTTGCGAGAATCGGAGGTAAAGATGGTGCAAGGCGCATTGAGACTCTCTAGTTTACGAGTAAAGGATTGTATTGTCACTACAGAAGATAAGGCATTTATGCTTTCCTCACAAACTCTACTAAATGAAGAGACAATTGAAAATATTCTCCTTCAAGGATATAGCCGCGTACCAGTGTACTTTAATGACAACAAGCGACACATCCTTGGAACTCTAATAGTGGACTCCATAGTGAAATTGTGTTTTACAAAACCACATAAACCACCTCGTGTGGGTGAGTTGCCTCTTTCAGAAGTTCTGAGATTGTGCATAAATACCACACTCTATGAGTCTTATCTTGCATTTAAGGAAGGTTCATACAATATGGCTGTAGTGTACGATACCTGTGGTGTAATGTGTGGACTGTGGACACTTACTGATCTGCTTGGTACAATGTACAACACTTCCTCAACAGAAGAAGAGACTTTTAAGCAGGAACGCATGATTGAATTATTAAAAAATATAAAAGTTTTGAACGCGTCAAAGCGAAAGTTAGTGCCTTCAGTAACTAATGCCACAGAAAAAGAGGGTTTATAATACATATGGGGCAGGAGGTACATTTCTGCATATTTCTGCGTCTAGAAGGAAGTTTAAAAATGAAAACAGTATCAGGAAAGTAAAAAAAATAGCCTTAGCATACCTTGCACTTGTTTTGATAGATCTTTCTTCTATTTTTCTTATTACCTTTAAATCTTACCTTACGACTTATTTTGTTTTCACTTCTAACATTTTTATTGTCGTTTTTTTTTTTTTTCTTTTCCCTGTTTTTAAACTTGCTGTTTTCCTCAACGAAGAGAGAAAAAAACCCACAAAGCCATCTTGTGCGAACGCGCTCCTTTTTTCCGCCCTCTCTCTCTATATATATATATATTCTTTTTTTCCCCTTATTCTTTGCGGGTAATAACAACAAGACGTAATACGATAACAGGAGGAAGGAGTGGAAAAATGGGAAGAGAAAGGGAAACTCAGTGCGGGAATACAGACACCTGTGATAGGTGTATCCCCTCTTAAAAAGAAGGATAAGAGATAATATTCTCTTAGAGAAGAATAATATCGTTGTTTTTGTTATTATTATTAATTATGTACTTTATGTATGGGAAAAAAGCATTTTTATCGAGCGTTGGGGTTGCTTTGTGGTTTTACAAAATATAAATACAAATCGAAATACCAATAAGATGAGAAGGAAAGCTTTCATTTATTTTCGTGTTTTTTCACCCCAACGGGAATTTTTTTTTTGTGATTATTTGAATTCTCTATGCTTTCCTATTTTCTCCCTCTTTTTTTTTTCCTCCTTTGATTTCTTTCTTACCTCTGCAGAAAAGAAGTTAGGGAGAAAGCATAAAACAAACAGAGAGCTCGGGTGGTGACGGCAATAATAGTGATAGGAAGGAGGAAGGGAAAAGAAAAAAAAAAAAAAAAAACGGAGGAAGTGTGACAATAATAACAGATTAAAAAAAAAAAAAATGCAGGAAAACAATATCCATGCATCCTACCCATATAGTATCATTGTCCATCATGGAAAGCAGATTGTCTTTCTTGCCCTACCGCCAAAAGCCACATGGGTTGAGGCACGCCGCTCGTACGCAGCGTTGATGAATCTAGATCCCTCGCAAACAGTGCTCGCACCGTGGTTCGCCACAGCCACTAGAGAGTCTCCCCGTCTGCCTAAAGACGACGCCGTCATTGAATGGCCAAAAAATGAATATGTGCATGTCACTGCTATAACAGGGACACCAGGCGGTGTATGGACATCAGTACCATCACAGTATAGACCTATTGAAGCAAGAAGGCGTGGTATTGAAACTATTCCATCAGCAGTATGCGAATATCTGAACGCCAAACAAGCCGTATCACCTTCGCGATAGGGTTCGTATTGAGTAGAAGAGAAGGATTGGGAAGCAGCTCTCTTTTTTTTTTTCTTTTGCTTCTTGTATTTCTTCCTGTATCACCTCATTTTTATTTTGTTTTTTCGTTATTATTATAATTTCAATTCTGTCGACGAGAAAACAAAATATATATATGAGTTGAAGATGACACTGAGAATTAAGTAACATCTGAAGTTCTTAGTTTTCGTTTTCAAGTTTTTTGCTTGTTAGTTGTTGTTTTTTTTGTTTGTGTGTGTGTTTACTGTAGTGCGGTGAGGTTTTTTTTTTTTTTTCTTTGTAAAAGTAACTTTTACTCTTTTTTTTGTGTTTTTTTTTTTTTGCCTTTGTTCATCTATCGTTGCTCTTTTTTTCTTTTCTTGTTCTGTTTCCTTACTTAACCTCATACTTTATCCACTTTTTACATGTAAGTGAGGTGATTGCTGTTTTCACACATACACACACACACACACACAGACAAACGATAAAATAAAGAGTAAAAATGGCATCCTCTTCCTCCAAGTACGCTGTACCCGAACTCACTCAAGATGATGTCCCGGGTGGTGCCTGTTGCGTGGATGAAACCACATTTGCCACACAGTTCCCTAGCTATCTTGAGAGCTATATTCGCAGTGTGTGGCCAGCAGTAGAAACCGTATTGGGGCAGCAGCAACTGGTGGGAAAGTTAGACCTGATGGAAGGATCTATGACAGTGGCAACCACACGACGAACCTGGGATCCTTATGCTATTGTAAAGGCCCGTGATTTTATTCGATTACTCGCGAGAAATGTTCCTCTCGCACAGGCACAGAAGATATTTCAAACGGAAATTACCTGTGATATTATTCCTATTTCAATGAAGGGTAGCAGTACGCGAAGATTTATTAAACGTCGTGACCGCCTTGTTGGACCAAAAGCACAGACACTGAAGGCGTTGGAGATTCTCACCGGTTGCTACGTTCTTGTACAGGGAAAAACCGTGGCTGTCATGGGCCCTGTAAAGGGATGCCAACAGGTTCGCAAAATCGTTGAGGACTGTATGAATAACATTCACCCGATTTACGGTTTGAAGCAGTTGCTCATCAAACGTGAGCTCGCAAAACGTGAAGACATGAAGCATGAAGACTGGAGTCGATTTATACCCGTTTACAAGAAGACCGTTCAAAACAAAGAAAAGGTCAAGGCTGTCAAGAAGATTAAGAAGGAACGACTACGTGCATCTATTAAGAAACAAACTGGTAAGGAGAGGTCCATCTTTCCGCCTGCACCACCAAAACGTAAGGAGGATATTGCTATGGAAAGTGGCAAAGCATTTTTGGTGGATCATCGTAGGCGTAAAAGAGACGATTACAAGGTTGAATAACACCCAATCTTTTTTTTTTTTTATGTTTTAGTTACAACGAGTAAAACGCACGAAAATGATGCAAATGGTGTATATAAGAACGAAAAAGGAAAAATAAAAGGAGAAAAAGAAAGAAAGAAAGAAAGAAAGAAGGCGAGTGAGATGAATGAAAGAAAGTATGGCTTTATTCTCTCTCTCTCTCTATCCAGAAACGCAAAAAAAAAAAAAAAAAAAAAAAACTTCTTGTTTGCTACTACTACTACTACTACTACTACTACTACTACTAATATAAGTTTTTTTTTTTTCCTTTTTTTCCTTTTGCGTTTACTCTTCTGCTGTTAACATTCATCTTGATATTCTTGGTATTATTGGTGTCTTTCTATCTTGCATAGCTGCCGTGTATAATAGGATACTATGCAAGAAGCAATCAGAAAGATGAGATAAACAACAGAAAAAAATAGATATCAGGTAAGAATACACACGAGGTAAAGAAAAAGAAATAACAATAGAGAATCGTAGGAAAATTGAAGTAGAACGTATAAAGGCACTCTTTCTTAAGTGGAGAAATCTTTTTTTTTTTTTTCTTCTCGGTTTCTCTGCAGATAACCTTCACTGTTTACATCATTTTGTTTGATATCACGTTGAGTTTGTGTCTGTGCGTGTATGCCTTATTCCTTTTTTTTTATATATATGCGTTCTTTTCTATGCGTTTCACCTCTTCTGCCGTGATGGCGCGGTTGGAGGGTGGTGAAAGTAATTTCATTTTGTATCCCTTCTGTTTTTTAACTTGTTTGTTCGTCATTTCATTTGTAGACTCTTTTTTTTTTTCTTCTTTTGTTTACTCTTGCTAATATGCTGTTGTGGTGAAGGAAAGGGGTAGGAATGGCAGCAACAATGTCGACAAACACAGAGCGATGTAATCTTCTCTCATTCCTTGGATATCGTGTAAACGTTGAGCTTGATGATTCTTCCACGCTTACTGGTCGTCTTGTGTCGCTGGGTCCAACGTCGAATTTGATACTGACTGACGTGGAGCGTGTGATGCCGTTGAAGCGTCGTCGTGGTGGTACGAGGCGTGTGTGTTACGATACAGTGTTGTTTGTACGTGGCGCTAGTGTCGTAGCGGTGAGCCACACAAGTGGTGTCACGACAGATCGCACAGTGGTGGATTCCATCACAGGAAGACAGGCGGAGACGAGTAGAACGATTCAAGTTGCAAGTCAAAGCCTTAACGTACCTCTCCGATAGAGTGAGAGGTGCGGGGATGAAAAGGAATCTGCGACATTTTTTTCTCTCTGTCGTACTATGACGAGTTTGACTAGTTGTTTGGTATTTATCTTTACAAATATTACCTCAAATTATCTGGTACCTGTGATGATAACATTAGTCACGCAAAGAACTTCACTCGGCTACTGTATTGATATTGGATAGGTAGACAAGTGTATGTTCTTCTTCTTTTTCTTTCTCTCTGTTTGTTTTCCGTCGCTGATAAACAAGTGGGATTTATTGTTCTGTTCTTACTGCGTCTTAATATATATACATATGAAACTGGTGACGTTCTTTTCTTTTTTTTTTTAATTGTTTCTGTGGTTACTTCCTATCATTTCTTTCCAAACTCTTATTTTTGTCTTTTCTTCTTCTTCTTTTTTTTTCTTCTCTTTTCCTTTCTATATATAACTGTGTGTATGTAGTGAACTTCTCTACTAGTGAACTAGTGATGAGGTCGGTACACTCTAGAGTGTCGTCCCGGTCCCGTTCTCGACCACGACCTATGGACGGCGCCGCCCGCAGCAGTCGGCCGAGTACCGCCGCCCGGCCGCCGGAGTCGTTGGCCCGCTGGCGGGTGGACTCCAACGGCCGACTGGCCAACTTGGACTTGGCGCTGCTGCGGCGAGACCTCCACCGCCGCCTCGCGGACGGCCGGCTCTACACGCTGGAGGAGTGCCGCGTGTTTCTCCTCGAGATGACCCGCATGGCGGCGGCGTGGCAGGCGGAGGAGATCCCGCGCCTCGTGGCCCTCGCCGACCTCCGCGACCGCCGCCTCCCCGCCGCCCCGCTCGCCTTCCAGTGGCCCCCGCCCCGCACAGACCCCCTCCCGCTCGCACCTCTCCCAACCACTCAACCCACAAACGCACATGTCGTGGCGGAGATGAACGCCGCCGTGGCGCGCATGATAGACCGTTTGTGGGAGTCTCGTCGACAGCGGCTCCTCCTCGCCGCACGTTTGCTGCAAGACATTGAGTCCCCATTACAAGTAGTGCCACCCGCAGGCAGTGTCTCCGGATAGGAATGAGGGAGAAGAGGGGTTCCGGTTAAATCAGTTTGAATGGAACTTCTCTTTCTCCACTCCATCCATCCCTCTATTTCTTTCAACTGCTATCGTACATGTATTTTTTTTCTTTTCTTTTTGTTGCTGTTGTTATTCAATTTATCGGTGTTTCTCTTATTGTTCGTTTTGTTTTTGTTTTGTTTTTGATCTTTTTTTTCCCCCCTTGCCTCTACTGGGTTAGGGGAAAGGGGGGAAAAAAAATAAAGAACATTCAACTAATTCTTTCCATGTTTTTTTTTTTTTTGTTTCTTTTTTTTTTCTTGTCTGTGTGTGCGTATCTCTTTCTATTCTCTACAATGAAGGCAAAATGCTTCTTCCTAGGAGAAATGACGCTCCTCGAACTGGAATGTATAGTTACCGCCGCCTGCAATACCGGCCTTTGCTCTCATCAGAAGAAGCTATTGAAGAGGCAAATGAGTACTTGGCAAAAAATACCTCAGACACAGAAATGTTACTACAACGGGCAAAAGCTTTAGTACGATTGGGACGGTACTCTGAAGCCCATGCTGATCTTTCAATTCTTATAAAACCTTTTCAGGGAAATGGTCACCCTACTAAAATAGTGCATCTCTTATTTTATCGTGGTCTTTGTTGTGAAAAGATGTCACGTATTGATGATGCCATTGCAGATTTTACAGCAGCACTTGATATTGCTCCTTCTCACAAGCGATCAGCATATGAACGTGCAGCATGCCATAATAAAAAGGGAAATTTTACTGCAGCAATTTTGGATTATGAGAGAGCATTACAGTATGATTTGGGTCGATCTAACTTTCTTATGCATCGAAATACTCGAAGTCGTTTTGCAAAAGCTCGTCAACAACAACTGTCTATGCCAACATCTTGTGTAACATCGCCAGATCATGTGAATCGTGCTTCTGTTTTGCATATGAATAATATATCCACACATGGTGGTAATAAAAAATTATCACTCGCGTCTCCACTTGATGTTCGTGCTATAACATCAGCTGTAATGGATGATACGTTAAGGCCAAATTATCCCATTTCTACACCATCTGGTAGTCCTGAATGGAATCGGACCACATCATCATCATCATCATCATCATCATTATTATTATCATTTTCCACAGTTCAAAACTCTGAGGCAGCAGAGCAACATCATCAGCGTGGACTTGCCTTCCGAAAACAAGGTGATTTAATACATGCTATTAATGAATACACTGCTGCCATACAACTAGATCCAAAGAATTTTAAGGCATTATTTAACCGTGGATTTTGTCATGACAAGATTGGTAATTATGATGCAGCTATTCATGATTATGAGGCTGCTATGGAATTAGAACCAAGGTATGCGTATACATATTATAACCTTGGTATATCATACGATCGTCGTGGTGACCATTTTGAAGAAGCTATAGCCATGTTTGATAAAGCTATATCACTAGATAATACCAACGCTGATTTTTATCACAATCGTGGTTTCAGTCAACGAAAATTGGGAAAATATCGTGAAGCCATAAAAGATTATACTACAGCGTTATCTCTTGATGCCCAACATTTTAAAGCATATTATAATCGTGCTTTTTGTTATGATAAGTTAGGAGAAATTACTAACGCTATTGAAGATTACACTAATGCCATAGCTATTCACGCAAACAATCCCAATGCCTATCATAATAGGGGTGCAGCATTAGAAAAAATTGGCCGACTTAGTGATGCTATTAAAGATTACACAGAAGCTATTAAACTAGATGGCGAAAACCCTTTTACATATAATGCTCGTGGAGTAGCTTATGATCGTATTGGTATGTATGATGCAGCTCTTAGTGATTTAACGAAAGCTATTGTACTCTCCTCCAATAATGCGATGTTTTATCAAAATAGAGGTGCCACATATCAAAATATGGAGTGTTTTCCAGAAGCACTACGAGATTATGATGTTTCACTTAAATTAGTAGAACAATATGAGAATAAAAGGTTTGATATGGTTTCTGATGATAAAATGGTACAGAAAGTAAATACAATGAGAATCAAAATATTAAGCAATCGTGGTTTTTGTCACGCACGTCAGGGCAATTATGAAGCGGCTATTCAAGATCTCTCAGCTGTCTTTACAGTAGATCCTGATAATATACTTGCTTTGTATAATCGTGGTATATGTTATGATAAACTTGGTAATCACAAATACGCAGTGGAAGATTTTTCTCGTATTATTGAAATAGATGCAGGAAATGCCGATGCACACTTTAGTCGTGGTTCTGCATTGGAATCTCTACAGGAATATGCAGCGGCGCTAGATGATTATGCAGTAGCACTAGCTCTAGATGTTGACAAGAGTAACTTGACAGATGTTAAGGCCTTGACGAAATTTAAAGCAGAACATCGTGCTACAGTGGCATCTCAACGCGTATTTCAACTCCTTGGTAATCAAGTGGAATGTCACCCAAGTATGCGAAATTTGTCCTAAATGATAATGAAGGAAAGGTCTCTCTTTCTCTTTCTTTCTTTCTTTCTTTCTTTCTCTCTCTCTCTCTATCTCTTATTCATATTAATTCTATCGGTATATTTCTGTGTGACGAAAACAAAAGAAAAAAAAAAGAAAAGGAAATCAAGATAACATAAATTCTGCCCTTAAGTTATTTTGTATGTTGATTTCTCTATAACGACATTGCCTTGAATTTATTCTTTTTTTTTTTTTATTTAAATTATTTTATACATTCCAGGTTGAATCATTTCTTCCTTCCTGGCAGGGGGTGGGGAGAGGGAGAGAGAAAAGGGTGTGGTTGTCTCATGTCAAATTTAAATAGTGGTAGCAGTGTTGAAATGTTTCCAACGGAACATCGAGCCGTGCTGGCGCTCATCGCACATGCCGCCAAGGAGTGTGTACACACCAAAAGTGGCGGGGATGTGTTTGACATCCTCTGCGCAGCTGAACCATCACTTGCGGAGTTATATCCAGAAGTTGCTTTACTGCGAGAAGTTAACAATATCCGTCGTGCACTTCGTGATCTGCAGGAACATGCAGTAGAGTCACGACCATCTGTTTACCGTACTATATGTGTTTCTTTGGTGCACATGCACAAATTACTTCCAGATCCATTATTTCTGTCTATCGCTGGGGCAATTGAGAAACTTCAAGAAATGCATCAACACTGTAGTGCTATGGAGCCTTATTTACTTGATTTGGTGGAATACATTCAATTGGTATTATTGCAAGAAACAAAATCTCTACAGCGTCGTGGAGTATCTATAACGCTACGACTTCGAAAGGTGCCACCATTCGTTGCGTGAAATGACATGTTCCATTTTAGACAGACAAACAAACAAGTTGATAACAGAAGAAGGGGGAAGAAGAAGAAGAAGAAGAAGAAAAAAACAGAGAGAGAGAGAGAGAATACATGGTGGGAAAACCATGTAATAAATCCATTTTGGTAATTTTATTATTTATTCTGAATATATAAATTTTTTTCTTTTTTTTTCTTCTTTTTTTTTCGTTTTTTTTTTTTGTTTTTATTTTTAATGGGTAATGGTTTTCTATAGTTAGGGGATAAAAAAAAAAAAAAAAGAAAGAATCAAGATTTTGAGTAAAATACAAAAAAGAAAAGAAAAGAAAAGAAAGAAAGAAAAGAAAAAAAGAAAAAAAAAAGGTAGTGTCCTACCATGATCGACTTTGATGCTGTTATGAGAGCCCTTCTCGTTATTACTGTGGGCCTGATCCTTCTTGATTTTGTGCCTTTACAGGAGGGTATGAGGTGCACGAATGACTATAAAAACGCATCCACCTGTCCAGAAGTTTTCTTTGCACAAAGTTACCATGCAGCGCGAGGAAAGTTCATTGAGGCAGCAAAGAAGGCGAAGGCACAACTGGAACGTCATGTGGTTCTGCATGAGGATGGATTTGAATACACTGTGGATACTGCTTTTCTACGTGGGAAGAACTCTGGGCGACTACTTGTTCACATGTCAGGCACAGACGGAGTGGAAGGGTATATTGGCAGCGCTATACAAGTGAAGTTACTAGAAGAATGGAATAACAGTCGTCCAGAAGGATCTTCAGTTCTCTTTGTACATGCAGTCAATCCGTACGGCATGGCACACTTTCGTACCACTAATGAGAACAATGTAAACCTTAATCGAAATTATCGTTCTGCTGAAGATTGGAAGAGTGTTTTGGCGCGTGATCCAAACATTGCTAAATACGATGATATAGTGGCACCCCTAATGCTCTCAAGAGCCCCACGTATTGCTGATCGGTTTGTCTTTCTTTATCATATTATAAAAGCATTTGTTACAAAGGGTTTTTACGCTTTTAAAACAGCTATTATAAGTGGTCAATATCACCATCCGGAGGGTATGTCCTTTGGTGGTCGAGAAGAACAACGCAGTATTGCTGTATTGCGTAGTATATTGACTAAATATGCAGCTGAGGCATCTGAAAAGAGTATTGTGGTTGATGTACATACAGGTCATGGTACATGGGGTGATGATGTAATTGTTGCAAGTACAAATGAAGATGAGTCACTCGCCAAGTCAATCTTTACAGCAGGAGTGATAAAAGGAGGACCAAGTGCAGGTTATGAACATTCAAATGGTTTTATTATACCGACTGATATACTTGGTAAAAATACACTGGTAGTTGAGCAAGAATTTGGAACTGTAAATTATATCTTTATGATTCGTGCCATATTTCTTGAAAATGCAGCATACAGATATGCCAATGGAAGCTATGTGCATGAGGTGATGCGAGAGTGGATGCGTGATGCTTTTTATCCACAATCAATAAAGTACAAGATGAATGTGCTGAAAAAAGGTGTAGATAGATTTGACAGTGCGTGGAGATATTTATCAGGGAAGTAAAACTCTTTGGCTCACACTGAATTTAGTTTTTAAATGTGTTAGCTTGGATGGGCTCAAACAGAGATGAAAAAAAAAAAAAAAAATAATTGAGGAAAAAGAAACAATAAGAAGATTGGGGGAAAAAAAAAGGAAAGTCATTTTATGCCTTGGGATTCCAATATATTCTCTTATTTTCTTCCTCTTTTTTTTTTTTTTTCTTTTGTGCCTTGACCTCACATTCATTATCTGTTTATATGCGTGTGTGTGTGTGTGTATGGTTTTTATGTGTCAGAGGAAAAGAAAAAAATATATATATATATATATATATAGTTTTAGGGGAAGAGTATATTAGGCAGGAAAAGGCAAATATCTTTTTTTTTTTTTTTTGCACACTAGTGTGAAGAATGATGTCTCAAGGATCCACAGAAGATTTACGGACAGTGGATGATTTTGTCCTCTCTGAAATTTTTTATACTGCGTGCCTGGAGACGCTTTTATCTGCTTACATTATTCCACTTAGTAACACTGCTGGATTTCCTTCCACTTGTTCTAACACATTTTCATCATTTTCTTGCAGTGAGGATTTCGGGTCACTACTTTCCACATTCGGTGTAGACATTCTTGAGGTATTATCCTGCCATCGCGCTCTCATTAACGCATTACAAATACCCAGACAGAAGGGAAGTAACAGTAGTGCGAAAAGTGATAATATCTCTCCTTATGAAGCCTTGTTAAATCAAGAGAAGAATCCTTGCAGTGATATTATTTATTTGCTACGCACAGGGGTGCCGGCAATGCGTGTAGCATACCAAAAATACGTTTTAAACTTTGATACTAATGTTAAATTGAGTGATTTAGCAAGGAGTTTTTTGTCTGCAGATGTGTGGAACAAAATTTATTTTAATCTTGCTCGTAGTACACTTCTCAATTCACTTTTCTGTATGGGAGTGGATAAAAAGAGTGCAATACTATTTTCAGATTGTTGTAACATTTCTTTCGAAGCTCTTATCGTTCTACCTATTCAGCATATCACTCGTTATCCAATTTATGTTAAAGATTTAATTGAAGCCCATAAAGCGTTAGGATCAGATGTGAATTTGACTACTTTTCAAAATGCAGGCGAAGTTCTGAAAGATCTATGGGATATGTGTAGTGCGGCTAATGCGGAACGAACTGCATATATACAACTTCACAGACTAGCTGAACTGGAGAGAAGGTTTGGTCTGACAGGTGTTCCTTCACAAATCATAGCTGAGGGTGATGATGTGGTAATGCGGTTTGGCAGGGAAACAAGAACAGGACAGATTGAAGAGGGACGACGTCATGTAAGAGTTATTCTCCTTCATGATCATATTTTTCTTTTATTACCACAAAAGGCTAACAGTACAAATAGTGGAAAGTTATTGAAAAAGATACCGCTTACAGCTGTACTTTCTGTACGCAGTGTGAGTACTACAAAGTACTCTACAGTTTATCTTAGTTACGCCTCTGTTTCTAACGGAGGGTGTTGGAAACGTAATAATAATGTCTACTTTATTGAGTTGTCAGTCTCGAATGAAACTGAAGCGATTCTTTGGGTGCGTGACATCACTCAGGCAGTGTCTGACTTGTGTTGTCAAACGTTGTATTTGTAAATAATAGAATGGAAAGATAAAAAATAGTAGCACTAATAAAAATAAAACAGTTAACTTTTTTTTTGCTTTCCTTTGTAATCTTTTATTTTTCTACAGATAGTAGTGTTTATAGCTGTACTTTTTTGTACCTCTTGTTTATATTATTATTATTATTATTATTATTATTATTATTATTATTATTATTATTATTATTGCCTTATTGTGTGGTTCATGTGACTCTGTGTGTTATACTCTTACGAAAAGGGACGAACGCTCTAATAATAATAATAATCATGCAGAAGTTCCCTCAACTCTTTGAGTCATTGCCAAATCGTCATTCATTCATTGATTAATGTTAATCCTTTCAAATTCAGTAAAAAAAGATATGAATAAAAATAAAATATATAAAAAGAACATATGAATTTTTTTTTCTCTTCATTATTTTCTTTTCTCTTTCTGTTGTAGTTTATATGACTGAGGGCATGACCCAAATGCCCCCAAAGGAGCAGTATGCACACCTCTGCACAGCAGCAGGCTGCCACGCAAACACACAACTCATGAAGGATTTGCCAAATACAGTAGAGGGATTAGGAACGCTGCGCAAACTTGATCTCTCGCGCAGCATGTTGCGAAGAACGGATGTTGAGCCTCTCGTACAGGCAATCCTCCGCCATTGTAGAAGTCTGCAGGTGCTCAATCTCTCGCACAACTATCTAACTGATGACAGTGTCATACAGATATGTGAAACTCTCGTGGAGAACTCTCCAATGCTTGAAACCCTCGATCTTTCAGACAATCCGCTCTCCAATAAAACAGGACGCTACCTTGCACGCTTTGTATATAGCATGCCATCTTTAAAAAATATCAAAGTCCAAAAAACTCTCATGAGTGAGAACATACTATTAGCTCCTTCCTCTATATCAAAACCACAACAAAGCTCTGTTCATAAAACACAGACTACGACTACAACTATGGTTTCATCAACAAGAGACGATAACTTTGGCAACATGGCAAAGGGGTGTGTCAGTAGTGTCCATGACTGCACGAGGGAAGATGGTAGGGTTAAATCAACCAAACAGCAATGGGCAGCACTTAAAACTCTCTGGAGAGCCGCAACACTTGCCGCTCCACATAGTGACAATTATTCTGCATTAGCCACTCTCATCTCCATGACACAAGAAGATGATGATGATACAACTCAAGTACAACAAAACATATTCACGACAATAAGATGTGCACAACGACATCAGTTTTAGTATACAAAAAGTATATATATCCAAAACAAAAAGAAAAAAAAAAACAAGTACAATAACAATAATTTCCAAACAAAAGAGAAAATATATATATATATATATATATATATATATACTTTCATACCTTACGACCGCATACTGATAATATCGCTTCTTATCCTCTCTTTCTTTCTCCCTCTGTCTCTGATTTCTTTCTTTGTGCCTGTGTGACGTGACCAAGAACGCTTCAAAACAAGTTTACTAACAAGGAAGTATCATAAAATTGCAATGACCATCAAGGTTGGTATCAATGGTTTCGGCCGCATTGGTCGCATGGTGTTCCAGTCACTGTGCGAAGAAGGTCTTCTTGGCACGGAGATCGACGTTGTTGCTGTTGTCGACATGAACACGGACGCTGAATACTTTGCGTACCAGATGAAGTACGACACAGTGCACGGCAAGTTCAAGTACACCGTGACGACGGCGAAGAGCAACCCCTCTGTGGCTAAGGATGACACATTGGTGGTGAACGGACACCGTATCTTGTGCGTGAAGGCGCAGCGTAATCCTGCAGACCTCCCATGGGGCAAACTCGGCGTGGAGTATGTGATTGAATCCACCGGTCTGTTCACGGCCAAGGCGGCAGCAGAGGGTCACCTGCGTGGTGGTGCGAAGAAGGTGGTGATCAGCGCCCCTGCCTCTGGTGGTGCCAAGACACTTGTGATGGGCGTGAATCACCAGGAGTACAACCCCCGTGAGCACCACGTTGTGTCGAACGCGTCGTGTACCACCAACTGCCTTGCCCCCATTGTGCACGTGCTTGTGAAGGAGGGCTTTGGTGTGCAGACTGGTCTCATGACGACAATCCACTCATACACAGCGACCCAGAAGACAGTGGACGGTGTGTCTGTGAAGGACTGGCGTGGCGGGCGTGCTGCGGCTGTTAACATCATTCCAAGCACCACAGGCGCCGCAAAGGCTGTCGGTATGGTGATTCCGAGCACACAGGGCAAGTTGACCGGTATGTCATTCCGTGTGCCCACACCCGACGTGTCTGTGGTGGACCTCACCTTCACCGCGACGCGCGACACAAGCATCAAGGAGATCGACGCTGCCCTGAAGCGTGCCTCTAAGACCTACATGAAGGGTATCCTTGGCTACACGAACGAAGAGCTTGTGAGCACCGACTTTATCAACGACAACCGCAGCTCCATCTACGACTCCAAGGCGACGCTGCAAAACAATCTGCCCAACGAGCGCCGCTTCTTCAAGATTGTGTCGTGGTACGACAACGAGTGGGGATACTCCCACCGTGTGGTGGACCTTGTCCGTCACATGGCTGCAAAGGACCGCTCGGCCAAACTTTAAGGGGGTGGGTGCCAATGGTTTCACTGCGCTAACTAGCTTTGTTAGAATTGTGTGACGCTGTTACCGCCAGCAACGCATTTTTTTTATTATTTATGATTATCTGTTTTACTTCAAAAGCAGGAGAGTAGGCATTATGGAAGTCTAAAATGGGGAATTTTTTTTTCTCTGAAATAAGCTTAGTAGGTGAACTAAAATGTAATTGGTTAAATGTAGGAGGTTTATTTTGCTTTTGGTCGTTTTTATGATTAAATATGTACTTTAATTTTTTTTTTATTTTTTTTTTTGATGGTTTATTGAAGATTTTTTTTTTCTGTTTTTTATGGTTTTGTATTGTTCTTGTGTTGTTTTTTTTTTCTTTTCTGTGGGTAGATTCCAGTTTTTAGGATGCGCCGTAGTTCAGTTGTACGATGGACTTTTTCAAATAATACTGGCCAATATAGTCCACCTATTTATATGCCTTTAGAGTATGCTAGTCGTGTTACAAACCAAAAACAATTAGTATTTACACATCCGAAAGATCCCAAGTATGGATGGAATACTCATGTGCATGAGTTGGCTTCACTTCATCCTGGTCTGCTTGGGCCTGGTAGACGAACACCGCAGCTGAATTGGTATAATCGTGGCGGTATTGTTTGTGAAATTCCTCCAGTTCCAGTGTATCGATCCCACATATGGTGTCAAGGACATTCTCATTTTATTTTGCAGCACCCAAAAATTTTTATTAAATGTCCTGTGGGGAAGGTAGTCTGTTGTAAGTGGTGTAGGCTTAAGTTTATTAATATGTCTACAGATGAGGATAATGATGATGATTGGCAAGAGGAGGAACAGAAAATTGCTACAACCCCAGAATTGCTAAAAGATTTAATGGAACCTATCCGAGATATTGGTGGTGTGCTTCGCAATCAACGTTTTCAGGATGGGAAGGAACCGGACCCTCATGTCTATCGTTCAGTGTTTAACCCTGAGCGATACAGGTGGAAACATCCTCATCACAAGTATGAGGTGCATCCAGCTTATGCGGAATCTAAATCTAGTGGTGGAAGTGGAGGTGGAAACAGTGCACATTAGAGGCATAATATGATGATGCGAACAAAGCAGAGAATAGAATATTTTTATATGTGTAGCTTGTAAAGCTTGATTTATTACTATTATTATTATTATTATTATTATTATTATTATTATTATTATTATTATTATTATTATTATTATTATTATTATTATTATTTTATGTGTGTATATGTCATTGGGAGGATGGGGGATCATGTTTTTTTTTTTATTGGGATTTTTTGGGAATGGGTAATGTTTTTATGGGTGTAATCATGTTATGATGAAAGTCTTGGAAGTTGAGGCTCCAGCAATAGTGAATAGTACTAATACTGGTAGTAGTAATAGTAATATTAGTAGTGGTAGTGGTAGTTTTTCTTCAGTGGAGCGAACCAAAAGAAGATGTTTGTATGCTGTAGGATGCTGTACAAAATATAGTTTCTGAAGACCCTGTGTTTGGGTACACCTTCGAGTTTTTTTTTATATAAAATAATTTCTAGGTAAAAAGAATAGAAAGATGAAAAAGACAATGCAACTTATATTTCTATTACTATTATGTGACGTTTTTTAATATTTTTTGTTTTATTGTTATGTCTGTTTTTTTTTTTTTCACTTCCCCCCCTTTTTTTTTTAATTATTTTTTTTTCTCATTTTGTGACCCACGTTCATGTAGATCGTCGCTTGTACACCCGTCTTATCTTGGGCTATATTAGAAGAAGGTTGAAAAAGAGAGATTAAACTATGGTTGGAAATGCTCCTCGACTGCCCTCGTACAATCCCAATGTTCCGGGAACAACTGAGTTTGAAGATAAACTGATAGAAGGAATGCCTGTGCTTCGTATAGATTCTTGTTATCGATTGCAAAAACGCAAGTTATTCCTGGTTGGGCAAAATAGTGGTCTTTCATATTCTCCTTCGAAAAAGTCGGGTAAACAGGTGATGCTGTTTGTAGATATTGTTGAAATATCCAAAGAGGAAAATTATACAAAATCTTATCGTAAGGCAGGAATACATTCAAGTGAAAAAACTATTATTAATGTGCGTAATAGTAAGGGAAAACTCTGGAGATTTGTTCTCAATGATTCAAGAGATTGTGATGCTTGTCTTAACGCCATTGGGAAGGTATTACAAAATCGACTAAAAGCAAATTTGAGTAACCATTTTGAAGGCTCTATCCGATCCTTGTGGGATCGAGCCGATCGGAATCTAGATGGTAGGTTATCTCTAGGAGAAGTAAAAAAGCTTTTTACACGACTTAGCTTTGATTTCATTGGAGAAAAACAAATACGTGAAGTGTTTACTCGTTGTGATACTTCAGGAGATATGTATTTGAGCTTGGAGGAGTTTAGACATCTTTATATGCTTCTCGTTCACAGACCAGAGCTTCAAAGCATCTATGACACCTATGCAAAATCTAATGCGGATATAGGCATGACTTTAAATGAGTTTGAGAGTTTCTTAGAGTCTCAGGGAGATCCAATTAAAATGGGAATAGACTATTTTAAGGGATTGGGACTCACTAATGAACAGAGACTTTCATTTTCTTTTTTTCAAGCCTTTCTTTTAGACCTTGAGAAGAATAATGTGCTTAATCCTTGTACTAAAGAAATTGTAGATGATATGAATCATTTACTAGCAGATTATTTTATTAATAGCTCTCATAATACTTATTTAACAGGAGATCAATTGGCATCTTCTAGTTCTGTGGCAATGTACCGCGAAGCTCTCCTTTCTGGATGTCGATGTGTAGAGATCGACTGCTGGGATGGAAAAAATAACGAACCAATGGTATTTCATGGTCATACGGTAACATCCATGATAAGATTTGAAGATGTTATCATGTCCATTAATGAACATGCTTTTAAGACATCTGAATTTCCAGTCATTATTTCTCTTGAGGTACATACTTCACAAGGTCAGAGCCAAAAAATGGCAGAAATTCTTCAGCGTATTTTGGGTTCTAAATTATTAATGGCAGATGAAGTGGAAAATGTCAAATATACACCTAATGGACTACGTAAACGTGTCTTGGTGAAGTGGAAGATGCCTAACACGCAGATTGAATCCTCTACAGAGGATGAAGAAGAGGAGGAGGATAGTGAAGAAAAGGGTAATGAACCTACAAAAGGACATGTTCATATTTTATGTGCGGAACTTAGTCCTTGTGTTGCCTTGGGGAGTTGCAGAACAAATAATTGGGGTGAAGATGCAAAATATTATAATGTTCAAAGCTATACAGAAGCTCAAATGCGGACATTATTTCGAAATTCAAAAGAAAAAATTCAATTGCAGAATACACGAATGCTCTCTAGAGTGTATCCAAAAGGCACTAGGGTAACTTCTTCTAACTATGATCCTATGATTCCATGGTCTGCTGGTTGTCAATTGGTCGCTTTGAACTTTCAGACATGGGATGAACCTCACCGTCTCAATCATGGCATGTTTGCACAGAATAATCGTGCTGGTTATGTTCTGAAACCATCATTTCTCATAAACCCTCAAAGTAGGGATAAACCCACAGCATATACACTGCGTGTGAAAATTATTTCTGGTGTTCAGATACCAAGACCTAAACTAAGAGTTTCTGGTGACGCCGTGGACCCATATGTTCGGCTGAAAATTTATGGTGCTACAACAAAAACCTCAGTACAGACAAAAACAGTCTGGAACAATGGTTTGAAACCTGTATGGGATGAATCATTTAACTTGAGTGGTGATTCTGTGGAATTGGATATTATGACCATCACTGTTATCGACGGGAATGTTGGAAAAGATGAAGAAATTTGTGGTGCAAGTATTCCTTTAAAACATTTACGGAATGGATATCGTGCAGTGACGATGCAACTTTCTACAGATGGTGTAACATTACAGACAGCAAGAGTCTTTTGTTATTTTGAACTTGTCTCAGAAAGCAAAAAAGAGATCATTTCCAAAAAACGTTAATTTGTTTTTCTTTTTTCTTATTATAGGGCTTTCTTCTTTTTTTTTTTACATGTATATATATATATATATATATATATATATA